TCATAAATATCTCATAAATTTGTTCTTGCAGAGTAATTTCTTTGTCAATTTCTGGAATTATGATGATGAAAGTGAAGAAAAGTTCACGTTTCTGACTTACAAAGGTTTGTGAACAAAAAAAACGGTTTTATACCTACAACATCCTGAAGTACAAAGTTCACTCACATTTCTAGTTTGAAACAAGTTTTGTGGTTTGGAACTTGTTTGAAAAACGTTTGAAACAAATGGTATAGAGTTCATTTTCAATGCCTGTCTACTCCATGACACACAACATCATCATCAACCATATGAAAAAGAAGAAGAACTCGATCAGGAGTTCACAGATTTAAACCCCTGAAAAAAAAACCAGTCCAAAGCTAGTTGGGAACATCTCTACTGTGCTTAAAAAGAGTGTCACGTATTCGTGGATTGGACCGTGCTTACAGTTGTCTGAGTCGTGCTTAATATCCTTGTGGTTTAGCACCTATCTACCACGAGCTGGTCTTCAAAAAAATGTTGAAATGCAAACGCGAGGAACCCATGGAACGCTAATAGCAATCCCAACTGTCTTTTACTGCGCTTTTAGAGAATCTTTCAATGTGGCGATGAAGATCGGATGATGGTACCAATCGAATTTTACATCCACCAGAAGTGTATGGACTGCTCTACAGACCTGAAGACAAACAAACTTTTACACAACGTGTGTTCCATCAGGCTTCATTTGAACAATAAACAATCCGTGACACGTTTATAAGACATTCATGCCTAAAAAGACTTTCAGTATTTTTTTCATCATGGTCTCGAGAAGAATTCCTTTGATTTGGTTTGGATGCCGCAGAAGCTAATCCAGGAGTTTAAACTTTTGCCGAAAAAAGGAACGAATTGGAGACACGGTCCAAGAAGTCTTCTTCTAAAAGAGAACCACTGAAGAGGAAGAATGAGATTGAGAATAAAACGTTTACCAAAGAGAACTTTGTGAAAAAGAGTCAGAGACGACCCCAAGGACTTTGCATGAATAAGAACGCTACCTTCTACAGTTTAATAAATAAAATGAAATGGGCTAAAATACCTCTTGTAAAGTTGATTCCTAACAAAAAAGATTTGAGAGAAGTCATGACACCTTGAATATAGAGTGTATAAAAGGATAAAAGTTCATTTTGTACGTGACATTGTCACCATGAGTATCTTCACTTGTCTGTCCACTCTCTAGGTCAAGGGGACGGATCGATTGACGTGGAAAATCGTTTCGCAATTATGTCAGGGTTTCTACGGAAAGACTCATAGATCTCGACACGACTATTTCTACGATGTCCTGAATACCATAGAAATGTACACACAAGATGATGAGGCTGGTTTATCACCCTTAGAATAATTTTCCGAAGTCGTAACCACTCCATTTCTTTCATCGTATTCGTCTTTTGGCTATTCATAATTTTCCAAAAGAGGCCCGGAGTTATTTCAACGAAATGGAAAACGTATATCCTTATCGGTGCACTTCCATATTTAATTTAACGCGTCTTCATTGCTGTTGTCCTTGTGTTGGCACCGAGCCAGAGAAAAAGATAAAGAAAGGAAGAGGACTATTGAAAGCTTATGGAAATCCCAAGAAACCCGGAAGCTTAGGTGGTGTCTCACGTTTCGCGCGTCAATACGGTCTAAGTCTTTTCAAGAATGGATGGGTGATCGGGACCGTAATTTTGACGTGTATTCAGATGTGTCTGAAAGTGCCATGAGTCAATCGGTACTTTGCATCACGTTACCTAGTCACGGAAGTTTGAGCGAATTTCCGCATAATCAACCAATCAGTTTCAAGATACGATTACCCTTTCCTTTACAATTGGATGTAATGTGGGAGGTGGGCTTGAATAGTGTGACACTATTCAAATAGAATACACCATTGAATAGAAATCCAGAACCCGTTAAATGGTGGAATTCTTAGTTTCTTAGCGGCCGGTCTAGCATCCACAGCTGCTTTCAAACTATACCCTTCTTACCATAGACAACGTGGCCATCGAATGCGTGGACTGTCCCTACTTAGACCGAAAACAATCAGGTGATGTGAGAACAGGAGGATTTCCAGAACCCATGACAAAAACTTGCTAGAGGTCGATTCCAATCAGGCCGTGTTGCACGACATCGTCTGTGGTCAAACAGCTGTGTAAGATCAAAGAAGATGGAAAAGATTTTATGGAATAAAGTGCAATTAGATTTTTTAGCTCGACACGATCACGTGTTGTGTCCGCATTTTTACGGTACCTTACCCACGACAAATTACCTCATCATCCACATGGCGGTAGATGTGTGGGGTACATGGTAAACACGGATCCGCTCGATAAACCTGGAAAACATTGGTTGGCTCTGTGAACCGATGGGAACGTTTGCGAGATCATGGATGGTTACAAGTTACCTTTACAAGAATACGGAACCACACAATTCTTGATCGAAAGTATGAACAAACACTGGAGTCTGCAATCCCTTACAGTCAGAGTTGTGGCGATTACGCCTTGATGTATTTGCGTCATACAGTTAGAGGAAAAGACTTGTCAGATTTTTTTAAACGTTTTTCTAAACACGATTATGTAGAGAATGATCATAAAGTAGGTCAATTTTTATAACGGTGATCGAAGAAGAGATTTCACGAGAAGAATGGCATGCAACTTCTAAGAAAGGAGGTCATCAAACGACATGTCACATGCGTTGAAGGAATAAAAGAGTTGATTTACGTTTACCAAGTGTGGCGATGGCTGGGTCGCTCAGCGGGAAGATCGTCTGACTCACTGCCCGAAAGTCGTAGGTTCGAATGCTACCTCATTAAAATTTGTACCATATCCTCCATAAATAAGAAATGCTTTCAGAAGATATGGTAAATGTCTTTTGATCCTCATCATGGAAAGAATCGAACCGCTTCGAGTTAAGACTCCATCAAGTATCATTATGGTAGGTCCTTCGGGATGTGGCAAGACCTGTTTTACAGAATCGTTATTATCACGCCACCATCAAGAATTATTCGTGAATACAACGTCTGTGATCGTGTACTGTTACGGTGACTGGCAGGATAAATTCAGATCGATGAAAAAAGGCGGAGTGAAATTTCACGAAGGAGTTCCAGAATTATCACAATTGGAAACGTGGTTTCCTCGCGGGGGTGTCTTGGTACTGGACGATTTAACGACATGAAGGAGGAAACGATAAAGAAGTCTTGGACCTTTTTACCAAAAATTCTCATCATAAAAACATTTCGGTAGTTTAGACATGTTTCTACCAGAAAAATTATTACAATCGTATCCTCAAGAATGGCAGCACGTACTAAAGACATATTTCTAGAATACACAGGTCCGATGTGATTCATTCCGAATAGAAATATCCTTTGTGTCGCTCGGCCGATTGCCGTTTCGATTCGCTTTTCAATCCTCTATTCAATCCTCTCTTGAATCCCTGCTTGGCACTACTGGTGGCATTGTATGGTCTCTTTGAAATGGGGGCTTTCTTTTTAAGGCCTGCTATTCTAACGGCTGAAGAAGAAGATGCTGCCATGACAGGTGTCGTAGAGAATTTACTCAAACGCCTCGAAAAAAAGTAAAAAAGAAGAGGAGAAGAAAATGTGGTGGATGCGAATTGGAGTGGTTGAAAGAAGGTGAAGAGGCTGCTCTGGGGAAACCCTTACGAAGAAAAGTAGACGAATAATATGAAGAATTCTAATTGAACCACTTCCAAAAAGAAGAAGAAGAAGAAGAAACGACAAAGACAAAGAGCACAGAAAGGAGGTAAACTCGACATTCAAAACTGGATCAGCAAGCTGGGAATAGAATTCCCTCCTTTCTCGTTGTCCAAAAAGAAACATCAACATCATCATCAGGTACTCATTTGAAAAAAAAGACTGGGTCGTGGGGATCCAGGAATAAATCGTTTGGATGGAATTAACAAACAGCACGATAACAACTAGAAGTGGATTGCCGACGATAATATGGTTCAGGCCACCAAGAAACTTCCGGGTCAGAAGTCGTTCATGGAAAACATGGCGCGTTATATTATACCTTTGAAATTGTAATTTTCTTTCGCGTTACATTTAAGTTTACTCTGTTACAAATCTACGGGTGTCTGAACGAGTTCTATGTCTTCATCATCCATTTTCATGTAACCAGCAGGATAAGAAAGAAAAGTGTCTCTATCGACGACTCGCTTGTCAAAGACTAATCCGTACTGTTTGACGCGTTTGACAATCTTGATTTTTTTTTTACTTGCTGGTTCATGCACAGAGAAACATGGATTCACTATTGGTATGGTACGCCTCTCGTCCAGGGGTCACTGAATCTCGTCCGACACATTTTGCTCCATGATGTCATAATGCAATCGCTGACTTTCGCGATAATTCAGAGTAAATCTTCGCACTTTAAAACAAGTCTTCACTTGTTTCGTTACATACCCATAATTCTTGGTACCACCAGACACGAATTCGGTAATGTAATCACCAGCATCTGATTCACTTGTCATCTCTCTTGGATGATCTCTTAATTACGTGTCACTTTGTCCGGTGCTCCATTTGTCAATCACAGAATTTGTGTCGTAATACATGACACGGTCGTCCAATCGATCTGAGTACTAGTAGAATTTCAAACGAGCTTATGCGGTGGTAAAAGTGCAAAATTCTCAATTTGGAAAAAAAGGCTTTAAAAGTTCATGATATAATTTAAAAAGAGTTACAAGAAAGAAAATGTGGTTTCAAATGGCTAAAACTGTCTAGAGGCATAGTTCACACCCTCTGCCTCCTCTCTTTTGTCATCTTTCCTTTTTCTTTGAGCTCCGGGGAACTGGCTCTTTCTCTGTGCCAGGTGAACAGGCGCCTAATCTTGTTGCCGGCACTCAGCTTCCGTAAAATTTCTTAAAGGAATGCCTAGAACATCAAATAGCTTCAAACAGCAGAAATACCAATATCGAAGTATGCAACAGCATCATAGAGACCCATCTCAAGAATTTCACGACTGATATATACATCCGTAAGGATGCGATGCCATACCGTTCAACCAACTTGTGCTGCTAGGAGGGCAATGATCGTGTAGTGGGCGGGACTCACTGGAAGCTCAGTGCACAAAACTGGCATGGATGGCTTTTCTCATTCCTCTCCCTCCCAGGCCTGGGTTTTCACGCTTCAACTTACGAAGTGCTGTGCCCACCCTTTTCTGCACATGACCGATGCATTTTTCTTTTCAACTGTAATACCAGATGCTAAATATGCAAGTTTCACCTTGCTAAAACTTTTACTTTCACCATCTCCATAATATTCAGTATACCGCAAGTTATGAAGTTCCACAGATCTTTTTAATATACGGTCGACACCTTCAGGTTCCATGGCAGGAGCAGAGCCTTTAAAATTGGTTTTGCAGGTGATGTAGTCTGCTCTCCATCTCTGGAATTCTTCACTGTTCTTGTCTAAATGTTCATGTAACTCACATTGCTTACATGCCTGGCTAAGAGCCTCAACATCAAGCATCTTTCCTGTGTCAATAGGTATGACGGCTACATAGCCATTTCTTGATGAAAAGCATCTTTTCTGCCATGTCTCATCCCCAGACACACCACAGTTCACAGGTTCAGTTTTCTTTCTTCCTCAGCTACTTTTCTCATACATTCTTTAGCAATAGACCGCAAACAAGATGCGATCATGCTTTAAATCTTGGAATAACTTTTTGGAGCTGGGGTGGGGAATGTTCATTGAAGTGCAAAATGTTTTGGCACTAGTATGCCCTTTTCCAAGGGTTCGCATCCCATAAACAATTTGTGTGGTCACCTCAAAGCTCTATCCATGTTGCTTAGAAGTATAAAATAAATGTTTCCAGCCTCAATTCTCGCACAGTAAACACAGACTTGAGGCGCACCTCTTCCTGTTAATTTATCTTCCGTAAACAAAAGATTCAATTCACCACATTGATGGCATCTCAACATCCAAAGCACATTGCACAGAACTTCCATGTCAAAGAGCCTGAAGCCTGTAATCGCTAGCCTACCTCTAGATGTTCCATCATATTCATCTACTGGCTTCTTTACTTCGGTTTCCTCCTTTAGTTTCCGGAAAGAAGCGGACAAAGTTTCCTCTACTTGATGGTCAATTAAAGTATTCGGCGATTTCAATTCATCTTCAAGCCCATCGGAACTGTTTCCTCCACCCACGCAGTCTCCCTGGTTGTATTTTGTTAGCTTGATGGTTCTTCGCAAAACAAAAATGTAAAAGATCAATTAAACAGAAACCTAGAGATGTAATAAGATAAAAATTTTAAGCAGCAAAAATTTGGTTGGAACTGTAGATATTGTGCAAGGATAAGATTAGACCGGATTTTTGATCTTGACCGAAGGTTGGAGAAAGCTCAATACGATTGTTTCCCTCTAGAAAGAAATAAAAGTGTTTATAAATAGAATTCATGTCCATCATAACATTGTGGCTCATTGACACCATCGATGTGTTCCGTTTCGCTTGCTCACCGCTTGCTCACCGCTTGTTCACCGCTTGCTATGTGGACTGATAATTAGGTATCACTTTAAGTTGTACGACAACGCCTGCCCCTTATTGGATCTAATTGTTTGTGTCAGTTTTTGATGAAATTAATTGAGCAAAAATATTATAACGGAATATGAGCTATCGCCCGTAAGGAAATGGCCGCTTAGCGGCACGACTTTCTGGACTCGCTGCATTTATTAGTCCTCGTCAAGACACGACGACACTACTACAGTAGATGTTGTTGGATTATACTTATTCCATAGATCACTTTAAGTAACAAAACTTAATGAGAGATTTCTTAACCACCTCAGTGATATCGATCTCACTAAACCTATTAACATGTATTAGCTAGGGCTGTTCACAAATCAAGTCTTTTCACTCTTTCTCTTTATTCTCATAAAATTGTTGGTGACTGAATATCTAGCATTTACCAAAATCTTAAGATGTATTTTTTCTCAACTTAAAATGAAAGTCAGGGCAGGAAGAATTATGAGAAAAAAGTATCACTAAGCTAATGAATTCTGAGAAGAATATTCGCTGCAATTAGGTGATGTAATAATCATTTTGGTCAATATTTGAGCCCCTGCATGAAATATCTAGCTAAAAGATCCGCAATGACGATATATAATATTGGGAGCATTAGCCTAAATAGCAAAAAACTAAACTAAATAGCAAACACAGTACCAAGAAATTTAGTCAAGGTTTTTTTCCAGAGTGTGTTTCTGTTTGGTGCCCACAAAGGTTACCTGGCAAGAAAATCCATACCTACTAGTATTCACAATTATTATTAACTTCAAAGAATTTCAGTCTTTTCATTCAAACGACTGAAAAATTGTTCCTCTCATCCTCTAATCTTCTCTTTGTGTACAATATGGAAAATATAAGGACAAGTCGTACAAAACTCATATAATTTTCGAAAGCGTTCGATGTCAGCCCATAAATATTTGAGTTAAAAAAAAGGGGGGGAGGGCAAATTTAAAAAGTCGAATTAGAAAATATATTCCAGTTGTAAACTCAGCCGAAAAAAACTGATATTGGAGTCATCGGTGTTATGAACTATACTTGAATCATTTACTAACAAAGCAATATTTGAACAAGCAAAGACTCATGACCCAAGGAAAGTTTTGTTACAATTAATTTTCCTTCTCGTTGGTCATTGGCTAAAACAGAGGATTCTTATCGAGGGAGTTTTTTTCTCAGCTCCAAATTATCATTGAGAGACCGTCAACTTGTGTAACGAATTGTAAATTGGATCACAACAAAACCTGACTGTTCAAAACACTGTTGTGTGTATTGGATCACGTATGGTTTGTGTGTCCTTTTTTGATACGCAAACAAATGTTCACAAACAGCTTACTGTTTGCTGTGTGGGATGTTTTCTTTCCTGGTGTTCTCTAATACGACTTTATGAAGAAACAAACATGTCCTTTTCTCTGTAACAATAGCTAAACGCTTTGTTATCTTAAATCAAATTTTAAGCAAAGACTTTTATTGAAGTAGACGTAAGTTTTGAAAATTGGGGAATATCACATGGGGTATATCGTCATGATTCGATTTAGCACCCGGGGCGCTTATTTCCTTTTGGCATCTCAAGGGAGGGCACTTATTAGGAACAGGGTGCTTATTCTTTTTTTGAGACAAAGAAGAATGTGATATTTCTTTTGACTGGATCTTTTGTTTTAAGGAACGGTTCACTCATGGTGACATAATAGCTGAGAAACTGAGACGAAGACCACTTTTTTGTCGTGACGCGTTTAGTGAGAAATTAAAGGAAAATGGACCACGGTTGATCGCAATGTATGTGTACTCTATTAGTGCTGTTACTGAAACAGAAAATAATTACGGGCGCTCATTGAAATGCCTATCAGTAGCGATCTCGTAAAATTTTTCAGAATAAAAGTAAACTTTAAAACACGACGTTTCGACCAAACTTCGGTCATTTTCAAGTGGATAGTAAGAATGTCATGATGAGTATATATATGTGTATAAGAAGTATAAAAAGTTTTTTGGAAGTGTAAAGAGACAATAAGAACATACAAAAAGAAGAAATAATTAGAAGCTAATTAAAAACCAAATTAAAGATAAAAATTAGAACCTAATTAAAAACCTTTGCACGAGTTGAGTCCGACTGCACATTGAGAGCAGGTCTTAGTTCTTGAATAAAAATCATTTCTTAAAGTAGGCAGTCAAATTTGTCGTACACTCCTTTAAAACATTAAAATTCTTCGTAAGATCCCTTGGGGCCAAAGAATGCTTGTCGCGAAAATGCTTGCCAATCAATGAAGTCTAGTTTCTGTGTTCTTGAACACGTTAATGCAGATGGCGGCGTGTGAAACCAATATAACCTGCATCGCACAGGTCATATTTAAATTTGTAAACAAGGCACTGTTGGTTCACAACCGGTGGCTTCGCTTCTCGTAAATTGAGATCTTGTTCGATCTTCTGGCTGACAGGCTGTACGGTCGTGTGGATCTTCTGACTAAAATCTTTGAGTTGGACACATACAATATCAGCCGAGGCCTGATCTTTAAACGGTAGGACAACAGAAATGGGGTTTGTTCGATCGCTGACAGTCGGTGGGGAAACAGGTTGATGGCGATAAACGTGAAAAAGTAGAGTTGACAAGTTTGTCAAGATATTTTAGTCGAGAAAACAATAATTTCAGTCGATCACATACTTCAGAGAAGTAACACCAATTGGATGAAAGCCGAAATGCACGATCAAGCATAGTTTTTAGTAACCCGCGTTTGTATCGGTAGTCTAAATGGCTCTTGTAATGCAGCAAAAGGTCAGTATTTGTGGGTTTAACGTACACCTTAGTCTCAACATGTGTGTGTTTGTTGAGCAGCTGGGTGCCCAAAAAGGGAAGCGTGCTATTACTAAAAACCGGAATGGTACTGGTTTAAAATCTCGAGGAAATTGACTGCTGATGTTATGTCTGGCATGATAGTCAGTGTGTCATCCACATATCTCTTGTAGTATGTGGGCATCTTGGATTCAAGTTTCAAAGTATCCTCAATGCTGCACATAAAAAAGTTGGCTAATAGAGGACCAAGGGCGGAGCCCATAGCAACTCCGTCTGTTTGTTCACTTATAAATGGCCGTTAAACAATAAAAGTTGGTCCTTTGTAACCGCTCTGAGAAGATCGACAAGGTCCAGCTTATTGTAGTTGAGGTGGTGTGTTTCATTCGGAATTGCATTCTTACTATTCACTTGAAAATAACCGAAGTTTGGTCGAAACGTCGTGTTTTACCGTTCATTTTTATTGTCAAAACTTATTGGAATGCCCCTATTCAATAATGCTTATTTAATAGGGGCGCTTATTATAATTAGAATAGGGGTACTTATCTTCGATATGCATTGTGAGAGCTAAGTAACTCCCACAATAACACAACAAAATGACCTGGCCAGGTCTCGAACCTAGACTCACAACTAAGAGTCCACCTCGTCAACAGTTTAGGCACCGCGTCTCCCACTCTATTTTTACTTTTTTTCTAAATGTCCGATTAACTTTCGCCTACTCGAGTTTTTAGAATACTTTTGGGTAGTTAAAAGCTTGCAACAGTAGCCGGTAAGTCTATAGACTTCATAAATATGCTTATAAACTCTTTATATGCTTTATTCGAAGCTGTCATGAGCCAGATGATTAGAGGCAAACCTTAATTTGCCTTCATACGTATCCATGTTATTAGATCGAATCACATGTACAGAGTTCTTTACGGAAGATACTTTCGCGAATGGGATATAAGAAAAATTAAATCAGTGAGAGCTATGACGCGCAATATCCTCAAGAAAGCTCAACAAACAAACGCTCACCGTTCCTTTTAATCAAAGGAAAGTATGCCGTGGGCATATCTCAGCGAGTGTACAGCGTGGATCCTTTTCTGCACGCTAATTTTACTGTTCCCTTGACGAAATAAGCTGGGAAAGAGACTTTTCTTAGTGCGTCAGTTTATTCATTTAGTGTTTTGGGATGGCACTCTAAGAAATCGGATATCATTCTTCTTCTATGGAAATTGATCTCTTGTTCATTACAAGAATGTCATCAAGAATATTGGATTGATCAGGAATCTTTAAAAGTGATTAATGATAATTCGTCCCCTTTTGATTTCGAATTGTAACATATTGGAAAGAGCTATGCCACTTTATCTTGAGTAAGTCCTAAGGCTGTTGAAAATTCCATGTTGATTGGAAGGCAACACTCAAACGATAAATTTCTTGAGGAAACAAACATTAAAGAGGCTTGAGCACTCCAAAAGGCAAAGTGAAAGGTTCTGAAAAAGGAGACTATCACAAGTTCAAGAGATGAGCCGTAAAACTTTCTGGAAAATTTGAAATACATGTTATTGACGCTGGAATGATTCTAATGGCGGAGGTTGGCTTAATTGGATGGAACTAAAAATCATTTACATCACAGGATCTTCATGTACTTGTATTAGCCCAATATTTCGGTTTGCGGCCTAAGATGACTGGAAGAGTGAGAGGCACAAGATAATTGTTTAAGACTACATTTGAAACTCAAACTTTGTGACAATGTGTGCTTGTTTAGTTCTGAGTTGCAAGTGCCAAATGTGTTACACTCTTTTTTTGTTTATAAGAACCTTTTTTAAAGGAATGTTTAAGCTGAGATAAACCAAAATTTTGAAAACATACTAAGAACATGCCCAGGCTGAAAGTCAATTAAGAACGTCTTTAATTTGCTAATTTTTTTTTTGTCAGAAGTGTAAATATAGGTAAAAGCAATGTAAAACTGTGGTCTAACAAGACAATTAATTCAAATACTCAGGGATATTTTTTAACACTGACAATGCGGTTTCTTTATTGCACAATACGCTTAAGTCGAACTTAATTTATGTATTGAAGCATTATGCCACACAACTTGAAGATGTTAATAACGTTTTCAGGCACAAATCGCAAAAAAATAAGTATGTTCAGCCTCAAGCCCAAATTAGACGATGTTCTAAAAAACAGAGTGTATTTGCACATTTACTGGCCAGGCAAGAGGGTGTACTCCTTTGGCTTTGTTGATTAGATTAGCTTTTCGGGCCTTTCTCACCGATGAATAAAGTTGAGATCACAACCTCATTTCATCAAAGGATGATCCGTAAATTGTATAGGAAATACAGTTTATATATGGAAAATTAAAGGGAGGTTTTTTCGGTGGAGTAAGAGTGTTAAATAATTACATTACGATTCACGAAGGGAGTGAAACTTTTTGAAGGCTACAATATTATTTTACGGTGGGTCACAAAAAATTACCATTAAGCAAGTGCTTTGAGCTAATACATATATAAAACGATTAATCATTTTACAGTTATAAACTACAGAATTCGAGAATTTCCTTGTTTTTTTTTATTTTTCTGAAATGCAGAGATAATTGAAAAGAAAGAGAAAACTACTCATGTGTCTGCAATCGATTTAATACGCGCTAGCGTTTTCTTGTTTCGGCAAACAGTCTCTGGGAAGTCAATCAGCATGCCAAAATGTGCTAAGAAGTCGTGTGGCCGGTTGTTGATGGACGTATTCTTGCAAAAATATGAGCTTTTCAAGTTCGAGTTTGCAATTTTTATTGCTGACCTTTGCACTCATCGTCATATCTCAAAAAGAATTCGAAAATCAAAATTCGGCCACGCGGTTTTTTTCTTCAACTATTGATCTTACTCTCTGCCAATTTCCAAGGGAATCGGTCTTATTCCGTGAGCCCCGAATTCGAGAATGTTTGGCCAATTGGTTCGATGGTCAAAGCGTAGAAGAGCGCTTCCAAAGTTTCCTTAGCCAATTTGTTTACTTTGATTCGAAATGATCTTTTCCTAAATTCTCACCAGGAATAATGTTTTTACCTCCCAAAGTGGTGAATTTCGATAGACTGCACTAAAATACTTAAGATTATGCAACAAAATCATTTTCGAAAATTTCCGTCCCTCAATGTATCTTGTATCCTTATCACATTCACACAATTGTGGAGTTCTATACCTACAGATATAGATCCTGTGCAAGCTTTAAGGTTTTTAAGAAAAACACAATATATTGATACAGTTATCTACTTATCATAGTATTTATTCATAAGGGATAGGAATGGACTTGCACTTCTTACTGATTATAATTTATTCATGTAATTTGGGGTGGGTCATGGGTTTGTTAGTCTGAGTGTCAAGCGTTTATACCAGTAAAATTAATTAATTTATTTAATTCTTTACGATAAAATTAAGGGCTCAAAATTTCATCCATAGCTCGCTCGTTAGTTTCATGACTTGATTACTCTCTTATAAACTGCGAACGAGATGCAATGGACATAAGTGAACTTGAGTCGTAGAAACAGCACAACATTGACCAAAAGGACTGCAAAGACTGATCGTGATACGCAGAACACCGCAGACAATTTGACGCGACAGCAGATTGATAAAGTTCAAACAGAATAACAACTCTAGAGCGCTGTTTTGACCTGGTTAGTAATAATGCCAACACGATGTAACTGCAGGGAATAGAACAACTAGCTCAGAGGCCAATTGCAATTGTCTTCCACATATTCAAGGTGGGGACTCTCAATGGATTTTGATCCAAATGTTTGACTATTTTTCATTAACTGTAGCATGAGAGAAGGTCAGCAAGAAACCTAAAGCTCGGCGATTTGGTGGAAATTGATTCCTAGTTGTTAGACAATTTAAATTGAGATGTAATAAGATAAAAATTTTAAGCAACAAAAATTTGGTTGGAACTGTAGATATTGTGCGAGGATAAGATTAGACCGGATTTTTGATCTTGACCGAAGGTTGGAGAAAGTTCCAATACGATTGTTTCCCTCTAGAAAGAAATGGAAGTGTTTATAAATAGAATTCATGTCCACCATAACATTATGGCTGATTGACACCATCAGTGTGCTCCATTTCGGCACCGCTTGCTCACCGCTTGTTATGTGGACTGATAATTAGGCATCACTTTAAGTTGTACGACAACGCCTGCCTCGGCAAATGTTAATGTATATTGGCTCTGATTGTTTGAGTCAATCTTTAATTAAATTAATCAAGTAAGAATTTCATACTGGAATATGAGCTATCGCCCGTAAGGAAATGGCCGCTTAGCGGCACGACTTTCTGGACTCGCTGCATTTTATTAGTCCTCATCAAGACACGACGACACGATTACAGCAGATGTTATTGGATTATACTTATTCCATAGATCACTTTAAGCAACAAAACTTAATGAGAGATTTCTTAACCACCTCAGTGATATCGGTTTCACTCGACTTATTAACATATATTAGCTGGGGCTGTTCACAGGTCAAGTCTTTTCACTCTTTCTCTTTATTCTCATAAAATTGTTAGCGACTTAAGATCTAGCATTTACCAAAATCTTAAGATGTATTTTTTTCTCAACTTACATGCGTCGTCGAGAACGCGACCAGGTTTGAGAGGCTTTGGTTACCCTAAACACCGTAAAAACAAGAGTATGACAGTTTGTTTTTGGATAAATGAAAGTCAGGGCAGGAAGAATTATAAGAAAAAAGTATTACTAAGCTAATGAATTCTGAGAAGAATTTTCGCTGCAATTAGGTGATGTAATAATCATTTTGGTCAATATTTGAGCCCCTGCATGAAATATCTAGCTAAAAGATCCGCAATGAAGATATATGATATTGGGAGCATTGGCCTCTCAACTAAATAGCAAACACAGTACCAACCAATTTAGTCAAAGTTTTTTTCCCCAGAGTGTGTTTCTATTTGGTGCCCACGAAGAATACCTGGCAGGAAAATCCATACCTATTAGTATCAATATTCACAAATATTATTCATCTAAAAGATTTCAGTCTTTTCATCCAAACGACAGAAGAATTGTTGCTCTTATCCTCTAATCTTCTCTTTGTGTACAATATGGAAAATATAAGGACAAGTCGTACAAAACTCAGATAATTTTAGAAAGCTTTAGACATCAACCCATAAATATTTGAGTAAAAAAAAAAAAGAGGGAGGGCAAATTAAAATAGTTGAACTAAAAAATACTTTCCAGTATTTTTTCAGCCGAAAAAAAAAATGATATTGGAGTCATCGGTGTTATGAACTACACGCGAATCATTTACTAACAATGCAATATTTCAACAAGCAAATGACAATGACCTAAGGAAAGTTTTGTTACATTTTACTTTCTTTCTCATTTACCACTGGCTAAAGCGGAGGGCTCCCAATGAGGGTTTTTTGTTCATTCTGCTCCAAATGATTATCGAGTGGGCCTTCAACGTGGATAACGAACTGTAAATTGGATCACAACGAAACCTGTTGTGTGTATTGGATCACGTATGGCTTGTGTGTCCTTTTTTGAGACGCACACAGTTTGATCAGTTTTGAGAAAGAAAGGCAAAACAGAAACAGATCTGAGCGTTTAAAACTTTATTGTGGATTTGAAAAATGTAAAGTTGAATAATTGTCTTTTCCTTTTATGTAGAACTTATAAGTTAGAAATTTGAAACTGTGAGATAGGTCGGTCTACCAACGGTCCATAAGGGTATTGTTGACTGCTTGAAGTCAACCTTAAGGTTGCTACACTTGCACACTATTGCACCAAATATGTGTCCAATACTGTTTTCTTTGTATAATGTTTTGCATTGTAATATGACTTTAAAAATATTTAAGCGATATATCTTTAGGATGTCTAAAAAACATGAGACTAAAAAGCAAGAAATAATCACCAACTGAATTCTACCAGCCCTTGTTGATAGTGTTTCTCTTTTTTTGTAATTTATTTACTCTGACCGAGTTTGTAAAATGCTCCTTGGAAACAGCATTGATTAAGACTAATAAAAACGATATCAATTGTTATTTATCGGAAGGCTAACTGAGTTGACTACATTCCTGATACTATCACAAGCCATTATCTATATTGAAAAACATTCTTGTTTGTACCGATAGTTTAAAAAAGCCCCTCACGCGCGACAAGAACTAGAAGCAGCTGTCTTCTAGAGCAAATCAAAGAGCCTAAATAGCTTATCGGTGAAAGCACGGCATCAGAGATGTGGTACATTATAACGACTTCTCTTTGTACAGTCCTGTTGGTAACTCTCACCAACGGTGCTTCCTTCAACAAAGACTCCGCTTTGCAGGGAAGAAATGAACAAAGAATTGGTAGGTAATAAGGTACATGAATAAGTAGTTATCTTCGAGTTACTGAAAAACAACAAATATATCATCTTTGTAAATCCGGGGATATACTTTGAACATTCGTGTCAATATAGTTTCACAAAAAGATCCAAACAACAATTTTCCTGATGTGGGATCTCCCTTTTTGACAAGAATTTTATTTGTTTCTGCGAAAAGGCGACATGCGTATTGCCCTTTCTTCATCATTTGGCTGCTGTACTTATCTCGTGTACTTTTTATTCAACTCGGTCATCGTCTCGACCCCGTTTGTGCTGACAAACATAACAGATACATAACATAAAATCTACAATCTCAGCTAGAAAAGTGAATCATTCTGCAAATAGATCACTGCATAACTCACCGTTCATTACTGGGATTCATTTTATCACAACAGAATTAAAATCACTAAGCTAAGAGGCTTTGATTTGTTTAGTCAGTATTTAACTTGAGCTCTCTGGGTAAAATCTTTGGTAAAGAAAATTCTTTGAAGAAAGCAAGTAAGACGGAAATAAAAGGAAAGAGACGCAGAAACATAGAGAGAGAGAGAGTGGGAGAGAGGGGAGACAGAGAGAGAGAGATATAATGAAAATCGCGTGCTTTCAAATGCAAAACGGGCAAAAAAGAGGGAAACCTTTAAACTTCGGACTGGACCCCACTGTGCATTTCAGTGTTGGCTCATTTAATTTGTTGCCTTGAAAGTGGTACTAGGGCCATGCTGCTGCTACACCTAAAGACAGAAAAGGAAAAATTGTCTCGGAACAAAATATGGATAAGCCGTGATGGTCTAACAAAACACGCTACGCAAACTGCAGGTCAAACGAGGACCCGTTTTAGACAAAGACCATTAAAGACCATTGCAAATATGGGAATAAAAAAATTATTTTGAGTATATTGATATTGCTTTAATCTTTGTCATGAACAGGACCAAACAAGGGAGTTTCAAGATTTCGCAGGTTTTTTGGGATGTGCGGAAACCAAATGTACAGTACAGCTATGTTCTTGTGTTGTGATGATACATTAATCCCTAGGACAACAACAGCACTTCTCATGTGCTGTGGTAGCGAGTCATACAATCCATTAACCCAGATGTGCTGCGACGCTAACCCACATTCAAAGATAGGATTCCGGCAACCAAGCTGCTGTGGAAGTGATCCTTATGATGCAAATAACACATTGTGTTGTGATAATACGCCATTACCAAAGGTTGGAGTCCAATCAGCCTGTTGCGGAAGTCGCGTATACGATATGGCTACCCAAATATGCTGTGATAGCTATGTACAATTCAAACCAGGGATACACTCAGTTTGCTGCGGCTCGCTAGCATACGATGTCAATACTCAGCTCTGCTGCGAGGGTCTTCCTGTCCGCAAAGTAGGAAATCACTCAGCTTGCTGCGGAGGGATGGCATATGATGTACAGAATCAATTGTGCTGCGAAAATCGGGTAGTTCCCAAACCCTCACCTTACTCAGCCTGTTGCCCCGCTGAGCACTATCCCACTTCCTACAATACAGTTACCCAGCTTTGTTGCGCGGGTTTTGTATATCCAGCATCTCCTGGCGTACGATGTTGTGGAGCGATGATGTATCACACAAGGATGAATATGTGTTGCGATGGCAGCCTCATATTGCCTATATTAGTAACGGGATGCAGAGGATTTGCCTGAGACCGAGCCATCATAATAATATAAGTATGGCTGTAAAAGCAAAATCACAAAGGTCTCAATGGGGTGATGAGTTTTACGGATTACGGTTAATATTTTCTCATTGAGGTCAAAATTTTTTAAATAGAGAATAATACATGGGCGCGCGTAGTTGTGGAATTTCTCTTCGAGTGTTTAACACGATAGCTCACGAGTGAGATGTCGAGTTGTACACGAGGAGCGAAATTTCATATCTACAAGCAACCATTTATTATTTTGTTTATCATATAAACACAAAAGCCCTTTACTGACTAGCAAAGTCAACTTTATTAATGAATGGATGAATGAAAAAAAAAAAAAAAAAAAAAGATTGACAATCCCTGAATAAAAATCGTAAAGTGCGTTGGCGCACCTAAGATGAAAACGTGCAATGGCCTAATTTTCAATATGCGAATTCTCAGTTATTGAAATTGTACCGACAAAAGAAATCTTTTAGGTACACGGCCAAAATCGACCTGTGGCAAATCTTCTAGTTGTTGATTTTCGTTCTCAGCCGGGAGAAATTCCATTACCAAAGCCACTGAATACGTAACTTCGGTTTTTCTTTTCGTATTTTGGTTTTCTTCCCCCTCTAGGAAAGTTTGAACGTCACTGTCTGTTAACGATACGGATTTTTCGGTGTTTTAGTAGCCATAATCCGAAAAGATTCCGACAAACGTCTGTGGATTGAGAATGGTGAAGGCTTTGCCGTTCATTCATCAACCTGATCGAGAGGCGCGAAAGGCAAGTGGCGCGTCAGTAGCTGATTGGCGATATCAAACACACGTGAAAAAATATCGTATTTTTTCACTTGTGTTGTTACGGCTTTTCACAGGGCTGGAAATCCTTGTATAAAAACGTAGTTTATATGATACAGTAATTTTTATTACAACTAGAGGTTAAAATTTGTCAAATTTTACGGCTAACAGCCAAAATCTTTGGCCGTTTACGGCTAACGGTTAACCCCACTGAGACCCTCGATCATACCTTCAGATATGCAATAATTCCGAAACCATATTTTGCATTGAATCAAAAGAAACGAGCCACTCAGGCACGATAGTATTACTGTCAACTGTAGAAGGGTAACATATTTAAAGTTATTCATTTTTGGTTGTAAACTGTACCTGCACATGTATTTACTCATCAAATATATTTCATATCAAAGGGCATTGATTATTATTGATTACACTTTTCTTCCTATTCACTCGGTGTTCCAAATTGTCATGTCGACCAGTGTAAACAATATACCTTTAGGTATCTTTATGTTTCAAACTGGTCCGTGCATCGGTCCTTAGTTCTCCATGCAAGGAACCAAACGGTTCTTCACTGGAAGTTTTATTTGGCACCAAAGGATGAGGCTAATTAAAGAAAGAAACAGCGTAAGAAAGATAAGTTAATTTTATTTGAAGGGTTTGCCATGGCTAGAAACAAATAATAATTACCATGAAGGTATCGGAAGTTCATTAATACATTACATCACAAAGGGTTACTAGATAATGAAATTAGCTCAGGGACCACCAAGGGATTTTCATTCCATCGTGTATTTCACATTTTCAGTTTGACGCGCAGTACAGCAACAGAAGTGTGATGTTTTAAGTACTGAAAAGTTATTAAATATTTTTTCATGATTTGTGATTTGATAAGCTTTCTTGTTGTGTTCGGCACCTTCTTTGTTATGGTCAATGGCCTTTGTTCAGATTTTCATGGAGGCACAAAGTCTCTGGAATTCATGCATTGAATGTTCAAAATTCCTCTTGAGCGTCTCTACTATAATCTCTGCTTAAACAACTCCGATAATCGTTAACTATATTTGACAACACTTAAACGTCCTTAAAGATAAAAGAGGATTCTAACCCTTTGCCGAGAATTATTCTACATAAATGCTGGTTTCGCATTCACGCAATCACTGAATTTCCCTTTTTTTCTTGAAACTATGTTGTTATCAACGAACCCTGAAGAATGAAAATAATGACTAATTGTAACTTTAAATGAAACAGCTTGTTCGTCCTGATGCAAATGTAACAAACACAAAAAGATATATAATGAATGCCCTTTCCTCTAACCTGATCCCTAATTACGTTGTTCTTTGGGAACTTATTTTTACCTCTCTGTTATGAAAAAGTACGAAAAGAAATAAGAATTTTAATCGTCTAAAGTTTCATCCACTCGATTGAAATTGTTAAAATTTCAACATCTTCCTCAAATGTAACAAACACAAAAGGATATATAACGATACCCTTTCCTCTAACCTGTCCTTAATTAGCTTGAGTTCAGTCGGTTATGTGCGAAATCAGGAGGTTGCAATTGAAAAGCTGATTTATTTTCAAAGAAAGACTAACTACCTATAACTGAATAAACGAAAACCTACATTAGATGTAAAGTTTCACCCACATATGACAGGGAGTCAGTTTGCTTTTCTAGCCCAAGAGTAATCAGTTCTATTAAAGAGAAACTTACTTCGTTACTGATTTTCGTTTAAAGTGTTTTAATTGAGCCGTTTCTTGAACTTCAGGAGTTGATCAATGTTTAAAATTTGCTGTTTTGGTCCTCGAGACGGTTCACCAAACAACCAGTAGTGTTTGGCTTTTTTTCCATATCTCATCTTGGTTTTGCAACGGCAATAAAGAGTTGGCCAAAAGTGATTCGCTACCATAAATGAATTCATTTGGTGGCATTGATAAACACTTTCGTGTTTGTTAAACAATTTCTCCTCATCCAAAGAGGATATTTATTAAAAATTTAACTTCTCACGACTTTTGTGGCATAGATTGATTTTGTCAATTCCTGTGGACTACAAGAGAGTAGTTACTACGGACAGCTTTTGAGGAACACTAAAGACGTGTTGAAAGTTTGTTCAAATTTCCAAACATGAACCATTTCCACTTAATCAAAACTTGTTATTAACCACCTCTTTTGTTTAAACTCCTATAGCCTGTCTCAACCTGCTATCAAAACTGAAACAAAATAACAAATATTGAAAGAAGAGAAACTGTTCAAGAGCGCTTTAATAAACCCTGGGTGAATGTAGCTGAAAATGATTTATAATCTTACTTCGATTCTAGTGACGTGCAGCTTGTTGTGTCATGTTGAAAAAGTGGAAACTTACGCTGCACAGACTATTAGACTTCTTTTCCAGGGTGACGTAAAAATGTTTGTTTTGAGATCAGTTAATAGCAGCAGGGAATAAAATAACCATATATATTTTAGAAAAAAGGCCATTCGACCATTTAATCTTACATCACCATATTCAACAATAAACAGGAACAAAAGGCATCTGTCTGCGGATCCAACGCCATTCGAAGAGTTGAGGACTAAGTGCAAGGTGCAACTTTTGCGGAAGAAGGTAAATCATTAACCTTCGTGTATACACTATACAATTATTCTCTTTGCTTAATTCTAGTCTTATTTGTTTATGAAGTTGTCTTTTATTCCTTTAATTCTGGCTTTGGTATGGCTTTCAGTGGTGTAGATATCATAATCAAGTTACTCGGGATTATTTCATGGTAAAAGCGAGTACAAAGATCAAGTAATAGCTTCACATAAGACAGTTACATAACTAGAGGTTCATTTGTCTAACTAAAGTTTTCTGTCGCTGTTTTGGTGTCTCACTACTTCACTGTGCCACATGATACTGAATCGCTGAACATTTTTAAAAAATTGTCACGGCATCTATATCAGTAACAACACTTAATCAGTTTGATCACTCATTACGGCGTTACGTTCAAGATACTGTTAAGAAAATAATGAACATGAAGTTTCTCGCAGGAAACGGATATTTTTTTCCATTCTAGTAGCCGAGTTCAGATCGGTTAAACTTTCAAAATAAAGGAAACAAAGTAGGGAGAGGGGGTTTGTTACCGGCCCAAGTCTTAGGTTTAAACATTAACCGATAAATCATGAGGTCATCGATGTAAAAATTATGAAGAGGCGAAACAAAACAAATCTAAAAGTGAGGTTAATTTAGATTTCTTCTTCCTTTTCGTACTTTTTCATTAAAGACAGGTTAAAATAAGTTCCTAAAGAACAATTCCGCAGTAGATTGAAATTGTTAAAATTTCAACATCTTTTTCTCGTTTTGTTTTGACATTTTGTCACTCAATCTTTCATATGATTTCTGGTTGTTTGAATTTCTCATGAGCTGGAATTGAATAACATAAAGTGAAATAATTGTTAACAAAATAAGAACTTGCCGGATACCACCTCACTTTTTAGTGAAACGGCCACATATCAGGCCTTATCAGCCACCATGACCCCTCACAACGGCAACATATTAGCTCCTTTCAGCTTCCTATATTGAAAAGATAAGTTTTATGAGACTAAATTTCTTCTGTGCTCACGTCCAGGTTTTTCTTTTTTATTCCTTCACGCTTCACGTATCATTACCTCAAATATTGGTTTAACCATGTATGCAAAATATCCTGCATTTTTTAGAAGTGTAGGGCTGGTCGGGCTGACGTGAGCCGGTCTGGAAAGAGCCGTCTGAGCCTGCGCTCGCATGGTTCTGTTGCAGAGAACGCAAATTCCTGTGGCAGACTTTAATATAAAAATATAACAGAAATGAAAAAAATGAGTCGCAGTTTTCGATGAATTGTCAGTCTCTTGTTCTGACTCAAGGAACTTGATAACCAGTTTTTATTACGGAATCTTTTTTGTAATCAACGCGTGCCAATGGTTTAAATGTAAATGCGTCTTATACAAGATCGAACACGATTTCAAAATTTTAATATTTAGTGCTCCTATAAACAAATACCTTTTGACTGAGTAAGTCTTGACCTCGAACCAGTTTTTTCCCGTACGGCCCTTCCGCTCAGTCACTAAGCACATAGTATTTTTGGCACTAATATTCTTAGAAGAACATCATAATCAGTCGTTACGCGATCTGACTCAACCTCCCTGGTTTTTTCGCTCCTCCGTTACCATTATGCTGTTTAATATCACGCATCATTTTACCGGCTGAACGCCTGAAACAGAGAGCCTTGATTTTACAATTTAGGAACTTTTTGTTGTCAGTGTCAGTTTGGTTCCATACCATCGCCATCATATTGACATAATGTTTCTTTGTTAGATTCATCGAGAAATTTACCAAATACAGAATGAGGAACTTCTTGATTGCATTGGCTCTGATTGCCGTTTTCGCTACTGTGCAGTGTATGCCAGCTGGTAAGTAAGCGATACATCTGCTAGTGAAATGAACGATCTGGTATAAACTTTAAGATGGTGCGGGTTTCGTACCTAACTCCAATCCTAATCAATTTTGAAAAAAAGATTCAACATGCGATGTGGCTGTGCCCTATGGGGCACACTTAGTCGAAGAGAAAATATCCCAGCTGTTTTTCTTTTCTAATATTTTTTAATGGTTTGTACAGCATTATGGATCTTATAACTAAAATGTCACGCTATTAGATACCCATGAAGATAAGGCTCGTAACTACGTTCCAGAAAGTGCCAATGCCACTGATCCAGCTGTAGCTGAACCATCTGAAGCTGAAAATGATCCAGCTCAGAGCGAGACTGAGCCTGCTGCAGAGGATGCTAGCACTGATGCTGCTGCTGACACCAAAGAAGATGATTCAGCCGCCGCTGATGACAGTAACGATGATGATCTTGATGATGATAGCGTTGACGAGAACGACGAGGATGAAGAGGACGATGAAGATGATGAAGATGATGAAGATGATGAGGATGATGAAGACGATGAAGATGATGAGGATGATGGTGACGATAGTGATGATGGTGACGATAGTGATGATGGTGATGATGAGGATGACGGTGATGATGAGGATGAGGGTGATGATGAGGATGACGGTGATGATGAATAGATGGTGGTTTATTAGTTGTAAATCATTGGCAAACGAACTAATCCAGTACACAAACTAGTGTATGTGTATCATACTAGTGCCTTTTCCGAATGGAAAATCATATTTAGTACAAATTGCTATGTAGCCTTATGGATGCAATAAAGCACTGTTATGTGCAGTCATGGTGGCCTTGACATATTAAATACTTAAATAAAAAGTTCTGCTTAACAAAGAAGTCACAAACATATTTCTTGAAAGTCCTATGTTTAGGTTATTACCTAAAGGGCCTATCAGGCAAACCCATTGTCAAAGGAAGTTCTTGTTGCTTTTACGTATCAAAACGAGGAGATATGTATACCTATCTTCAAAGATTGCCCTCATCATTGGCCAACCACAGGTATGTATCCTTACCCACAAAACCTTTTAGCATCGTCTTGTACGCATTCCATTTGTGTTTCGTAACCCTCCTTGCAACAGCTCTAGATCAAGAGAACCCTCAACTTGAGAGATATACGGTCAATGGATACAACTGCGCTTAGTCATTTCATAATGATTCGTGGTTATGCAAAGCTTTATCAACGGGGAATTCTAGCGTGGAAATTCATGCAGAAAAAGTCATGAAACAAGTCAGATCAATTAAACTCTTATTGGCTCAAAAATCTGTGATATACTGGTTTGACCAACCCTTAGTTATCGAAAAGGGGGTAAGTTTCTAAAGAAACTATGGTGCTGCGTCGGTTGGAGGTATTACAAGATGATTTTGTTTTTACCAACTAAGTTTATAGCGTAAATTGGCCAACGTAAATACTTTCTGAAGCTCAAGTCAGTTTCAAGCGTTAGTCCTTCGTTAGAGCGAAGGGCTACGCTCGCAACGTCAGCTTTAGAAACTCTTAACAGTGGCCAATTTACATTACCAACTCAGCTGATCAAACCAAATTTCCTCTAATTAATCATAATCCTGAGGCAGTAAGTTTCAAAATGGCTGCCCCTATTCTTAGCTTGAAGGCCGAATTAAGAATAGTTTTGAATGCATTTGACCCGTGCTTGACGGGAAGAGCTGCTGACGACGATATATCTCCAACTCCTCCTATGTTTCCTAAGCCATCCAGTCCTCTGAAAATTTACATGAATTTTGATAGTATCAGACATGGTTTTCTCCTTCAGAAGTTACAGAGCATAGGTGTTGCCTCTTCGAGCTTAGAGTGGTTTCATAATTACCTGTCTGGTCGTAGCCAGCGAGTGCGCATTGGGGATGCTATCTCAGACCCACTCCCTCTTAAATACGGAGTTCCTCAGGGTTCTATCTTAGGGCCTGTGTTGTTTACCATCTATGTAAATGATCTCTTGTCCGTTCCAGCCCACTGCAAGTCTGTGTGCTACGTCGATGACTGTAAACTATACCTACCCTTTCGCTCAACTGACATCGCTCGCGTATTTGGTTATCTGAACGAAGATTTGAGAGAAATTTGCTCATGGTGCTGTCAGACTTCCCTTTTAATAAACCCAGCTAAAACTAGAATCTTACTAGTTGGTGTTCCTCAACTACTGCGGAAATTGCCTCCAACGTCAATTTCACTCTTGGGAAAGGAAATAACACCAGTCCCTGTGGCAAAGGACCTTGGAGTCTACATCGACCAGTCCTTAACATATCACGATCATGTTGCTAAAACTACTTCTAACTGTATTTTCAAACTAGTACAGATTAGCAGGATTAAACACCTCTTGGACAGGAAAACCCTTTTACTTTTGATGAACGCTTTTGTTTTTAGTACAATGTATTATTGTTCGACTGTATGGGCCAACACGTCTCAAAGAAATATAAAGAAGCTTCAGCTAGTGCAGAACTTTGCTGCCCGTATTGTATTAGGTTTTAAGAAATTTGACCATATCTCCCGAGGCATCTCTTAATTGGCTCACTGTTAAGGAGAGACTTTATTTCAACGATGCTGTAATGGTATTTAAATGTGTAAATAATTTAGTTCCTGAATATCTGGCTGACATGTTTGTCCCACGATCTCGTATTCATAGTAGGGTAAGATCATGTAATCTGCTCCACATTCCACGATGCCGTCTGTCCTCTGGGCAACGTGCATTCACGTATCGCGGATGCAGATTGTGGAATAACCTTCCAAATGACTTAAAAGCAGCTGAGAATGTAAACGCCTTTAGGCTACGCCTACTGAATGTGCTCCTTAGTGGAAATGTCACGCACAGATGAATCATTTCAATCTTCTATTCTTGTCTAATTTTTGTTTTAGTTCACTAGTGTTTTTAACGTGTGCTGGCCTTTTGTATTTATATTGTACTAGCCTTAGTTTTCACTTATATATATTTTTAGGCCAATACAATGTTACTATAATATTACAATAATTTTAATGTTGGCTTTGTAACTGAAAAACCCAGCTTGGGAGTTGCAATAAACGTATGTATGTATGTATGTATGTATGTATGTATGTATGTATGTATGTATGTATGTATGTATGTATGTATGTATGTATGTATGTATGTATGTATGTCTGTATGTATGTATGTATGTATGTATGTATGTATGTATGTATGTATGTGTATGTATGTATGTATGTGTGTATGTATGTATGTATGTATGTATGTATGTCGTCTCTGTGTGTATGTATGTATGTCTGTCTGTATGTATGTACTCCGCCTATGTTTCCTAAGCCATCCAGTCCTCTGAAAGTTTACATGAATTTTTAAAAATTACTGGGAGATAGAAATCACTCACAAATAAAAGAAATTAACTTGTAAGAACCTGCGAGACTAAGATTTCCATCTATCTTCTTCACACAAGGACCTGTTTGGGGATGAATTTAAAACAAGTTCTTTCTTTGAAGGCTTTGCTCGGAACAAGTTCCCAGGGGAATTGGGGCAAATCTGTGTCATTTCAGATCCAGGTCTAGCTACACTAGCTGGCCTTAAAAAGATTACAAATTCTCTAACATCTACTTCAAACTACATTCTTGCAATAGTATGGAGAAAAAACAAACAAACAAACAACAACAACAAAAAACAAATAAAAATCTATCTTTTTGAGGCAACTGATTGAATTCTGAAATTAAACATCAAGGAGCAACAAACTTCCTGCTTTCTCCCATCACCCGAGATCGATGATTTGCAATTGCTTGAGAATTATATGACTGACCGATAAGAATCTCCCTAACATTGATCGCATCGAAGTTCTTTACCAATCCTCTTCTCAGCGAAAGTACAAAAGACAGGAGGTTTACTCTAAGGTGGTACGATCGCCCTATTCTTATCTTTTTTATTTATTTATTTATTTAGCTTCGCCTAACTAGAATACAATTTGTAAAAAAGAATACAAAAATTATTAGGCAGGGAGACCACTACAACCTAGCCAATTACAGCGGATCCCTCGTTAATTATTTATATAAAAAATATTTAATAACTAAATCTACTAATATGTAAGCAGGAAACTCAGAGGAAACAAAAAGAAAGTCCAAATTGCTAGAAGCAGCATGTTGGTGGGCATAGGAGAGACCTCGCTGTGTTGCATCTAGGACAGATTGTTCTCCAGGTTCTAATGTCGTCAACATCGTACAGGTTCAGAGCCTTTTTGTAATATTGAAGTAATAAACTTTTAAAAGAGGCTAGAGAGATGTGATTTGTACGTAGCTCAGTGGGAAGAACATTCCATGTGTGGCACACGCGTATGAAAAATGAACGTCGATATGTAACAGATCTACTTCGCTTAGGAATATAAGTAATAGCACTGCCGCTCGATGACCTAGTAGATCTTGTAAATTGCCTGCTTACAGGTAAAGCTTCACTATCTATGAAAACTAAGTTATTAACAGCTTTGTAGAAAAAGTCTATATCCAAAAATTCATGTCAGTATGAGATGGGCAACAGATTTGTTAGTTGGAGACGGGTCTCATCGGTGACATCGCAACGGAAGGGGAGCTTCAAAATTAGTTTTGTTGTACGGCACTGTATGTTTTCAACTCGCTTTAGTAGGCCAATGGACTGTGGCGACCATACTTGGGTTGCATAGCCGAGATGGCACCGGACGATAGAAAGGTACAGTGTACGACGCGTTTGGGTGCTTTGGATGTACCTAGAAAGTCGGCGCACAAACCCGAGGAGTTTTTGGCTTTCGCACACTGTTCAGATACTTGTTTGTCTGAGGTGAGTTGCTTGACACCCACACCCCAAGGTCTTTCTCTGTGTCGCAAGCTTCCAAAGGCGTTTCGTTGATAGTATAGGTAGGTTGTACAAGTGATTTTTTGCGGGAGATGCACTGGTATTTACACTTGGACTGATTAAATATGAGCCCGGATGATTCGAACCAACTGACAAGATTGTTAAGGTCGGATTGCAAGGCGTTACAGTCTGTGATGGAATCGATGCTCTTGAAAATCTTAGTATCATCGGCGTAACAGGCAACTCTCGAAGTCTTAACAGCGTTTGATGGATCGTCCACAAACAGCAGAAACTGTATCGTCCCTAGTAGGGACCCTTGTGGTACCCCGGAAGTAACCGGCAATTCTCGGGAAATAGCCCCGAGAACTGTAACTTGTTGCTTGCGTCCCTGTAAGTATGAACGGAACCAGTCGTAGAGTTTGCCAGTAATACCGTATTGGTGCAACCTTCCAAGTAGCTTGGTGTGATCACTTTGTCGAATGCCTTATTCATGTCAAGATATATAATGTCTATTTGTTACCGGCGTCGAGTTGACCGCCAATGTAATGCAAGACACTGGTGAGCTGAGTCACACAAGAACTACCGGCTAAAAACCATGCTGTTCGCGGCTGAAAAGGTGGGATATGTGATCCCGTAGACCCGCCAGGACGCAGCGCAGGAGAACTTTGGAGATGACAGGGAGAGGGGAGATAGGGCGATTATTCTCCACAAGGTCTCTTTTTCCTTTCTTGAAAATGGGCACTATATTCGCGAGTTTCTCATGTTCTGGAAAAATGCCGAGCCGCAAAGATTTGTTGAATAACATGGTCAGGGACGGTGCGATCTGGTCAGCGGTTTCCGTCTCTGACCATGTTATTCAACAAATCTTTGCAGCTCGGCATTTTTTCAGAAGAGTGGAAACTCGCGAATATAGTACCCATTTTCAAGAAAGGAAAAAGAGACCTTGTGGAGAATTATCGCCCTATCTCCCCTCTCCCTGTCATCTCCAAAGTTCTCCTGCGCTGCGTTCTGGCGGGTCTACGGGATCACATATCCCACCTCTTCAGCCACAAACGGCATGGCTTTTTAGCCGCTTGATCACTGTCGGGGACGATGTCTTCCGAATATCGCCGGGTTGAAACCAAAGGCATAGGTAGACTGTTTGACCGATGGAGCTGCAATAATCAGTGTCAAAATTAGTTGAAATATCATGTTTAAAGAGTCCTATTTATGTGTAGAATGACACTCCTGTAACTTCCACACTCTAAAAGTGCGAAAAGGGCGAAAAGTGGTTTTTTGGCGCTGGCCGCGCGGGGATTGGACCCGGGATGCTGATGTTCCGGGAAAAAGTTGGTATGGATCGCGATCGGTGGTACCTGCTGGTGGTGTTAATAAGGTCGAAAAGGGTCGCTAAAGGGCTCTGCTAACCTATCGAAAAGCGGTTTTTTGGCGCTGGCCGCGCGGGGATTGGGCCGAGAATATTGTGATTCCGGGACGTAGTTCACATGGACCGGTGCTACCTACTGGCCATAATAAAAAGGTCGAAAAAGGTCGTTAAAAGGCTCTGCTTAGAGACGAAGAAGCGGTTTTCTGGCGCTGGCCGCGCGGGAACTGGGTGGAGGGGGCGTAGACCCCGAAATATCAGTCGAGAATTATGATATACAACTGTTGGGGCAAAATTTTTTTTCTTGAAATGTCGTCTAAGGGGTCTCCTGGGGAGAGAGAGAGTGGTTTCTTGGCTCTGGCCGCGCGGGGATTGAGCCGAGTGGGCGTAAACTGTGAAATGTCAATCAAAAGTTATGAGATCTAGCTGCTGGCGTCAATAGTTTTTTTGTTAAAGGTCGTTGAGGGGATCCCCTGCCCATAGAAAATGGTCTTTTTGCAGTGTGGCCGCGCAAGACTGGGCCCGAGCGAGCTGAAACGTACATGCGCAGTTTCGCCTCGTCTTACCCTTCGAGGTGGTACCACTTTTTGGGGGTCGGTCGAAAAAAATTTTTTTCGAATTTTGGCAATTTTTTCTAAGTGTCCTCAGCTGTGCGGAAAAAAAGATGTTGAAATCCTACATAGGGACAGGTGGGCTCGTTAGCTCGGTTGATGCGAGCGAGGGAACCGGCGAGTCAGTAAGCTCTGTTCGTCACACATACGGTTCCCGCGTCATTTGCAAGCGCCCTGGAGTACTACTGAAGCAGTTTGTGAGGTTTTTTGGTCGTGCAGCCAGATTGCTGATACGAATAGAACGATGTTTCCTTAGACATCGAAGAAGGTGATGGCTCGTTGTAGGAGATGGCCTTTGGTGAGATATGTGCTTGGCATCGTTGGAAGGAAGGCGAGCGTTCCTTCGCTGACGTGCGTTCCTGCATCCTGCGGACTGGTAGGTGTTCGAACAGCATGCTTTTGGAATCGCACTGGGTAGGCAGAAAGACGTGGCATAGAAGTTCTGCTTGCTTAGGGTGGAAGGAGAGGCGGTTTTGTGTCCTTCTCCGTTGGTGCCCTTTGGCTGGGTGCAGAAAGCGCAGAAAGTGCGGAAGTGATTGGAAAGTCCAGCCTCGTCGGCTACGGCAAGAGGCTTGTGGCTGGAGCGTACCCTTGGCTTGGCTTAGTGGCTTAGGGTCGGGGACGTCTCCGTGCGGATAGCTACCTGGTTGATCCTGCCAGTAGTCATATGCTTGTCTCAAAGATTAAGCCATGCATGTCTAAGTATAAGCACTAGTACTGTGAAACTGCGAATGGCTCATTAAATCAGTTATCGTTTATTTGATTGTACCCTTACTACTTGGATAACCGTAGTAATTCTAGAGCTAATACATGCGAAAAGTCCCGACTATCTGCGGAAGGGATGTGTTTATTAGAGTAAAAACCAATGCGGGTTCTGCCCGGTGTTGTGGTGAATCATAGTAACTGATCGAATCGCACGGCCTGTGCGCTGGCGATGTTTCATTCAATTATCTGCCCTATCAACTGTCGATGGTAAGGTAGTGGCTTACCATGGTTGCAACGGGTGACGGAGAATTAGGGTTCGATTCCGGAGAGGGAGCCTGAGAAACGGCTACCACATCCAAGGAAGGCAGCAGGCGCGCAAATTACCCAATCCTGACTCAGGGAGGTAGTGACAAGAAATAACAATACAGGGCTTTTGCAAGTCTTGTAATTGGAATGAGTACAACTTAAATCCTTTAACGAGGATCCATTGGAGGGCAAGTCTGGTGCCAGCAGCCGCGGTAATTCCAGCTCCAATAGCGTATATTAAAGTTGTTGCAGTTAAAAAGCTCGTAGTTGGATTTCGGGATGGCCCGGCCGGTCTGCCGCGAGGTACGTTACTGGCCGAGCTGTTCTTCCTCGCCGAGACCGAGTGTGCTCTTAACTGAGTGTGCTTGGGATCTGCGACGTTTACTTTGAAAAAATTAGAGTGTTCAAAGCAAGCCGGCGCCTGAATACGTAAACATGGAATAATGGAATAGGATTTTGGTTCTATTTTGTTGGTTTCTGGAACCGAAGTAATGATTGAGAGAGACGGTTGGGGGCATTCGTATTTCGCTGTCAGAGGTGAAATTCTTGGATTTGCGAAAGACGAACTACTGCGAAAGCATTTGCCAAGAATGTTTTCATTAATCAAGAACGAAAGTTAGAGGATCGAAGACGATCAGATACCGTCCTAGTTCTAACCATAAACGACTCTCCTGTATGTAGCTCAAAGTTCATGGGAACTCGAGAAACCTTTGTTTTGCTCTGATAGCCAAGCTACAAACATTAGCGCTAAAGCTCCAGACATCACTCAAGGAAGTACAGCCAGTCTTATTCTTGGATTTAAGAAGGTAGACCGCATGATTGTTGACGAAGATGAGAACTATCAACTAATTCGTCTAAGAAATACGTTTCTGACAGCAGACCAGATCTTCTACCAAGAGAGGTTCACGCATAAAACCCATGCAAAAAAAATTACGTCAATTTGTAGAGTAAAACATCGTTAACACAACCATGACCAGCTTATTGAGGGCCTGTGTTCAGAGGATCTAGATAACACGTCTTGATGGTAAAAATGCAGACACTATATCAAAATACTACCTTACAATGAATTCTACACTGTTCAGAGTAAATAATACTTTATTGAATTATCTATTGTGTTACAAATCACAGCAGTCAGTAATATCAGACCTATTTCAATACTCTTTAGACGCTTTCAGTGGTGTTGAAAGGGATACACTTCTAATACAAATATCTCCACTCCACCTACAAAATATGAAAACCTCTCATTGGAACGTTTGGAAAGTGAATAAAACTAAGGGATCAAAAAAATTAAACCAAAGACGATTGCATTTACTATTTGCACTTTCCACAACTGGAAACGAGGAGACTTTTTGGGCATTGTTCACGAGTGGCGGTAAACGTCTGCCGCTCCATTTTCTGATATTAACAAGAAAAAAACGCAACGCTTTCTTTCACAAATCGTTTAGATTACCTACCAATTACAAATTGACAGAGAATTTAAAAACAATAAAATCTCACGGTATTAAAATGACGAGTGTAATTATTAAGTTCTCACTGATATAAATAATTACTACGCATTCTATCTGTCTTTAGGTTTGTGCCAGGTGTTGTTAATATGTTTTAGCGAAATATAGAACATTTTCTTTGATTCACTAAGAAATTCACACGCTGCTGATAAGTATTGTGCCTCTAATGGATTAATGAAGTTTCTAACACAGAGATGGAATGCGCGAAGAAAGACTCTAAATCATAGCCTCTAACTTTTTACACATTATGGTATATGGTAAAATTGGCCAAATGTATCAGCCACCTATTCATCAAATGAGATCTTTGTCCCTTTGTATTCCTGAATATTTCCTTTACGTGAGGCACTGAAGGGAGATCCTCCTCTTCCCCGCCCTGAAACAAAAATATAAGAACTGCTTAGAGAACAGACTGAGTTCTGTGGCATGCGTAATGGCACATGAGTCATATAAGCATGGATATAACCAATTTTCAGAGAAAGTGATCCTTGGAGTATTGACGGCAGAAAATAGCAACTTTGTGACAAATTTAAACTTCTCTGTGTACTCATATGTTGTATTACATGGTCAGTGATCACCACAGGTGTGCTACATAACCAAACTGGCTCTCTACTTACAAAGTCACTCTTTGGTGACCACATAAAGTACCTTACCTAACAGGTGCCAAAATGAAAAAAAAAAACTTAATCAACTTTTTAGCTACCTTAAAGTACAATAAAAGACACGAAAATTACAAATAAACTCACCTCTTCCCCCTCCTCTGCCTCCAAAGCCACCTCTTCCTCCTCCTCTACCACCTCTACCGCCACCTCTACCACCTCCACTCCCAGGTGTGGAGCCTCTTGGTTCTGCAAAATCAAGTCGAAGGAAACGCCCATCCAATTCTTGTCCTTCCATTGTGGATATTGCAGACTGTGCATCCTCAATACTGTTAAACTCCACATAACCAAAACTGAAAAGAGGCCATGGGACAAAGGGATTAGCACAAGTCACATGAAGAGTGTTTAATCGCCAGTTACAACTAAGACATTTAATGGAAAGGATATAATAAGTGCTAAGTTACTTTCCAGTACTCAGTAATGCCTTGTTTAAAGGTTTTTATGAGGTTCAGAACAAGAGAAGTAATTCTACACAATAAAATTTTAAGTGTAGGAGACATTTGCATGTATTTATCAAAACAACATATTCTGGGGATTTCATACCTCACTAACCCAGTTGTTAGTACTGTGAGTAACGGAGCAAGGTTTTTCCACTTGGATTGATGACCCAAACAAGTTTTAAATATTCAATAACCAAGAAAATATTAATTGAAACATCTCACAAAAAGGCACATTTGCAATCGTAAGTAATAAACAAAAAGCCAACACTATGATTCTAAACAACTAAAATAGAGGACTGTGCAAAGTATTTTCTAGATGCTTATACAAAAATAAGACAGAATTGCCATCTGTTGAGTAATCAGTTTCCTGTGCTTGGCTACTTGTATGTACAAGTGTATTTCATTCCTTATTTTGCAGCATTGACTTCACTAACACTCAATCAGTAAAGCATGGTCTCGGTTTGACAGCTTCCCTTCACTACATCACCCAGTAAACAAAGCCAAGATACTGAAGGATAAAACAAACACTAAAGGCAGGTAGAGATTCTTACCCCCTTGGATTGCCTGTGTCCCTATCAGTGATGACTCGTGCGCTGACACTATCTGGGAAAGCTCCCCTTAATGAGTCATTATCTGTGTTGTACGATAGACCAAGGCATATCAAGGTGGTTGATGGAGTACTTTTACCACGGCCTCTGTTAGAACTACCTCTGCCTCTCGAGTTTCCGTGTCCTCTGTCATTTTGGTTGCGTCTTTGCTCTGCTAAATTGACTCTTAATGCTCTGCCATCAAGTTCTGAACCATCAAGTTCCAATCCCTTTTGACTTTCTTCATGACTTGAAAAATCGACATAGCCAAATCTAAAATTCAAACATAGCAAACTTGAATGTGAGTAGTAGAAAGCTCTTGCAAAAGAAAAATATTTTAAAATATTGTAATTCCTCTTATTGGTAAACAGGATGTTAATTTCACATTCAGGTCAAGTTGGGAGTGCATGTACAAAGGTGCTCACTAAATTTCTTTACATTGTAAGTTTTTTTTTTTTTGTGGCAAGACATTGCTGTACAATCAACACGATACATGAATTAATATACAAAGTTACACTATAATAACATGGAGCACAAATACAATTCCAGCTTTTCTTGGTCCTCTACATGTATAGGCGTAAATTGTATATTGTACATAAACAAAAATGTATGAAAATGGAACATCACTATACCCTCTGGACAATCCATCTCTTGTTATGATTCTCACTTCTTCTATGGTTGCACCATTGTCCTCAAACAGAGCCCGCAGGCTTTCCTCAGTGGTGTCAAAAGACAAATTTCCCACATACAGTGAAACTGAAACATTTTATATATTCTCTTTGGCATCAAAATGCAGCAACAACAATAATTAAATAGCTTGCCTAAATTGTTAAATAATAATTGTAATAATAATAATAATAATAATAATAATAATAATAATAATAATGATAATATCTTGGCTGTGATGTTAGAGAGCAAAATCATGTTACCACTTCAAAGTTAAGGTATCCGGAGTATACTTGAGAAATGAAGAGGTTTGGTTAACAAAACACCTTAAAAAATAGATGGACACTTTGGTCTTGGCCAGATGCTCAGTAATTCTGTCAAAGCATAAATATTTGAGACAACTGATCATCAGAACTGAACTGTTTAAAAAAAAATTCAGTATCATAGAACAATCATTTACCATATATGTCTGTGCATAAGCTGCACTTTTTTTTCACAAAATTGAAGCCAAAAATCAAGGGTGTGGCTTATCCATGGATACATCTGTGTTTGGAGTTCTCAAAAACCTAATTAATATTCATAAAACTTCTTAAGATGCTAAGAAATAAAAATAAAAGAAACTGAGAGCGTGTTGCTGTAGTTCATTGACTTTTTCATCGAGTGGTTGCCCCTAAAGGAGCTGTTTGTGTCTTCAAGTGTTTATCGGCGAATCTTGCCCTCCAAGGGTTCTTTAAAGTGATTAATTTTGCTTTACTCAAACAACTAAACACCAACATACAAGGAATCTCTCGTTGTTTTTTACTAGCTTCATGGCAAATTTGTCGATTGCATTATCAGACTCCTGTTCACCATGAAGTTTTTCGCCTAATGCAGGTTTCCAAACATCTTTTTCACATGGTATCCCTGAACAGTAGAGTCGACGATGGCCAGGCCCTGGCCCAGACTCCTCCCAACATTTAAAGCTTGGCCACTAAGCACTTGTTGGTTTTCTTTTCTGTTTCGCTTTCTTTAGACTTGATTAATGTGAAAGGTAGCCACAACTTCTATGTCGGTGTTTCGAAACCTTGATTGTTTGTAGCAATACAACTCTACTGAAACTTCAAACTGTATTGTTTTTATCTTTTTCCAAATTCTGCGCTTCCAAATTGGGGGTGTGGCTTATCTATGGATGCGGCTTATACATGGACGTTTATGGTACTTCATTACACAAACTTAACTTACTTTTCTCAGTAACATCATCATCTTGTTTAAATTTCTTGCCTCCAGAATCTTCGCCATAACTGTCTGCCTTTCTTTTTTGTTTATATCCTCCCTCATTTTCTATCAAAGGCTCCTGGAGAAGATAAAACACTGATGTGGTCCCTCTGTTTTGTCATCTTGTGAAACAATGCTCTTAGTTTTCCAGGTTAATGACTCAACTGACTTAAAGAAGCATTGATCTACTGTGATGTACCAAGAGAGTTACTATTGACTGGCTGAAGGATCAATTAAAAATATGAACCTTCATATAGAAGTGAATGTTGTTGCAACAATAATACAGATGAAAGAGGTTGATTCAAAATTGAATCAATAAAGTAAATAGTTAATTTCCTATAATAGGGTATGTAAATAGCAACAGTAGTTGGTCAACTGACAATAAATGTCCAACAAAAAGTCACAAAGGAAGGTCATTTAAAAACCAGCAAAGTCTAAAACCCCTGGGTTTTAACCTTAAGACAAATGTTTCTACTTTATACCTTCAGCTTCTTGGATTTCTTGGCCTTGACTGGTTCCTCATGAAAATTGTTCTTCCGTTTCTTGGCCTGGGTTGTATCCTCAGCAGCTGGTTCATCTTCATTCTCACTCCTTGAATCTGATTCAGACTTCAAATTCTCATTGGTTTCCTTTGAGGCCCTATTACTGGGGCTTTTAATTCCATTTTTATTTCTTTTCTGTCTACCTTCTTCGTCAGAAGAATCAGAGCTAGAATCAGAAGATGTTTCTTGAGATTTCACTTCATTACTACTATTTCCTTTCTGAGTTTTTGTTACTTTAGGTCCTTCCTCTTCATCATCTGAAGAATCTGAGCTGGAGTCAGAGGAAGCTTTCTTGGTTATCACCTCTTTCTTTTTCTTTTTTATCTCTGTGACTCCCTTTGATTTTTCTTCTTCTTCAACTGATGAATCTGAGCTGGAGTCAGAAGAAGCTTTCTTGGTTTTCACTTCTTTCTTTTTATTGTTCATCTGTGCAACTACTTTTGATTTTTCCTCTTCATCATCAGAAGAATCAGAGCTGGACTCTGAGGAAACTGCCTTAGAAATCACTTCTTTCTTTTTATTCTTAGTATCTATAGCTGCTTTTGATTTTTCCTCTTCTCCATCAGAAGAATCAGAGCTGGATTCAGAGGATGCTGCTGTAGGTTTGACTTCATTCTTTTTGTTCTTAACCTCTGGGGCTGCTTTTGTTTTTTCCTCTTCTTCATCGGAAGAATCTGAGCTGGATTTAGAGCAAGCTGCTTTAGCTTTGACTGCATTCTTTTTATTCTTTATCTCTGGGCCTGCTTTTGTTTTTTCCTCTTCTTCATCAGAAGAGTCAGAACTGGATTCAGAAGAGGCTGCTTTAGGCTGCGTCATTATTTTTTTAATTCCATTCTCTGTCCCTGCTTTTTGTTTTCCTTCCTTTTCATCAGAGGAATCTGAGCTGGATTCTGATGATGCCCTCTTAGGAGGAGGTTTCTTCACTACTTGTTGTGATTTGAGAGGTTTCTTTTCTTCTTCATCTGATGAATCAGAGCTTGAATCAGCAGATGGTTCAACAGCCACTCCTCCAGCTGGTTTCCCATTTGACTTCTTTTGCTCAGTTTTCTTTTTAAGCTTCTTCTTTGTAGTAATTTTTGTTTTCTTGTTGTCATCTGAAGAATCAGAAGAGTCTGAAGACTGTGCGTTTGTCTGCTGTGGTGTTACCTTCATGGCTGTTTCACTATCACTTGAGGAGGACTCATCACTTGATGTGTCACCTTGTGTGTTTTCAATTCCCCGCACTTGTGGTGCACTGAGTTTTTCCTTCTTTTGATCTTTAATGATAGCTTGTTTTCTGGAAATAGAATGAAAAAAAATCTACTATTAATAGATGATAATGTAATTATTAGTAAAAACTGCTTAAGGTATTTTATTTCAGAAAGATAAGGAGGAAGATTAGGTTATCAGGATCCTAGCCATTTTAAATTTGAGTGCACCAGTGGAAGAAACAACCTTGGAACTTCAATTTTGAGTCAAAGTAAACTGGCTTTTTTGTGCCCAGCAAGAAGGTGTTCAAATAGATTTGGACAGAAAATACCCACGAGTGAATTGTCATACCAGTAATTGTTTTATTAGCTGTGTAATTGTTTCAGTTCTTCCCTGCTACTTTTGTTATCTAAATGAATCAGCATCATGCAGGTTAAATATTTCAAAACATTGAAGTAAGGATGCAAAAAACCAACTTAATTTGAATGTTTCTCAATTTTAGAAGGTAGCTGTTTACAAAGAGGAACTTTTAAATATTTTTACGATGAGTTACTATTAGAAGGGTCAAAAAAGCTTTCACATGTAATGAATTTCAAGGTTTGAACTGCCAACCAATCATACTCCATAGATGAGTACCTTGACCCAGCTTCATCCTCATCTGAACTTGAGTCCTGTTGAGGATAAAAGATATTCATTAAAAGGTAAAAATATGAAGAAAGCAGAAAGCGACCCATGAAAAAATTTCTACAAATATGTGTAGAGGTAAAATCAAATATGTGTAGAGGTAAAATCTTGTACTGTATAGCAATGCTAAAAAGACACAAGACCTTGTTCTCTCAAAGAAGTAAATTATCCAATAATAAAGGGTATTTAGGTGAAAAAGGTAAATTCCTGAAAGGTATCTTCTGTATGATCAAAATAGGGTGAACACTAAGGTATCTTAAGGATTGAATGACATTCCAGGTCACTCCAGATAACTATGTAGGTCACTTCGCTGTTGTGAAGACAGTGATTTCTGAATGATCAACACTTCTTTAAACTGACCACCAGACATCTGATTGACTATTCACTGACCACATGGCCCTAATTCAGACAATGTTAAGCCTGAGAGGCCAGCTAGGTGGTCAGTCAATATTCCAAGTTCACCTATGATTTTATTTCCAACATCTTCAAATATAAAACGCATCAAGTAATTAACAAATCTTAGTGTATCTATAGTGATACTTCAATTCATTTGATGGTTCCATTATCTCATCTTCCAATGTTTCCTACTTATCATGACATACCATACTACAAAAAGACAAAACAAAACAAACAAAGGGAACCTGTATTTCTACACTTACATCTGAGTCTGAAGGGGGCTGAACTGGAGGAGGCTTCTCTGGTTTTCCTTTACCTGCCTTTTTCTGGATTTTAGCCTTGACTTTCTTTGTTCCATTAATTGCATGAGGTTTCTGTTCCTTAACCTTGGACTTTTTCTCTTTGTCAAGCTTTTTAGATACATCTACTGCCTTTTCCTGAATAAAAATATCAATTTTTGTGTGCTATCATATTGGCTGCTTTTTTTAAATTTCACATTCATGATTGTTCACCTTATGTATTATGCCACAACAACAAACTCCTGTACATGGCCATATATCCCAAGTATGTGCTACTCATAAGGGTTCCACTCATTCCCATGGTCAGTTATCAGTAACCAAAGTTATCATTTTTTAAAATAAACCTTTGTATTGTGTTTTAGATTCCTGAAACACTATGATAAACTACAACTGGACATTACCAGTTTTATATAACTCTCTGAAATTAATTTTGAAAAGCATGTGTTTCAAGCATTGGCCTTTTAACAAAGAGAAGAGTTGTTCTGACAACTAAATGTAGACAGCATTTTGTTGTGATCAGGGACCTTCCCTTCAACCCTCAGCTTTTTAAAATTAACTTTAGCAGGGCTACCAAGTTTATTTTACTTGAAAATTGCCATGTGGTGACCAAAAATCATCAAGTGATTGCTTGAAACAAATGTTGGTCATTAAAAGAAGGAAAAAGACACTTAGTGCAATTGTGCATGACAGAAAAAACTGCTAACCACAGCAATTGTCTTTGGAAAAAGCAGAATGGCTGGCATTGGTTTTTGGAGATTCGTATGATATGACAAGGCTTAAAACTCTTGTGACCACGGTAAATGTTATCTCTGACTTCATACCTACATGACCACCGAACACACGTCACTACCTGGGTGGCTTGTGTCGTAAATTTAGTTGCCAAAATGTTTTCTCTAGCTGCCACCAAATCATTCGAATCTTGCAGCGCTTCTTCAGAGGTTTAACTACCACTTTCAACTTCTGGTTGTTAATGAAATACGAGTTCCAATTGCAAACTCTTTTTCTGTCTCTCTGTAATCCTTTGAAGACGAATTTACACGTGCACCGAGGATCAGTTTTCTATGCTTGAGAGTAAACATGCTTTGGATGGTAAACAGAAGTTGAACAGAGAGACTACGCAATGAAAAGAAAGTTACTCTTGTTTTTCCCCTCGCCGGAATAATCGCCAACTGATTAGATGAACACTGATCCTTGAAGTTTAAACGGCTGAAAGTATGTGACCAAAAAGGTTTTGAGCCTTGTCGTTCCGCTCAAAATTCAACCTCGACATTCCGTCGCTTAAAAATGATCAACACTCTTCCTCCCAGAGATAAAAGCCAAAATTTTAAAGAGTTAAAAAGAAGTTTGACGACGTTTGTGTTGCGCAATTTAAACACGTGCTCAGCTGCCGGGAAACAATTTTTTGCAGCGACGCTAAGCCCTTGATTTCCTTTTGCTCACTTCATAACTTAACCTCAATGGAAATACCACATTTTTTAAATAGCTCCATGCGCTTTTAAACAGCCCATGGAAGATTTGAGAAACTTACTTTCATGTTGGTTGACTTGTAGTTTACTTTGATTTCGATTTAACATTACAGATTGCCTCTCTAAACCACGTTTATACACCAGATGAACCCCGAAAATGTGGAAAGAAGAGAAAAGATACTTTTCTTACCTTCTTGGAAGTGTCAGACTTCGCCATTTTCGAAGTGATTACAACAAGCCCGCAAAAAAAAAAGGACCACGATTCCTCTCCCACGTGTTCGAAGAGATACGACTCGAGGGAAAAAGGCTGCTAGAGATTATTTATCTAGAAGTTAAGGTAGATTGGTAACGAATAAAAACAATCCCATGAACCCCTATTCTCTCACGATCCGTAACGGCTCAACCTCATCCCCAGTAATTTTCGGTCAGAATTTTGATAGACCAGAGACGGCAAATAGAATACCTCCCCTCTCGGGTCATTACCGGGAGACTTCAACCCTCAGAGTTTTTTTTTCAGGTAATGATGCAGCTATCTTTAAAACTGATAAGGAATCTCCCGGGAGGAGGTTCACCCACCCCCTGCCGTCCCCACAAACACACAGTACCACGTTTAGGTGATGCAGTTGTGAAAATGGACCAATTTTGGCGTTTCTTTTAGCCTACTTTGCATCAATTTCAATTCCAATTTTTAAAGGAAGAATTTGAAACAACATATGAAAAAATACAGGATAGAAAATTTGTATCTTTTAATTAATATTTTACTGCCAACCTTTGCAGCTTCATTGTTGGCACATGTAAACAAATGGAAGTATAGCACAAATAGTATGCTGCGGTGGTTAACATAGGCTAGGGAGATAACCTGCTGCGGTGGTTTATTTTGTTAACCCTGCAGTATGGTAGGGATAGAGCATCCCTTCTTTTATTCCCCTAGAGCTTACAAATTTTTGCTCTGCTGTTCCTATTGCACCACGATAGAGACACCTGACACAGGTCTAAGTAGGAGGTGACTGCTGCCTCACACAACCATACTCCATCTTATAGAGCTCTTTGTAAATTTATATAAACACCCTTACAATTTCCCCAGTCCTGGAAAAAAATATTTGCAAGGGAGGTAGAAGGAAAAACAAAACTCCAGCTTTCAGATGCTAATTCTGAAACAAGTGTCACTTAAACATAATTTTAATTCTTAAACAACAACCATTCTGAGGGAAAGAATGACAATTTAAATGAATACAACTGACTTGCGCTAATGAACAAGAAAATCAAGTGATGTCCTCCATCCATGCTGATGTTTTAAAAACATCATTTTGATTTCCCCTTGTGCTTTGACTATATCTTTGTTCATGTAACATTTCCCTATGACTACTTTTCTCTGACCAGGGAGAGGCAAGCAAACCCAACCCCTTATATTCCTCAATCACATCCCTTTGTTTTTTTCTGGGTTAGACTTAAGGAGACTTCAATGGCATGTGCAAAATTATAACATTGCTTTATATTAAGAGTGAAGAATTCAAATATACAGACCAGACTTCCCATCATTTTTTATCAAAATACATACCCTTAATCCAAGCTGTCTTCCCCTATTTCATTTATTTTAATTTCACATCCAGACTTATTCATTTATCCTAGAGATGCTCAAATATTCCTCAAAGTTTTCTACAAGTTCTGCCCATTTCAGAGCAAACTTCAGTAACAACGGTTGCAAATGTATCATTGGAAGGGTATAGAAGGCCGCAAAGATACCGAAGCTGATAGTTAGATCAGGCAAGAAGGCAAATTTACCAGGAGTGTGAGCAGGTGAAACTTGAGCAAAGAGACCTCACCATATTGATACAGCAGTTGATATCTGATTCACAGCAAAAGGGTTTCATTACCCTCAAGCCATCACACTTTTTCAATTTTTGGCTACCTCAGATAACAGATATCTTGAAAAATTACCTAATGTGACAAAATTAACAGAAACAACTTCTAAAATCGTTAGGTAAGCTAATAAATAAAACTGGAGTGCAGTCAAAAAACATTTCATGCACTCAACTTAAAAAAATTTATTAAACTTCTCCACTTCAAGGAAAAGAGATGTTGTGGTATGACAAAGAATAAGCAAGCAGCTTTTAACAAAAAATATAACAAATTTCCTAGTATCTATTGAATGACAGAGCTACTACCTGGTGATTAAAACCTCTCCACTCTTACAACCAGAGCTGCCATAGGTAAAAATTGTTCAAAATAGCTCAGTGGAGGTTACATAAATTATTAAATGGCTGCCAGTAAACCATCTTTCAGGCGACTCTTTGCAAGTTCTGACAGGGCCTGTAAACAAAGCAACAAATAATTAAAAATTATAGTCAACTTCCACTAACATCATGTAATTTATTTTTGCATTTTGCTTGAATTTGATTGAAAATCATTATCTTTCACCATGCTTGAAAAAAAAACAAACAAACAAACAAACCAACAAAAAAAAACAACAACAGCCACTATTCAATACAGTAAATTGCCTTAATTCAGGGTCTGTTCTGTAATGAACCACAGTTATTGTCCACAGCAAATATCATAATAACCAAAACAACTAGTTTTCACCCAACACCCCAACCAAGAAAGGAAAACAAGAAAAGTGAAACACGAGTGAGCATTAACTTGTATTTTATGACTTCCTTTTTGGTGTTTATGAATTCTTCTACTTACACTTCAAAGGAACTCTTAATATTCCTTGATACTTCTTGGTAAAAGACATTAATCATGATATAAGGAGTCAAATTTCAGTAAAGAAAACATAACTGCCATACTATGGCTAGCATATGTTTGGTTTGGGTCCATAAAACATCTTAAGCTTATAGAATTTTTCTCTATCTGCCCATTTCTGAGAGAACATGCTTTCATTTTGCAATATAACAACCTAATTACTAAACACACAGACCTTGAAAGATCTGGGTTCATGTATAGCAAGGTCTGCAAGGATCTTCCTGTTTAACTGGATATTGCACTGACAAAGAAGAAAAGAAAACTCTTTTAAACAATCATAGTAATATTGCCTGTGGTGTTTTTTCCCCAGAGAGGGCAATAAAACATTTTGCCTTTTTCAGCTAATACAGTTTACTATAACAAAAATGAATTCTGTGTTTATATTACATCCACTTAAAAAAGAAATGTAAGTGGAAAATACCTTAAGTAAACATGGTTATGAAATAAACTTAGTAAGCCACAGCAAAAGAGTATCTTTAATGCATCGTCATTGTATACATGAATAAAAATACCCCACCAAATGTAAACTGTCCATACAAACTCACTGGTTTAGACTGAGATTATTTCTCATACCTGGGCCATTTTGTTGATGAAATTAGAGTAGTTGACATTATGCTCTCTTGTAGCAATATTTATTCTTGTTATCCAAAGCTGTAAGGAGAATAATGAGAATATTAATCATTTAATTCCCAGATTAAAATGTAATCTCTCCCTATAATATCCATACTTTATCCAACAAACAGGTGTTGAGAATACTCTTGTAACTAATTAACGAATTGTTATAACTAATTCACAGGGAAAATTGCAGCAGCTAGAGAGGAGAACTAACAATCAGATCTCAAGAGTTAACACAGTGTTTTGAAAAGATTGTGTCAAAATCATTTACTACCAAGTAAAAAGAGGTAAATTATGACTCACTGCACGCATTTCTCTTTTCTTTAACCTCCTACTAATGTATTGATATTGCAAAGCCTTATGTACTCTTCTAATTGCAATACTATAGCAGTTCTTTGAACGACCGCGGAAACCCTGAAATAAACAAAACAGGAAAAGGACAAGGAGAGAGTCAAGCATGTTCTGATAATAACAAAAAATTAAGTTATTTTCTTAACCCCAGGAATGGTTCACGTTTTTAGAAATATTAAACAATTGATAAATTTGTGGTTTTTATTGTTCAACATGGAAAGGCTGAGGTCATGCCCTGTTGAGATATGTCTATTTTCAGAAATTACTGTCTTTAAGTTAGAGTGAAAAAAATGGTAATTTGGTGGGGAAACATTTTCAACCAGAATAAAGCCAGGTTAAAACAGTTGGAAAAGCATGGGTAGCAGCCACTATCAAACTCATGGGCTTCTAGAAGTCAACTGTGGTCATCTGTTAATGTCTGTTAATGACTGTAAGTATTGTCTTTTAACCAAAAAACAGTTGCTTATGTCCTCTATTGGATGATTGGTTCAGGTTGGAATGATTGATCCCCAAAGAACACAACCCAAGAAATGAGCTTAAGGTTCAAAGTCATTATTATCTCTGGCATCTGCAAGAAAGAGTGCCTTTTACCTGAAATCCAATCTAACTTTGTAAGGCAAATTGGCTCAACTATTCCAAATTTGCAAGCAGATTTGAACTCCCTTATCAAAAAACCTTCTAAAAACTTGACTCCCTCAACTCAAGCACAAAAATTGTACTTGTGCAGGGCATGAGAAGCAAACAGACAATTTGGAAACTTTAGAATAATGCAAATGGTAGGCTTTACAATTCAATTTCCTGTGAGATTACTAATCATTCTTTAGAAGATACAAAGTAAACATGTTCCAAAAAAGAAATCTCAAAGTTTTACTTTCATTATGTATGATGGAAGTAGAATGGCTGTACCTCAGGTATTTGTTCAACTTGAAACAAGCTACCCAAATTGTATTTACTGTAGTTCTTTTATTGTCTCTGCTTTATCTCGTTTTCTGTCCGAATTAGAAGGAAAATATTTTTCATTCGGACGAATGTGGTGAGGGATAATGAATTATTTACAATATTTGGATGTGAATGTATATAATTTTTTCCTGACTCACTCCAAAGACAAGCGGTGTGGTCAAGTGTTAAGTATGTTCAATCTCAACATGCTGAAATAGCATCTAGCAAATTTTCCATACGATTTCTACACGAATGAACGTTACCTTTGCAAGAGCAAGGATTTTTGCCCTTTTGATAGCCCGACTTGGTGGAGGAGCCCGCACCATGGTTGATCCTTTTGCTGAATGTCCCCTGCGCTCTCCAATAATACGCCTACACTCACTGTTAACTTGATGTCACTTTCCCTCTTGACAAGATCCCTTGCCAATATATTCTGCTCCGATTCAGTTAGAAATATTGTTTGTGTTTTCTGGGCTGTTGTTTTCGTTTGAAATTTGCAGCTAAGCAAATTAGGAAGAACAGCGCTGTAACTTCTGAAGTCCGCGTGTTGAACACTCACTAGATCAGCGGTTTGATCTTCATAGTAGATGACTTCATGTAAACATATATATTGTGAAATCCTGATAGCAATTGAAGCCGCTGACCATGAATGAGTGGAGAACTGTCCATTCCTATGACAACGAATCACACCGTCGACAAACGGGGGCTTTCGAACACATAAGCAAAGGCTCCAACCTCAGTTTCATCTCAATATATTTGTAAGTTGTCCGAGAAACAATTTGGTAAGTTACAAACGCATGCGATCTCCCTTTTTTAAGTGTAAATTATTTTTGGAGATTGTGTTTTCTGTTAGATTCAGTTAAAATGATTTTGTCTTTGTCTCTTTCGACATTGGGCTTTTAGTTGCCGATAAACTCATGATCAAGCTTTGTTGACAATTTTATTCATCAAGCTATCAAAAGTTGTTTTCAATCAATATCAGAAAAAACTAGTCATGTAAGTTATGACATAAACCAGCACGATCATATGATCGGTTGACTCTCTCACCTAAATGCATGTGTTAATGTGAGTGTATACTTTTTCCAGAATCAACATGCAAAGAGTCCATAGTAGAAGATCTGAAGGAAGCGAGGCAGAGGTTGATGGATTAGGTAATTTTGCCTCTTGCAGTGTGTTGAAAAAACGTGAAAATTCATTTCAACCAGCCATATCAAAGTGTGAAGCCTCAAAGTGTCATCATTTTTTAATTTGTTCACATTGATTCAGTCAGATTATCCAATCAGATGCCAGTGATATCTACAAGAAACTCTTATTTAAACAAAAATAAAACAAAAAAAAAAACGAGTCAACTGTATAATAATAATTTCAAATAAGACTTGGTGTTTTTCCTTTGATTTGTGTGAAAGAAAGGACGTTTAGGGTTTACAGGGCTTATTACACTAGATTTTTTAAACTGTCAAATCACAAGCTAGATTGGTTTAAAAATTTTTTTGCATGAACCATCCTATTATCTTGTTATTCAAATCTCAAAATTTGAGAGATAATACTTCTGATTTGATACATGCTTAGGGTGTTACTTGATGCTTTCTTTTTATCTCTTGGGATACAGCTGAACAAGAGCTTGCTAAACTTCAGCGTCAATATCGAATAATCGAAGGAGACAGAAGGGCTTATAGTGAAGAGACACAGAATCAAATACGAAAACAGACGTAAGTTTGTTCTTTAGAATGTTGTATTTGTATTATGTGATTTCCTGTGATTGAGGTCAAAAAATCTGCATAGTGATACTGAAATTTTTGTTTATCCTGAAAATTAGCATGACATCAGTTATGAACATAGTTAACAGATTTTATTTGGTAAAATACGCTTTGCACATCACTACTGAGAAGTACAGTGTATAGTTATGGTGTATGTTGATCATTAGCCTTAGTACAAATTATTTTAATGTATTACTATCCAAGGGGTATAACTTTTGGGGCCAGAAAAGTACAGGAGCAAGCTCAAGTTGAGAATTGGATATTATAACAACGTCAGTAGTAAAGTGTAACAGACCATAGGACAAATATCATCAGTACAGTTATGTAAATGTAAAATGCTCTATATTTTATGATGAGATAATTAAATGGAGCTAAATAATGGAACCAGTAAAACACTAAATCTGAAAAAAAATGCAGTTGTAAATATGAGCCTGGATCACCTTTAGATGCTCTTGATTTTGTAAGTATTCATATGGAACATATTGCTATGTGGGGGATTTAATTGTACATAACTTACATATTGTGTAAGTCAAATAACAATTTTTTGTAGGTAATAATACATTATACTCTGTATTCATGCTCTGTCACAATACAAGCAAAATCACTATCCACCAAGAAGAAAATCTGTATCCCACTTGTAACTCCTGCTTTGACTGAATGTTTAATGCTCTCAGGTTGCAGAATGGGATTTTGTGTTTTTGTCACATTAGTTTCCTTTACAATTGATTTGATGCTTGCTAAACCCCCTTATTCAGAGGATTTTCTAGAAACCTTTGTTGGGTTGGATATGGTATTTCTAGAAGCAAACCTCTTCAAATGTATAAACATTAACAATATAAGCTTTAAAACAAAGAGGTTAGATTAAATATGACCAATGCTTACAACTTTCTCGTCCTGTAATAGGGAAGCCATTCAGTCCCTTGAAAAAGAAAATGAAGAGCTGATGAAAGATAATACTTTAGCAGGAAGTTTGCAGAACCAGAGCCAGGTAATTCAGCAGCCATGTTTAATTTTTCATTTACTGCACCTATAATTTAGAATAGGGAGTTAAGAGTTTCAGTACTTACCACTTTAAAACCTAAACAGAATAACTCTTCATCTGCCATTTTCCTAGCTGTGTGAAATTTTATTATGGATGGAGTAATAGTTTAGGTGAGAACCTCAAACTCAGTTTGGCAGAGGTATTGTTTATCCTCTTATAAGAGACTCAAATTACTTATTTCAATTGCTTTCTTTACACCTAGGATAGAACAAATACAGACAAACTAAACAGCCTTTTAAGCCAAGAAGGTAATTAAATTGCTGTTTATTATTATGCAGTTTATTGTGGTGTTTCAAAGGAGAATTGTGCTCCATAAGCCAGACAATTTTTATCTCTACCTTTCATCCATCTCTTGGTGATCAGTTTGAACAATTAAGAGCTACACAAAAACTCAAATATTTAGTTTTTTGTAACAACTGATGAAAACATCAGCTGTTATATTTGTCCCACATTTTGGTTAATTGTGACCCCTCAAAACAATGTCAGGCATAGGTGGCCTGGTTACTGATTTGTTTTTGAAATGTTGATAATTCCTAAGTTGAGTTATAAATGCATTTTAAGGAGGCTCCACAGGGTTTTTTGACCACACGAGATCTGAGTGCAAGCGTGAGCTTTAAAAGTGTCAACATGCAAAACAAACATGGCAACAAAGAAAATAAGGATCTTTTGAGTCAGATTTATCTTGTTTCTATTGGTGGAATTTCCTAAGATTTGCTGGACCATTAAACATATTTGTGCCCTCCCTAGTGCTTGTTGATAAAAAAATTCATAAGACCAAATTTGAGGTAGAGGAAGAAAACACAAAATTGCAAATAGCAAGGAAACTACCTTTGTAACCCTTATTTTTTTTCCGCTTTTAAGTGATAGGCAGAGCAAATTTTCATTAATTGTGAAAATTTTGAGAGATTTAACCAAAGCAAATTGAAGAAAATCAAAGGTAAATTATCACTGGTGAGTGCTTCCCTTTGAGGAGCCTTAGCTTAATAACAAAAATCATTTTGATAATATAACAGTAAATGATAGTCCAAACCTTGCTGATCGCCCTTTCGATGGCTTCTAGTGACCTAAAAAAAGCAAAAACATAAATATTAAAAATAAAAATTGGTGTGTGTGTGCCAACATTGAACAAAAACCCCATGGAGCCTCCCTAAGACACTTTTTTGAAAGTTTGTATTCATGAACTTTTTGCAATATCAAACAGAGGACTACTCTGACAATCTGACATCAGACTACTCGATATACTATTAATAATGTTAATATATACGTGAAATATTAAAAAAAGATTGGTTTGAGAAGTATTTCAATAAAAGGAATTTTGTTGTACATTTTAGATGATATCAAGTTGCAGCTTGATGAGGTGAATGATGACATAAAGAGACTTGATGATCAGGTAAGAATTGTGTGCACAGGTTGCTAAGTATATAACCTATATATGTCATCTGTTATGTGAATTTTGAACAATATCTGTCTCCTTGTCAATTTCATAAGTCTGACCCTACGTTTTACTTCCTTGAGTGATTAAACATTGTGTTTCAACCTGTAGATACGAGTGATGGAAAAGAAGACTAAACAGCAAAGAAAAAATATGGGAGGGTAAGATGTATGATTTTTGACAATAAAGATAACATTTTTTTACATTTTTATGAGTAAACTAGTCCATAGTTACTGAACAATCCAAAAGTTGCAGACTGATTTTTTATCATGGAGCTTATAAATGTGTTTCTGGAGGTTTTTTTGCTTTTCTAGCTATTTTTCAGGTACCTCTTGTATTACCTCTGGTATCTTGGGCTCCCTTTCATTACAAAGTGTTTCCTCCTCTCCTCTCCTCCATCCCCCCTCAAGATTAAAGGAAGGAAGTAAAGTAAGGTGCCCACTGTGTCCTCTTTGACCCATTCCTAGAGTAGACCCCGATTATCACCTGATAACATTTGTTTTTACTTTACTACGTCTGTTTCAGAGGTCCCAAAAAAAGTTTATTTGCAGAGGTTTTATAACTTGTTTTTCTAGTGTAAACTCGCTGCCTTTTGCACTTCTTTGATATGCTATACATCCTATACATTCATCGTCCAGTTCTTTTTCTTTCTCTATAAAACGTTCATTAAATTAATTTTTTTATTAGTGTACATAGCAGCCACCTACAGAATAAGAGGACCCAAAAGTATATCAGAGTTCTTGAAAACAGATTAGACAAGGTAAAGGTTACTCTCTTTGAATTTCCTTTTTCGAGTGTCTCGGACATGGAAGGAATCGCGCGTTTCTTCATTAAAAATGAACAATCCTTACATACGAGAGAGATTGCGAATCTTTGCTGTGTTTGAGTGTGTCGATTTCAACTCATTTTGCTCACATCCATAGAGAGTTATGTTGTACTTCTTCGCCTTTTCTACACAAATTTTTCAAATATTGTAGAGGAATATCAAAGGCTGGACCACAGGTAATTGGCGTTTTTCTAAAAGTTATTTAATTTTGAACTTGCGGCGCGCTGACGACCCAGAGGTCGGGGTGATATTCTTAGAACAAGTTCTTGACTTTTCTAAACAATGGCACTGAGCTATTTTAATACACTGGCGCTCTGCTTTGACTCATTTCATATCAATGACCTTATTGAGCCAAAAAGGTATTTGGTTCATTTGGTAATGTATGATCTTGCAGTGCTGATCAGTTACAGTCACTGCGGGGCACCATATTCATGTATATGTTCATGTAGAGACTGTTCTCTTTCTCTGCAGGCCAAAATAGACTTTAACAGTTGCTTGTCAGAGAACGGTAAGCTCCGTGAAACATTTGATCACATGCGAGTGGAAAAGAAGACTTTTGACACCATTCGTCTGAAGCTAGAGAAGGAGTTAACGGAGAATAAGCAGAAAATTATGGATGGTATTGAAACATCCACAGCAGCCTATGAGGCTCGGTTCGTACCATGCTCTTCAGACTTTATAGCAAACCGTAAATTTATTTTTGTGGAATTATTGATAGTCCTAATAATTAATTCTTTTCGGACTGATTCTCAATCTGAAAGAAAACTTTGCAAAGATTTATGGTCCCATGTATCCGTTTTCTTTCCATTTTTTTATGATAATTAGTCATCTTTTTTTTCTTTTATTTACATTTTTTCAGGGCAATTGAGAATGCAGTTGTCATATTTTTACTTTGTTAATTTTATTTTTTGGTGGGTTCATAGAAATAGAGAGAGCACGTTTGTTTTCAGAAGTTTCTAAGGGAAGCCAACAGATTCCTCGCGATTTCAAACTTACATAGTTGTGTAACTATGTTTCAGCTCCACTTCAGGTTCCTCTTCCATCGTGATGGGAAAAATTCTTAGATTTTCAAGTAATGAACCACATCCCCCGGGGACTCTTCACCCTTTAAGTAAGTACACTGAACTATGTTTAATTCACACGCCTTGGTCGTATCTTTGGTAGAGATGAAGCGCAAGGGAAGATGATGGCGCTGAAAGAGAAAGCTGATAAAGATCTGGCACAATACAACACGGAACTAAAGGAGCTTATGCGTATCATTGAGCATGATCGCAAGCTGAAAGATTTCATGAGGATTAAAAGCGAAGAGAGAGCTGAAATGATGGAAGGCGAATTGTCATCTCAGAGGAAGAAAAAAGATGAAAAGGAAAAAGGCGACAAAGCTGAGGAAACCATTGAGGTTTGTAGAATGTCATGCGTCTCCTAGATTGACACAAGTCTCTTGTCACTGATTTTTGTAGTGCTACAATTCAAGGAGGAATTTACCAAACATACCTCTGAGTAACCTTTTTACAGCAGTAATGTTAGCAGTGTTAGCAAGTCAAATTCTGAGGACAGATAGCCGGGGCGTATAGGAAAAAAATTGGCGCCACGAGAATAATTTTTGATACCCAAGACATAACATAGCTGACATAGCCAACAAGACTACTCAGTGTTAGCACTGGTGAAATATTTTCTATTCTATCCAAAGGCATGCACAGTTGAGCCCAAGATGTCATGTAAGTTGATTGGGTGCAGTGTCTGTTTGCAATTGTCACTCTTTTTGCGCGTAAACAGTTTGTCGGGATATTAAAGAGATAAGAATATATTCTGGTTCTGTTGAATGTTTTTTTTTAATAGTTTCTGTGATATAACTGCTTCCTTCATTTTAGTCATACGAGTCAGCTTTCCACACCATCAAAGAAGCCACTGGTATTGAGGACATTGATCAGTTGGTCAATAAATTCATAGAAGTCGAAGACAAAAATTTTGCCCTCTTCAACTACGTCAACGAACTCAATAATGAAATCGAGCAGCTGCAAGAACAAATAAACGAGGTAAAGGAAAACGTTTACGTATATCGTAAGTGATATTATCAGTTATTTCTATTCCTACCCCTTCTCCTCTTCCCCCCACCCCCCCCGTCATGTATAGTTCCAGTGGCAACGTTGGCATTCGTTTTTCATAATAAATCATCTCGTGTAAATCGATAAAGCTGCAGCCCCTAAAAGATGACTGCTCATCGAACTTTATAACCCTGTTAATTTATTAAGCTTCTTTCCTTTATGGATACATTGCTTGATACTGTTGAACACCGGTAACCTCAGGTCTCCAATCAGAACCCAACTTTATTAACTGTAACCGCAAAAATACTCGTTTGGTGCATGAACAATTTTGTCACTGGCCAGCATTAGTTTAATATCTTGTTTGAGATAAGGAAGAGAAATTCATGTATATGCGCGCTTTTTGTTATCATCAGAATCAAGCAGAAATTGAGAAGTTCAAAAGTGAGGAAGTGGAGATGGCTAGCCAAAGGAAAGCCCTTTTGAAGGGTTTAGAGGATAACTTGTCATCATCCACGGAACAAGCTGATCAATATGACACGCAGTTTAAGCAGAGCAAGAAAATAATTGAACAACTAAAATCAGGTAAATTTCCTATAAACTAAGGCTCAGTTGATCTACAACAATTTTCTGCGGAGAAAAAAAGACCAACCTTTAAGTTCATTTAACCTGAGTGACAGTCAGCATTCGAATGCTTTCAGTTGTTGAAATTTACCTGTGATAAATAAGATTATCGCTTATGAAGTCAGACAAGAGAAGATGTTCCAAAGACATATCGGAATTGACGACGAAAAGTTCTCGTTAGGACGTACTTTATACTTTCTTTTAAGTGGACCCGTCTGTGATGATTGTTGAAACTAGCCACTAACTTTGATTAGCCAATAATTGTGCTGTATTCCTCTTAATTTTCAGGGGTGGACTCTTTATTTAACAAGATCAACTGTGACCGAAGCGCCATAACAGACATGCTTGGAGGAACATCTGGAGTTACTGATGCCAATATGATGCAGGTAGCGAAGGAATTTGCAGTTTTTTCATTTTTCATCGGGCTGATTTATACAGAACTAGACAGGTTAATAAGTTTGCACAATTTGGGTGTGTACTGTACGTCACCATAATGTGTAGGAAAATGGCCAAAACACAAGTGACAGTTGGTAGTCTTCCCAGTTCGTAGCCTTCGTTTCCAGATTTTACCTTTTCGGGATGTTGAAAATAAAAATGAAAGGGAAAAAACGTTGCGAAGAAAGTTGAAGTCCTTTTAAGTTTGATTTACCTACAACATCTATTAAATCTCATAAAATTTTGAGAACTCGCTGTTGTTTGGCAATGTCAAACCTCTTTGTATTTGTCCAGTAACACAATATATAGTAATATGCCCAACTGGTTTACATGCATGTGTTACATGGAATATGAATACTAACTGAATGTGTCTCTTTCTTTTTCTTCTCTTGTTTCACTGTTCACCTCAAATCGTTCAGTAAAAGCTTGTCAGAGCGCCTATCAACTAAATCTGCCAGGATGATACCGCCGTACACATGTATTAACTTCCATTGTTATTTGATTTTAGTTCCTTGGGTTAATCGAACAAAGAACAAATGAGCTTCTTCAAGTCCATGGCTTTGTCTCTTCAAAGGTAAACAGTGTACTGCAAATAATGTTCACATGGGGACTCATAATTTTTTCTTTGTTCCACGCTCGTGACACGACGAAAAAAAAATTCTTTCTCAATGTTCACATTGTTATGTACATATGTTCTGTTTTGCGATGGTTGTAATCGCGCATGTTTCGTTACTTATTTTCAAGGAAACTGATGGTGATAGTGAGCCCGCCGTGGCAGTAGGTCTTTTAGGTCAGGGGCCTCAGCCAGGAATGACTTCAGTGGCGATTGTTCCGCCTACAACTGGTGATGATTATGACTCAGATGCTTCGTCAGGTTCCGAGGATGACCAACGACCTCTAACCCAACAAGAACTGAAATACAAAATTTTGAAAGGGGTAACTGCTTCTTTAGTTGATTTTTACGAGTTTGGTCATTAATTTCTTAAAGGAAATGCCGCTAGCTCTTTTCCTGCTGTCGTTTATGGGACCTAGCAAGTGATTAAGTATTCTTCATAATGTTAGGTCTTCACAGGGATCTTCTCGCTATCAACTCCATCAACTTAAAAGGTCCCCATTTTTTTTATGGAGGACACTTTCGTTCTGTTCAATTTTGAAAGAAATCAACGCGATTTCTGAACGCAAGTGATAATAGGGATAAGCGATTTTTATTGAAAAATTACGTTATCAATGTTCTTATTTCGTACATCAGATAACCAAGCGCGAGGCTCATCCTAAAAAGTCGCAGCATCCGGGATCAGCTACTTCTGAAAAATCTCCATCCAAGAAAAAGAAAGGACAAAAGTGATGTTTTACAGCTGCTTGTCATCATCTCACCCACACCTCCATTGACATGTTCAGAGTATTATCGCAGAACCCGTATCCGTAAACGATGTTCTTCAGAGATAATTTGCGAAAAATGAGATGGTGTGCATCAGCACCAGACACTGTATATGCTACCCTCTTCCCCACTCCACCCCCATTGCCTTTGTAGATACTTGCCTGTCGTGCATTGTTTGCCAATATTAAAGTATGAGTTGTTTGTTGTGATCATAATAAAAACGTTCCTTAGACAAGTCATCAACGTGGGGGAGGTTGTCGTGAGAAAGGATGCCGCCTTGATTCGCCACTTTTGGACTCAAACTTTAATCGACGATAGGAAAATTATTACAGGCAGTACAAATCTAGCTCTACTTTTGAAATAGCTAGGTCACACAGTTGTGATAGCATCTCAATGACAATGAAATTTGGCAGGTTTTTTTTTTTTATCTGAGCTTATAACTAAAAGAAATAAACCGAATAACCTAAGTACTACAGTAAGCTACAGTTAAGAGCTCTTTCTATGAAAGGCCAGCTCACCTCCAAGTACTTTTTCCGCCCTTCGTATCAAATTGTCAGTACACTATTCATAGTGGGAATCGATATACATTCTATAGATGAAAAAACAATGTGATATTTCATACATGGCATGGTTCATAGAGCTCTTTGAGATGAGAAACACGTTACAAAGATAATTTACGATTCAAATCTTTTTTATTCTTCACATAAATATTGATAAACAGTTTCAGATGGAATGTTAGCTACCTCGCATTGGTCGACCTGGTTGAGTGAAGAACGAAGATTTTGAGGTTTTAAAGAAAGGGTATTACTCTTTTCTTTGAAAGGCTCTTTTTATTCATGTCAATTTCTCGGTTATTCACATAAGCAATTCTCAGATCACTTATTTCATCACGATCCTGAAACATTTCGCCCTAAGAAGGGTAACGTGAAGAATTCCTTGGTGAACTTGAACATCGGATCATTTAAATTATCACTGCAAATGCCAATCCAGCTCGTAGGATGGCACCGGTAACTTAGTTTGGATAATGTCGATCTTAGCAAGTGTTAGCGACATTCTTTGCATCAACCATCATAATTATGTAGATTTATTCTGCAATATCCTGTCAAGTAGATTTCCTAAGTAGTACAAAACTTCTAAAGATTATTAGCTGTGTTGTGAGGTGTTACAGTTACAATAAAACTACTGGTTGGGATGGAAAAACAAAACCTGTGGGAAGGAACATCTAGTCTCGTGCCCTATTGTGTTCGCATGTAAGTTCCGAATTGAGTTCGATACGTACAACGCGTCACTCGTAGAAAACGTGCTGTGTGAGTAATGCAACTTCTTCCTCAGTAAACAGTGGTCATCCTGTTGTGTTATGAACGGCTCTCTCTGATTTTGGAATTTTCCATCCGATTTTGGGCCGTTCGGTCAGTTTCCTAAGAGTTCAGTTTAATTTTCCTGGTTCTATCCAATTCAATTACAGCTTGCATTCGGACGCTTCCGTCCGTCTAATTTTGGGAAGGTTTGGGGGATTTTTGGACTTTACTGTCTGAGTTAGAGCTCTTTCGTTTAGTTTCAGACAGTTCTCTTCAATTTGGGATGGTTCAGTGCGCTCAGGTGGCTCTTTCCGATCAAGTTAGATGCTTTCGTCCGCTCAGTCGGATTTTTGACGGTTTCATCTGTTTTCAAATGGTTCCCTCTAATGTCAGGCACTTTCGTCGAGTTTGGGCCGGCTGTAAGATATGTCAGACAGTTTTGGCTGATGCTTTGGATGATTCTGTCCGATTTCAAAAGTGTTATTCCAGAGTCATACACAACTTGTTTCGGGAAAGGTTTTGTCACCTGTTGGCCTTTTTTCTGGTACTTTCAACCCAGGTAATTAATTAATCGTTTTCAACAAACTTCGTTCGCAATATCGGATTTAAAGAAAGCAGTTTGTATTTTATGAACAATCTGAAGTTCTTTTAATATTTGTTGCTCTTATTTAACTACTCCTGTGCATTTAAGTGTAAGTAATTCCCAATTTCAGATTCTAGTTTCCTTTAAGCCACGTAGGGTGAGCTCGTGTAACTTAGACACGAGGTTGTTTCTGATTGGTCGAAATGTTGATATATTGAAAGGAATCTTTGTCTTTCATTATTTGTTTACCTCTTTTAAACAGCAGGACATTGTTTACAATATCATACCATAGCTTTCATTTACCGAGAAGGTAACAGAGGAGGTAAGTTCTTAACTGTTTCATTATAAAAGCAGAACCAGTGACTTATAACAAGAAATCTTTGTCATATGTTAGAAACCTCTACAACTCACAATTTCCCGAGATAAAAGAAAGTTATTCTAACGAATGTCGATGTTTCATGATTTGTAACATGGATTCGATGTATTCAATCTTTGGTTGTACCACTTCATCGTGTTTATTTACACTTTGCTCAATACAAGACAATCCATTACAGACTTGTCATTAAAAGATCAGCCCACGCAAACGACAAGAATAATTTACTTGGGCGACTTTTTACACATGGATCATATAACAAAACTATTTTACCTTGGTTTCTGTGGCTAAAGTGCTATCAAAACTTTTTTTGCATGATTTTTCTTTGATCTTATTTTCTGACTTCCAACACAGCTTTAAAAATGAGATCAACCGACAGGTTGTGCGTGGAAACCATGCTATATGCATGTTCTCTCCCTACGGGTGTATTCACATCGTGTATAACTACTTTTATTAGCCACGCACTGATAACCTTCGGTCTTTGCTCATAACCAACGAATTGTTAGTTTTGCTCTCGTATGGTTTATTTAGATCTTTAGGGTATAATAAGTAAATTCTGTTAGGTCCGGGATAGGTTAGTTTCTCGATCCGATGACGAAGAGCCATCTTGTCTAGGGAGGCTTACTGGGAAATTCTGCGTTTTACCAGAGTAGCCCATGAAATCCTCTGCTAAAGTTAAAGTTGCAGTGAAACCTTTCTTTCACCAGTTGATTTTCATTGACCTATAGTTTAAGATCTAAGAGAAAGGGAACGTGGTCTCTTTAATTTTTCTTTGTTTGAGGAATATTGTCGAGAGCGATTGCTTCTCGGATTGTAAAATCACGTGGATAGTTAGAGAAGACCAATTTTATTTAAAAAAAATTCGCCACCTAACGAAAGTATACGTGAACATGTTTACGTGAAAAATCGATAACGCACGAACTGGGACAACTCTTGGCACGAATATCGAATGAATAAGTTTGATACCATTTTTTTCCTTAGGTAAGAGTTAACTTGGAGATCACAGTTAAGGTGGAGGATTTTTGTTGAAGCGAACGGTCAATTATCAATATTTCTTAAAGCTTGATTAGCATAGATTTTTATCTCTTACACTCATTAAACCATTTCAAATTGATCGTTAGAGTATCAGAATAAAGTGAGTCAAAAGTTAGACTTGAAATTAGAAATAAAATTCAGTTTTATTACTGACCTGCGTTGTTAAATTATGTGCAAAAATTTCCCCTCAACAACCTAAAGTAAAGATCTTCTTCATAAATTAACGTGATTCCTTGATCGTGTTGATTTTCTGTGGTGAATTAAACTTGTGAAAGTACATTTTCCGCTCAATATTGTTCTAACGGTTTTGTAAATTTCTGCAAAGTCGAAATAGATTTGACGTAACTTGTTTTTAAATTTGGTTTCTCCAAGACAAAATTTATATAACGGTCAATTCCTTTTTCTCCAATCCACAGAATCAGAAGAAACATAATGAAGATCTCAAATGTTTTACTTGTTTGTTGTGTATTGATCTTATCTCTAGAATGCTGTTCGTCAAGACCACATGGTAAGTAAATAGTTCAGACGAGCTAAAATTATTGAAAAACAACACGTTATTGTAACAAGAGAATTATATTGGGCACCAGAAATGATATCCTTCTACAGTTTGTTCTTGCACCAATTGCTTGAAAAGTCCCTGATCCATCAGAGACCAATAACTGATAAGCGCGCCGGTGGAGGCAAGTCCACTTCCGGGTTCCATCTTTGGTGAATTGAAATGTCTGCAGTTAATTTCTCTAAGTTATCATGCAAGGATCAAATGTCTTGTCATCGTTTGCTATTTAAAGTGACAAGATAATGACATTTCCGAGTTGCGCAACGCTGTGTATTTGTTATTTCGTCGACAGTGTATTTCAAAAACTGTCTCCCGTCCCTTCCTTGAGAGGAGTTTGTTTACACTGATCAGCAAAATGCATTTTTATATGAATTTGTCTTGTTATGAAGCATTTACAATAATTAAAAGTGAATTATTTCGTTATCTATCAATTCAGGTACAGACTCGATTAATTCTGGTGAATTTGATGAATCAGGAAATCTTGCAGAATCAGGAGCTTCTGGGAAGTCTGATAAAGGCCACGAAAAAAGGCGAAGAAGCTTGTTTAATTCTGAGGAGACAAAGACACAAGCCGAATCAGGAGAATCTGCTGAATCCGGGGAATCTGGCGAGTCCGGGGAATCTGCTGAATCCGGCGAGTCCGGGGAATCCGCTGAATTCGGAGAATCGGGCGAGTCTGGGGAATCTACTGAATCCGAGGAGTCCGGGGAATCCGGAGAGACCTCAGAATCCGGGGAATCTGGTGAGTCCGGGGAGTCAGGCGAGTCCGGGGAATCTGGCGAGTCCGGGGAATCAGCTGAATCTGGAGAATCCTTAGAATCTGGTGAATCTGAGGAGTTTGCCTACGAATAAAATAAAATTTACTCTCGAAAATCCCTTCATCTCAACTTACAATAATGCTTCCATTTAAACTAGAAGCACAATATTTTTATCATTTTATAAAAGGGTATTGACATGTATTAATTTTTTCCGCAATTTTTTATACAGGAACGAGTTTGATAAGTACATCTTGATAAACCTCTGTGATAGGTTCATGTTCAGCTCTCTAGTTAGACCATCATGTTTCATCTCCGAGATTATTGATTATGGTCCATTTTGTGAATTCAAGTTACTTAATTTATGGAAGTTTTACAACGCATGCTCACTCTGAAATGGCACGTGCAGAAATTTACCAGATAAGCCTGGTAACAATAAAAACAAACCAACTTTGTTGTTTTTGACGGAGTCTTTGAGTGGAATTGACGGTAAAAAAAATTCTCAGCTCAGAGCAGGGGGCTGGGAATAGAACAGTAGAATTAAGAGTAGATCCATTTTGTGGTACCCCTCACCCCAGACCTGACCAAAAGGTTCCGATCTAATGAATCTGTCTGATCATAACAAGAAAAATTAGTTTCAATCGTCCTTGAAAACTGATGTTATTAAAACTCGATGTCTGACATCAAAGATGCGCATACTTGAATAAACTTTTTTGCAAGTCATTTTGGAGGGGCATATTGGTAAGACATATGAGAAGGGAATTCGGAAACGCAAATAATGAAAGTATCTTGAGATCGTCCTTGATAGTGTTCCCACTGACCTCTTGGGTAGTGTTACCAGTAACATTTTTGAAGTGCGTTCTCGAAGTGCGTTGTCGAATCAAAAAATTCTCACACTGCGTTTTCGAGATAAGGTTTTCCAAATTACGCTAAGAGAACGCGTTCCCAGTTAATTAATTTAACCGCACGGTTGTGTCGTTACGAATTACGGTTAGATCGCTCCATGGTTAGATCGCTCCAAGTCAGATCGCTCCATACCGAAGTCAGATCGCTCCACTCGAAAGTTAGTTCGCTCCATCAAATAAGTTACTTCGCTCCATACATAAGTTACTTCGCTCCATGAAGAAAACTAAAGTGGAAGGTTGATAAAAGACAGAAGGATAAGGGAAAAGAAAAGAAAGAGTATTGTAACGCGACTAAAGACTCGCCATTTTTAACCGGAGTCGAACCCAGTCTCACTCACGGCTGGATTTGACAACGTTTAAAAATGGCGATACTTTGAAAGCAATATTTATAAATCATATTCATTGTTGGTCAGCACCAATTAACTTTTATTGTTCAGAAAAAGTTACAAGTATAACAAAAGGAAAAAAATCACACCTACCTCGCGCTGTGCACTAATTAGCTGTTATTGATAAGAATGTCACAAGTTTAAAAACAAGTATGTTTGTGGCGAAGGCGATACTGTTAACTTATGATTAACATGGGACAAGAAAATATCTAAATCGATGACGTGTTTTTCTTACTTAACAATCGATTAAGAACGCACGCGCGCTTAACCTAAGAGCGAAGAAATAAACCTCATGTAAGGAACTCGTAAAGTGTAACCTACTTTATTAAAGATGACGGGCCAGTATTTTATTCGAATGATCTTTTTAACACATTTAGACCATAACTTTATCATTTATTACTATTACATGGAGCGAAGTAACTTATGTATGGAGCGAAGTAACTTATTTGATGGAGCGAACTAACTTTCGAGTGGAGCGATCTGACTTCGGTATGGAGCGATCTGACTTGGAGCGATCTAACCATGGAGCGATCTAACCGGATACCGTCGTTACTCATGGTTATATTTTCTTACATCTTCTTTCGTATGTATGCTTTGTTTAATACCGAACAGAATGCTTTATCTTTTTATAGTTATATCAACATCCAGCACCCTAACATTAAGTTTACTATGGAGAGGGAAGAAAACCACAAGTTCCCCTTCTTATATGTTCTTTTAGATAACAATTATAGCAATCAGGGCATTATCACCTTGTATAAGAGATAATGCCCTGTGTTTCATAAGAAGACTTGCACTGGTCTTCTCATTAATTTTTACAGTTTTGTACCTTTCAGTTACAAATCAGGATTAATACGCATTCTGATAGACCGAACGTTTAAAATTAATAATACTCGGGCTGGCTTTCACCTTGACATAAATAACCTTATTAAAACGTTAAAGAGGAACTTATTCCCTTCTAACATCACCGAGAATGTTGTGAGAAAATTTCTTAACAATAACTTCACCTCCGATTCTTCTCAGAGTGCTGCTCGTAAGGAAAATTGTTTTTATTTTAAATTACCGTACATCGGTCCTTTTTCCATCACAACGCAACGCAGAATTAAGAAATCAGTTAATACATTTTCCAGTAACCTTGACATTAAGTTGGTGTTCACCCCGTTTAAAATTAAGAGTTGGTTTGGGGTCAAGGATCCTATCCCTGCGGGTTTACGATCGCGAGTTATTTATAAGTTTTCATGTACAGGCCGTGGTCCGCTATGTTGGTGAAACCAACAGACACGTCGCCACTCGCATCCGCGAACATCTCTCCTCTCACAAACATTCCCACATCTTTACGCACCTGAGAGGTTCTGAAAATTGTCGCTCCCTTGTTCAGAAGATTGTTTTAAAATTCTTGACTCTGCTTCCACAAGCTTCCAATTGAAAATCAAGGAAGCCATGCACATCCTTTGGGAGCAGCTGTCTTTAAATTCCCAGGTCAAACATCTTAATTTATCCCTTTCAAACTAATTAGTCTCCCTTCTTAACTTAAATAGTTTCACTTTTTTTTTCATTACTCTTGTTAACATCTCACTTTGTTATACTATTCATTGCATAATTTCATTTTATTTCTCATTATACAACTGAAAATGGATGTTTCATCCGAAACATGCTTTGTTTTCATTACAAAAATATATAAAAAAATGAACTTCAAAAGCATCGTGTGGTTGATCAAAGCGGTATAAACGTCTTTACTAGTCTTCAACGGGTGCTTTTTCTACCTTTATTAATTTACTTCATCAATTTTCCTTTGTTGTACTTTATTTTTGTCAAGTATCTAAGTAACAGTTCGCGGCCAAATTTATCAAATTATGACCTGTATGGTCCCTCACCTGCTCGTTCCTTTTACACCCGTACTAGAGTCTGACGCGATAGAAAGCGAGAAATGGTTTTAAGAAAAACTGCTCTTTGCCCAAGTTAGGTAGGGCTGAACGAGAAAACATTTGGCTCTCTGCCAAGCCAAATAATTTCTCGTGCGGCCGCCCACACTGATGGACTGAGTAGCAGGACAGTGCGCCAGCGGGCACGTAGGAGTTGGTCCTTCCATTATCTTTGTCAGTAAAATGACAATGATGCAAGGTCGCCAGTTTTGGATGTTTGATCACTCTTGATAATTTGCTAACAACACCGGTTCGAGTGAAAGACTCTAGCTTGACTGAAACAAGTCAAAGGTCTGATCTATCCGACAAAGGTAGATGTAAAGCCTCATAAGCATTTCAAATGAAGATTTTCAAGAACTCTATAAGCACTGCTGAAGTAAGTGAGTAACAGAACAATATGAACTGTCCTGGAAAAAAAAATTAACTACAGTTTTTTTTTTATGAAAAGTCCTTGGTATCCTCATTGCACATCAGACTAGCAAGTTTTGTCTGATTTCCAATGTAGGGTAATATCAATGCCGTGATAATTATGACTGCTGTGGTCCAAATTATTATCACTAACCTTTTAAACATTACAGAAGCCTCTATCAAAGTAAACACACTAAAGGAAAAATGTTCGTGGTACATTTTTGAGTGTTCTTCTAAAGTCATCCTTAGTATAACAAAATCTACATAAATTAAGTAAAGCAAACAATTTTGTACAGTATCTGTAATAAATAATTGTTTGCTAAGTAGTTCTCTTTAATTTAAGAATTTGAATTCAAGTCCATGACAGGAAGAGGAGGGTCAGCCACTCTCATAAGCTTGGCAGGTTTGATAAACTTTGAAATGCCATGGGGTCTTGCCACTTTACGTGATACTGTTTTGATTGGTCTTGATGGAGCAAGGAACTTTGTATGTCCACCCAGTCCATTATAACCACGTCTGAACACAGACCCCCCAGATGGTTCTGAAGCCTTTTTAGGCTGTTGTTGAGTAGGCTTCAATACTGTGCGACTGGGAGGAGAGGTTAGGCTTGTTGTCTTCACCAGGGACAATCCCATTCTGTACAGAATATTAACCAAATCCACATGTCATTGGCATGAGCCAACCCCACATGCATCCCCCACACTGGATACGAGTATGCACAAAAGTCCCCCTCTGGTTTCAATTTAAAGTTCTTTAGCATAGCAGTCTGGTGGTTTTTAAGGCCTGAGGAGTCTCTTATTTCTGGAGAGGACCAGGTTCCCCTGCCGGGTCGGGTTTTGAGGTCTAACCAAATTCGTGTTGCTTGGTTGTTCCTCAAAGTCTTCTGATTTAAACAAATTTGAAGAGAATAACTGCTACATGTATATTAGGAGTACAATGATGTTTGCGTAAAGGCTACCAATGGGTAGCAAATGCATTACAAGCAAAAAACTCTACCCGCTATAATGATCTGAAATCTAGATTTCCTTACTCTTCTGCAATGTTCCTCAGTTCACTGTTGCCATAAGAAACTTTTGACTTTGGAGATGGTGTCTCTGCTATAACAATATTTTCCAAATCGTCTTCAGGACAGCTCAGCCTTGGCCTCTTAATATCCATTGGTGCTGGACTACATTGAACATAACACTGATATTACATGTCAAAATTAAACTAAACAAATTAACTTTTTATCACAAACCTAACAAACTAAACCCGGTTTCAGTTGGACCCCTTCCTACTTACTAAAAAACAACTCCAGTACTGTTCTATTTCTTATCATCAAAAATTAGAAATATTAACTCAGACAAATTCAGAGCTTACAAGAATTAGTTCATTAAAGAAATTACTGTCATTATAAGAATTAGCCAAAACATCACAATTTTGTAGTTGGAATACCTTTCTATGTTTTGGCTAATTCTTACATTGACAGTAATTTCTTTCTTTGAACTGTGCAGGTTGGCTCCATGTTGGCTTTCAAAGAAAGCAGTACTAAGCAGGCAAGATGGGCCTCCTAAGGTAGCCAATCGGATTTCCTTTTTCTTGCCCACTGTGCTGCTAACTATATAATGGTGGTTTCAATAAAATATCTAGGTGCAGGGGGGGCATTGGCTTGTCAGCTTTGCTGTTTTGCTATGATGTGAATAACTTATCTGTTAAATGAAGTTCTCTATAATAAATAAACATTTTTTTATACAATGTATCCAGTAAATCAATAAAAACTGTTTTGTAAGAGTCTTGATATCTTGTGGACATACCTCTCCCTAATAAGGCGACCAATGGCACTACTCCGTGGACTAGGGGATGCAAATGCTCTCTCCATTGCTGTCAACTTCTTCTTATAACTCTAACATATTAAATTTTTTACAGACCAATTAAAGATTTAAGTGTGGAAAAACAAAACATATCCATCCCAAGAAAGTTCATTAATTCTAAGTTCCCGGCCAGGGGGTGGCTGGTAAGCACAGTTCTCATGAACCAAGGCAGGAAAATCTCTATCTTTTACTATTCACTCTTAACAACTAATTTAAAATCTAATGCAAATGAGACAATTTAGAATGCAGTTACTTTTCAAGAAAATGCTGGAATATCAATGCAGAATATCTACTTTAAACAGACCAACATCATTTTTTCAAAAACCAAGATGACTATGAAACAAAATTACTCACAAACAGTAACAGAATTGCAACATTCATTAATTTCTTGTATCTTTAAGTTCTGCTGACTAAGTCTATAAAACTTACGGCATTTTCTTTTTCAAGTCTTTGGATATCTTCCTCTGCCATCTTAAGATGATCTTTAATTTTTGTCAACTCAATTTCCTTGTAAGCTGCCTTTGATATTATATATATAAAAAAAATCATATCTGTAATTACTCACTGAATCTTCTGTTAATAGGTATAGATTAAGGAGAGTAACAAAATAATGATTTACAATACTAATTTCATCAACAATAACAATGAGCATGCATTATGAACCACCTCGTAATTGCGGCTTCAAAGTTTCCCATGTAAAGAACATTGTGTGAAAGAAATACAGCAATCAAACTGTTTGGTATCTTACAGATCCAATAGACAGTTCAACTTAGAAGCCTCTGTACCACTCGACTTTTACATGAAAACGTTTCAAACTCTTCAGTAATCAGCAGTGAAATAAAAATATATCAATACTTGCAAAAAATGAATTCAAGATATCAAGAGCTGAGACAAACAGGAATCTGTAAATGAAAAAACAACTAAATCTAATTTTGAGGGGGAACATTTTTCCAGTCCTATATGCAGGAAAATGTTCATTAAAGTTCAAGTTTCTTTATCATTGCTGGCTACAATTTCTATTGCCTCAATTTCAAAAATCATTTAATATATTACCTCATTTTTTATCATAACATTTTCCTTTCTAACTTTATCTGTTGTATCTATGGCTTGCTTGCATTTCAACTTTTTTTCCTCTAGTTTCCTGTTACAATGCACAAATCCCCAAAAAAGAAACAAAGTATGTAAAGTGAGAGCATGGCTACCTCAAATATAACTACATAACTACTCTAATGATTGCATTCTTGCCTTGTGATAGAGGTATATCCTGGAACCATGCATAAATGTTTACGATAGACAGAACTGTAAGACTGATAGCCATGTTATTTAATGTCATCTCTCACATTATGAGCTCAAGATTTCTACTGGAGGACAGTTGAAGGGAAAATTAAATTATCACATATAGAAATCAGGATTGAATGAATTCACTATTAGTCCAAAACTCTAAAACAAGAAAAGCTTGACTGTATTTCTACTGACAAAACAAAAATACAAGTTGGTCACACCACACACGCAGATACACCATGTAATTTACAACTGCACTGCACTGCAACAATATTTATGACCAATATATAGCAAGCAGCATACTTGCATGAAAAAGAAGTATTCACACTGTAACCTGGTAACCTAGATGGCATACTTCCCCTTGGATATTAGATAAGCTTAGAGTATTCCAAGTGAAACTTTATCCCCTTCCATCTGACTCACTTCTAAAGGCCAAGATAACCACCCCAGATAAATAAATAATAATTATTACCTTTTGAGTGTGATAAGTTGAAGGATGACTTCTGGGAATGATTTAGCATCTAACTGCTGCAACATGTCTTCCGCTTCACTTGTATGTTCATCTATTAATATCCTCATACTATAAAAAGCAACACACGTCATAGCATTGAATGTTGGAAAATGCAAGCCTCTAGCCTGAGGTTTAGATATTATTGGGTGAGTTATTTATTGCATGTTGCATATAAAGCACTCAAGGAACATTTAGAGAAAGAATTAATGAAAAAAAAGTTTTTTAATTAACCAATAAATAAAGCAATAGAGAAAATACATTGATGACAATTATAGTTAATAATACTGATTTTCTTATTATGTTATTAATATTATAATAATCATCATAACTATCATCATTATTTATAGCCATCCTCATTATTATCATCATCGTTATGACAATAATCACTTTTATTACCTAACCATGATTATTACTATCATTTGCATACCTATTACCATGAACATTATTATTGTGGTAGCTGTTACTGTTCTTGTTGTTGATTGTTACTGGATGAATTTTCAAGTTGGAAAAACTGTGCCCTCAATGACTTAACAAATTCTTCTGCTTGCCTTAAGAGCCAGAAGACATGTTCAGACAGTTTTGGTGAATGTTTACCTATGTTTTTGAAATGGGTATGGGACATGCTACAGCAAGAAAGTTGTCAAATAACTGATAATTTTGGAAATCCTGCATTTCTGGAATATTGTAGCAAGGACTTCTCTAAAATCAGGAGAAGAAAGAATAACCCTGTTCTGGGAATCCACTTTGATTGAGTGCATTTAGTTCTGAGCAATTTTCTCAATAAAAGGGTAAAAAATTTAGCAAATGTCTACTTTGAAATTTCTGTGACCATTCAAAGCCAAGAAAAGGTGTTACAAATACAAATAAAAGATGTGATCAACAAGCGATTCTGTATGCTCTACTTACCGTTTTAATTTTAAAAACTCTGCTTTTAGTTCAGTGGCTTCACTCTGTGCAGTAGCAAGTTCCCTTTCTTTTTCCTTCATATAACTTAGTTGCTTCTGTTTCATGATCATGAAAAATTTGACAAGAGGATTTTTAGATGTTTAATGAAAACGAACAACTATTGAAAATATAAGAACTATGTTTTCTACTCTTAAGCCTTAACTGTGTATCTTGTGTTGTTTCTTCACAATAACCATGATACATCCAAAGCCCCTTACAGAAAATTGTCTAACAGGAGTAGTTGAGAGTAAAGACTAAAGAGATGTTGAGAGTTAAGGGTTAACCTTGATACCTTGAGTCCAGTAGAAGTCGATTTTTCCATTTGAAGTTTCTTCTCATACCGTTTCCTCAGTTCTTCCAAAGCAGAATCTTTGACAAAAAAAAAAAAAGGGAAAAAAAATCATGTACAGAACCCATGGATGCAAGGAACAAATTTCATTAAAATATTAGAACTCAAAGGGTACTGTTTTAAAATCATCTGTATAACCAACCTCAAGCCAAGGAAGAAAGCATTAGCCATTATTTATTTGCCTTACTTCGAATTCCTTCTATTTATATATGAAAATCTCAAAAAGAGAGTACTTGTAAGGCTGATTTTCCTTTTGTTGACTGATAAACTTTACCAACCAGAAAAGAATTAACAACAGCATCCAAAATACTAAATTTGAATTTGCAGTTTCACATAATAAGACTGAAAAAAAAATTGTAAATCAATTGAAAAGTAAATCAAGAAATCCATTACACTGGAAGAGCTTTCTGAAATGCTTCCAACTTTAACACTGTGTTCACCAGGCCACCTGAAGCACTTTTTGCATGAGTGGCATAAGAAAGGAAACAGCAATGTTTTACCATCAATTTGTGCCTCAGATTTGAAATATTTTGGACATCTGAACAAAAAGATAAAGTAGTCTACTTACATATTTGCCACAGCTTCACAGACTTTTCATACAATATATTACTAACCCTTTTGCTTTTCCAAAGCAGATACTTCCTGAGCAAGTTCTCTCTGTAAAATAACCATACACAAAATGAATATCTCATAGGCTGATAGTTTACTGTAGAAATTAACCTTGTTATCACTTCCTTTGTCTCAACACAATAAGTAAACATAGAGGTTGTGGGTTCAACTCCTATGTCAGCCTAAATTTTTTCAGGCCATATTTTCATCACTACTTTTAATTAGTGGTGTTCATTACTACAAAGATCCCTCTTATCTTCATTATCATTATTTGTATGTACTCAAAATAAAAAAAATTACAAAAGGTAATATGGAAAAGTTTCCAAAAAGATCTCTATTCTTGATGGTTTACCTTGTGTTCATGTTTTAAACTCCTGAGATCAACTTCTATAAACAATAAAAAAACAGTCCATCCTTAAATCAACATCCAGTAATCCCAGCTGAGAATATCAGAGAACATGTCTGACTCTCAAACACAAGAACCCTCTAAGTTTAGTTTAATTTAGGCCTGTTTAGATCAAGTCAACAAATCTTGCATTGGCTTTCATGGGAAATGCTCCTTCCATCACATGAACCTATCATTCAAAAACTAAAATGGCAAAAGAGATAAGTCTTTCTCTGAGTTCTTTCTTGAAATATTTAAAAATGCATTAAAAATCTAACTCATAATGGGAATGTGGCTTCCACTTACAGTGTGAGTACTGAAGGGCATGAAACTAGAGTTTTTACTTAAGTTTAAGCTTAATGGCAAGCTTCCAAGCAGCTTTTTAATTGATTGTTTTGTTAATCAGTAACAAAAGATGTAACTTTTTTCCCCAACTCAAAGGAAACTGAAACAGCAATTGTATACATTTATTAAGCTTTACTACTAAAATTTAAGGACAAACTTAAGAGAAATGTCAAGAATTACATCTTCCTTTAAAAAAGTATATAATTAAACAAAAGCCATATAACAAAAACCAGTTATTTTGTGCATGAACTACAAATAGACCTTTAAAATTTTCCTCTTGTTTTATTCTTTATTCATAAGCCTTTGAAACTGAGATTCATGTGTATAAACACTGCTACATTTTGGGCAGGTCCTATAAGTTCAGCCATGTTACCATCTCATATAACCCTCTATCATCTTTAAAAACAACCACATATCAACCTTATTGAATCCCAAATTTTTACATTTGTAACCTCCTCCCTTCTGGCAAAGGCAATAGACACTGCCAAAATTTCAGAAGAGAACCCCTTAGATATTACAACTAAAAGGTTTTAGGTGGGTAGTGGTTGGCATCTCCATTGGGCACTACCAGCAACTCACTGGTGATATACACAAGATGGAAAGACAGCTTTCCTTTACCTTACTTTAATTTGAGTGATTCATGTTCAGAAAATAATTTGAAACAAGGGTATTTCTTTTAAATTTTTATGTGACATAAGCTTTCCTTCTTTTAAACTTTCTGTACTTCTCAAATTACTCTAAAGAATATCAACAAAATTCCATTAACTTCTCTTTGTGTATGTAAGATGATATCAAACAAAAAAAATGGTTCCAACAACAGATTCAGATTTGACTTGCCTTTCTGGTTCAACAAAGACTTAAGATCTTCTATAGTATTCTGCAAAATAATTTTCAACATCAACATTAATAGTGTCATGGCTAAATTAAAAAATTAATCACCTTTGGAACCATTACTGATGGTAAATGTAACACTAATATAGCATCAACAGAATACATGTACTCCTGCATCATTAACACACGATGTACCCCAAGTTATTGAGCACTAAATATTTCTATTGATCTTAGCAAAGTCAAGAGTTAAGATATACCACTGTTATGCAGAACTTTGGATTCAGGAATTGATAAACTAAATATTTCTACTGGTTGTGGCAAAGTCAAGAGTTAAGACATACCACTGTTATGCAGTACTTTGGCTTCAGGAGTTGATGAACCCTTCCCAACCCAGAAGCCATTTTAGTGTAACTGTCTGCTACAACAAAGTGCTAATTCAGTCACAATCATGCTATTTTCAATAAACATTCTTTAATCCTACTGTGATGCATTGAGTGGTCTTCCATTTACTTGAAGGTAAAATACAAATCTACAAAAAATCTCTACAGATCACAATGTTTACTGCTTCAGGTCTAAGATGCTAACATTTTACTGCTGGTAAGGGAAACATGATCCCTTAAAATCAGAAGAAAATATAATAAAAACATTTATGTCCTTTTGTGATCTTATCCTACACAACTTAAATATCCAGTTCCATACGCTTAAAGAGAGCCTTAGATGTTTGTGCTATCACCTGTGTAAGGCAGGAAATACACTGTTGCAACCATTGTTATCTCGGCCGTAGTGGCATCTAGACTTAGCCAAGGTGTATTTTTGCCTTTTAAATTGTACCTTTAGAATGTCCACATCATTTGTAACTTGTGAACTGTCCAAGTCAGCTCCGTCAAAGAACAGCACAACTGCTTTCGAGGCAGTGGTACGACATGTTGGGCATGAACGACTTTGATTTAGCCACTGATTTATGCTATGAATTTTAAGAAAATACATTTATTACTACTCCTTCGCTACTGTCGATCTAGGAAAAAAAAAAAGGAAGCAGATCGGATTCGTTCTCTACCATCTTTTTTCATTAAGAATTTTCTTGAATATGCAAAGCTTACCATGTTAGATGATAAACATGGCCACCTGTATAGGAGATCCATTGAGTATATCAAGGAAAAAAGCAAAAGCAGATTACTGTTAGATTTAAGACAGACATTTTACAACATAACATTGTGTATATCAGATCAGTAAATAATTTACAAAGATCATCCCGACTGTTGAAAATGAGACGTACATGGGCAACACGCTGCGCCATCATGAATGGATTCCCTGCAAATATTACAACGCACTCGTAGCATGTCAGACACCCCGTCTGAATTGATCTCAAACTTTGCATTGCCATATACCACAAAACAAATATCCCGCCAGAGTCATCTAGTCCGCCAGGGTATTCTCTTAAATTTTCTCCACTCTCTCCCGGATGACATTTAAGGCATGGATAGTTTGCCGGTCACAGCGGACCAATAAATCACAGGCTCAAGAACCTAGGAAGTCACGCAGTCATGCTTGACTAGATCGACGTAACTAGGAAAATAACAAAGAATAGCCGTCGCTGGGAAACCTACATCATTAGATTGCAAGGAGAAAGGATTTCCAAAATGGCAAAAGAGCTGCTTGTGAAATTATGGGACTTTCGACCGATTTTCTACGCTGTGATAACCCGTGTTTTGTTCTTTATACATGGATTTCTGTCTGTGTGGCTTCTAGCACACTGTTTGAATAAGATTGAGTTCTGGGCAACCATTTTGGGCATTGTTCTGTTGTTCTTCGAAATGGTTTACACGTTACTTGCTCGCAAAGGACAAGAATACAAGTAGTAAGTATTGAAAGTAACGCCTCCTGGTGGATTTTATTCATCTCACAAGGCTGTGTTTCAAAAATTCAAACTAAATGGAAACATAGATTAATAGTATCTGACAACTTAACATACATGTATGTACTTTAACACTGCTTTTAAGCTTTCCACGATCATGAAGACGTAAGTCAGCTTAACTGGATTGGACTCGTGATACGCTGATACTCGTTCGCACCGTCGTAGCACAGAGCCGAGGTTTTCTCTTTTTTTTTTTTTTAATTCTTCGTAAATCTTACCTTTGACAGCCAGTGACCTCTTACCTACTTACTTGTTTGCAATTAGACCACATAACTGATGCAACTCAAAAACAGGATCATGGTGTAGTAAGAATCGTTCTTGATGTCATTTTCCTGCATCAGTTAATGATTATCAAAGGGTTAAATGAAAAAATATGATAGCGTAAGAAAAAAAATAATAAAGAAGAAATATAAACCCAAACACTTGTAAAGAAGTGAACAGCACATTCATTATATTATGTACATCGTAGATCACACTCATTTCATTTTCCATTGGGAGTGAAAAATGTAGTGCTAGTAAAGGGCAAAGAGAAATTTCCCAGAGACCTACTATGACAGAAATAAGAATGAGCTCTCTTTCCATTTCATTAAGTATACATACAAAATTTAGCCATGTTGGTTACATACATGTAAAAAACATGACTGTGCTTTATCAAACACACCAATAACAACAAACTAAGCAATACATAAACTTTTGATTTTGTGGCTGACAAAGACTAGCAGTAATAGCAGCAGAAACATTGTGATCAATACAAGATTGGTTAGCCTGACTCTTACATAATGAGACGAATGATTGACCGTTCATTTATTGCTAAAAAACCAAGATGAACATCAACATTTTCTGTAAAATGTTAAGACCATGTCCACGTTCTGAACCTTAGAAATGACTGTTTTAACAATTGATCAGTCTTAAGCTGATTTGAGCAGTAATGCACTGGTGCAGAGTTAAACATACTGCATGCAAATTGCAAATTATGATCTAATGCAATTTTTCAAGAACACATTTTCTTTCTTCCAGTTTTTGGCCAAGCTGTTTCTTCTACATGTCTACAATGATTCCAGTGATATGGATTTTAGAAATAGATCTTCTAAAACAGCGTGTAGATCCAACACAGCCACCAAGGGTAAATGGAACTGTACAATCTCAAGAGAATATTCCTGGGGTAAGTTTTTTTTCCACACGGTCCAGTTGTTCCTTCAAGAAACATTGGCTGAATAACGTGCTTGAATATTCTGTTGAATGTAGAGCAAGGAAAAGAAAATGAAATTATTGTTTCCTAAAAAGCATGCTCTGTAAGGTATTTCTCAAACAGGCTATGCAAGGGCTGGTCCAGGAATGTTTGAAGAGAGGGCAGGAGGGAAGTTGGAAGTGTTTCCTAAATTTGAGTCAGAAAACACTTCTAAAACGTTAAGTGATATTTCAGTATGTGTAAATTTTAAATACTTCAAGTTGAGTTGTAATGGGCAATCCTGTTGTTGTGAGAATTTTGGTTTCAGATGAGTGTTGACTATCAACAATAAAAATACCAACAGGTCTGATGGGAGAAAGGGGGAGAGGGGGGGGGAAGAAGGGGTCTAAAAAAGTGAAATTTTACTCATTCTGCGACAACTGCATAATGTAATTGCAATTCAAATTGGATGTGCATTTGTTTTCTTTCAGCCATACATTTTACTACTAAGTGAGAATCATGAAGAAAACAGTTTTAGAGCTGTATCCTCTCGCAGGCATTCCTTCCCAGATCCTTACAATGAATGGCTTTTGCTGTGCTTGTACTCAAACACAAATTTAGCTTTTTGGTCTCTGTTCTCTTTGCCTGCTGTTCATGCTAGCTTGCTTTTCCAGCTGAAAACCTCCATTCTCTGCCTTCACAGCTGCTTTAATTGAGAGAAAATACAGTTAATGTCATTAAATGTACCCATTCTCTGAATGTTGTGTGAAGAAAATTTGTGAAAAATAACATGTCCCTTTCTTTCAAGTGTTTATTTTTTAAATATGGTAATTTTTTAATTTGCAGTGTCTTGGAAATGTGGGTACATCAACACTAGCCAAACAGATATGTGAACTGGGTCTGATCATTGGAATAATCATTGGAAGATGGCTTCTACCAAGAGGTGAGATTACCCGTGACCAGCTGTCAGCTCTTTTATTGGGTTATGTTGGCACTGCAGCAGACATTCTTGAATTATTTGAAGTCCTTCAAGAAGATGTTGTTCAAGCTGAGAAGTCAGTGACATTTGCAGTGCTAGGTGTGTATACATGGAGCTTGTTACAGTTTTGTCTTGTCACCACAGCCACAACTGGAAAGAACAACCAGATAAGGATCACAAACAACAAGGTGGGTTGACTGTGCACTCAACATCAGGGAGGGTTTGAAGTGAAAATGTAATAACATAGTTAATTCAGTCCTGAAATAATTTCCATCAGATATCTCAGGAATACAATGTGCTTGTTCTTACCTCTTGGCTGCCAGTAAACAAACTTTCCATATAATATTTAATTTGACACACTTTCAAGCATGCATAACATCCAGGGGATCATAGCCCAGGACTTGGTAGCTAAAACTCTTTGGTCATTGACATGTAGTTGGAAAATAAATTTCTAGAACTGAGGTGTAAAAAGGTTATTTTTTATACAAAGGTAGATTGTTTTGCTGTGGAAAACTAGATTGACCCGATTGCTCAGTCAAAGTTTCCTTAAAAGTTAAGATTTCAAGTGTACCAGTATACCTTATTTTGCAAATCTCTTTCTTTGAAAATAACAGTCTGGGACAAACTTTGCTTGGACTTTGGTAAAAACATGTAATTTTGACCTTCCAGCAAGACCAACAAAACATGTCACAGCACTCCTCTTTTTAAGGTTAGATATTACAAGAGTGCAGCATCCTGTTACTGAAAATTTATTCATTCAACATCACACCATCACAGTGAAGGGAGAAGCAAAATTAGGAACAGAAAAGAAATAACTCACAATCAGATTAGGGTTCATAGAGTATTTGTCTTCAGTTGCTTGTCATTTCAAACATAATCTATTCCATCAATTGCTAAAAGGAACAACATTCGGAATACAAGCTAAGAATATGGTTTATTGTTATTATAGTTCGTATTCTATCAGTTTTGATTCAAATCCTTTGAACTTTGGAATTTGAATTAAACTTTTCAGGTAGTATGTGTATCAAAATGAAGGGAGAAAGTTTTTAAAAGATACTTTGATTCTGCATTGGTAGGGGGTGTAGCAAGAAAATGTTCTTTTTATCCACTGAGTTGATAATGTAATTTTGCCATTGTAAAGTGTTTCTAAAGCTGCTGTTTTGAGCGTTTGCACTTCTTCATGCCCTTTAAGAGTTAATGCTCAAAACATCAGTTCTTAAAGGTGGCAAATTTACTTTATCAGCTCAGTTGGTAAAACCAAATTATCTAGTATGTTTATGTGTGTACTATTATTTGGAACACTTATCACAACCATGTCAAAAAAATTGTTTCCAGGTTTCACCTGATGATGTCATAAACAGGAAAATAAGTCTCCATAGGTATGAAAAACAAGAAGATCTCAAGGAGAGATACATTCAGAGATTACAGATGAAACGTCGCCAAACAGAAATGAATGTCTTGCGTGGAAAGGGATACAAAGGTGAAAAGAAGGAAAAGAAAATTTACCCAATTACAACTGCCAGGGGAGAGGTAAAAGAGATCTCTCGGCGAGAAATGCTGCTTCATGGTGACATATTTGGCATCCTGACTGGCATCTTCATGCAAGATGGACCATTTTTGATCCTGCGACTACTATTGATAATCAATTACCAAGTATACAGTGAGATGCATATTTTCTTCACATGTAAGAATGCCATTGCTTTGAGTCTGCTGGTGTATAGATTGTGTATTCTGACCTGTACTGGTGAAGATGAGGAAGACCTTGAACACGAGGAACAAGAATCCAGGTTACAAAATGTCCAACAAGCAGTTTTAAGTGAGAACTTTAAGAAGGCAGGTGCCATACAACTGGCAGGTTGATGGCAGTAATTCTTTCTACTGCTGTTTAATGTGGCTTTGGTACATGTACATGCTTTACTGAATCATAGCCATCCACAATATTTTAAAAGCATGGTTATGCCTTAATTTTTCTTTCTTTTTACAAAAAAGAGTTGCTGAGAAGTATGTATAAACACCTGCAAACACTTTATTTGTAGGATAAAAGTAGACAATCCTGAGTAGAAAGGAATTGCCTGTTTGGGTGATCAATAAGAACACAAGGGAAAAAAAATAATCGTCGAAGTTATTAGTGCTCAGATACGCCATTTTAAATTAAATGTTGATTGCTGTTGATTCAACATCACATTGATGTGTATACAAAAGAGCCACAATGAACCTGTTGGAGTCATTAAAAGTTACTCATTTGCTGTTTGTTGGCTTGTTTTAACTTGACAAAGCACCAAACTGTATTTAGCCTATTTAATGAACAGACAATTACTGTACCTTGGCATGAATGTTACCTTTGTATGAGGTAGCAAATGAATAATCTGTACAGGACATTTCAAACTAATATAAACGTGAACGCAAATTAAATACTCACTGTATCATAAAAGACTGTGAACACTACTCAAACTACAAGAACTATGTTGAATTTAATAGGTTTTTAACCATTTCACTTGTTGGCTTTTGTTTTGATGATCATTTTGTTAATGATTAAAAATAATTTAGATCAGCTTTTTTCAAACGGTATTGTTGACTGTGAAACTCCCTTGTAAATAGTTATTTATTTCAACTTATGATCTATTGAAAGTTAAATTAAAGTTCTTCTGTATCCTTTACTTGATTTGCCTGCAAGCTTCTCTGTTAGTGTTTACAATTTTTTTTGTAACTATTGTGCGCTAGGACTAGTAAAAATTTTATCTGGTTATTTTTAGAAGGTTTGTAAGTCATGCTTTGTTTGATTTGACAGGAGAGGAAAATATGTTTACTTCAGTTTGTAGTATTGAGCTTCTGAAAGACAAGACAAAAACACTATTATACATGCTTAATATCTCATATTTTTTGATACTTAAGACAACTGATAAAAACAAGGTATTTTGTAGTGAAATGGAGATAGTTGTGTGTGGAATTTTTTCCATGATTAGAACATGCCTTTGAGAGGTATTCAGATAACATTTTATTTAATGAATCTTAAAATCTAAGTAAAGGTGGACTTATAACCTTGTATATGGTGTCAAGGATTTGCAAGCAATATCACAATAAATACCTGCTTTCATCAACAAGTTACACTTGAAAAATAAGCACAGGTTTCAATTAGTTCTTGTCTGCAATTGACATCAACCACATGCTTTAAAGGCTTCACATATCCTTTATATGCTCTAAGTTACCTAAAGAATGAACTAGAAGTTTCTAGCCAAATTGCCTAAACCTATTAATGGAGGAAGTGATGCTTATTGTAGAGATGATTAATGTATTTTGTAGAGCAGCATGTGACATTCAGTGTAGGTTGTATGCTACTAACTTGTATTGTACTAAGTATATTTTTTAATAAAAACTATAAATAAAATTTGAAAAAGATAATAGAATGTTGGCCTATATGTTACTGTTAAGTTTGCAAGTCTTTGTAAGAATGCTGTATCAAACAAGGGTCTGAAAAAACTGCAACTTGACCACAAGCAGGTATTTGTCCTGGCTGTGAACACTGCACAAGGTGCTATGAGGATGAGGAAGCAAGTCTATCGAAGACTGTTTTTTCCCTTTATGGTACCTCCCTATTTAAGTTGAAAGCCACATGTAATCAGTGTTTTTTATTGGTTGTGACATTTGTGTCTCCAATGTTCTGGGCAGCATTCTTGATCTTGAAACTTCTAGTTATCCTCTGAGTTTCCTGTGGCAGTTTGTATAGTTCCCAGATCAATTTCTTGATTTTCTTGGTGAGGCGATTCCTTTTTTGGTTAATCTTTCTTGTTCCCTACTTTGCTGGAAATTTCTCCTGACAAAGACATAGATTACAATTATTATTGACTTCTGGGGAAGTTCCCATCAGCAGTAACAGGTTGTGACATGGAGTAGCCAATTCATAAGTTGGGTTGGAAATTGACTGTGGTATCACAGTAAATGATTTGAATCTGGGGAAACATGTGATAGTGTAGTTTGATTGTCTAGGTAAGTGTAGTCCTGAGAAGCACTGTTGTTGGTAGTTGTGACTGACATTTCCACAACCTGGGTGGAAGTCATCATTAGAGTCAAGTGAATAGTTGTTGTCAATTGAATGTGTTTAGTCCAGTTCATATATTAAAAAAAAAAAAAAAGAAAGAATTGGTCAATTAAGCCGTGATGTCATTGGCTAATAGACTCATGGCACAAGTTGATTGTGATTGGTGTGTTAAAAGATTAGACTACTTGAAAAGATGGTTGATAATCAAAGAAACTGCAAAGCCACAAAAAAACTAATCCCCCCTTGATGACAGCTACTTCCTAACAATGATTAAATTTAGGATAAAGCAAATCTTGTGTCCTGGAGTCACTACAACAAAACCACAGGTAATCAAACCAATTACATGGAACCAGCAATGAATTCCATCTAAATGTGTTTGATTGTTGCTTGCTGATGGGCACTACTGAATTTGACAGAAGGCCTTATTCAAATCTGAAAATTTGATTGCTTAATTTTATTTAAGGGACCTTATTAAGGTGTACTTAATTACTACACTTCTCATGATAACATTTCAAAGAGGCAATTGAAAGTCACTTTTTACCTTGAGGAGCAATTTTGTTGGAATATTTTTTCAACTTGGCAACATAAAATCCATCCATGTTGTGAGTGTGAGGGAAAAATCTCTTGCTCAATTTTAAGGAAGGATGGAAATGTTTTCCCCTGAACCTAGGAAAGAAATTGTTATAACCAAGCACCAGTCAAACTACTTCTACTTGTTATACTTGGGTTGGTATAATGTCACTGAGTGAAAATTTGTGGTTAAGGTAAAGATGAAACAAAAGTTGTGTGGCCAGGGACACCAGCTGCAAGCTAACAAGAACTGCTAAAATAATAAGCTGGAACTCAAGAGGATGTCACTGTGGTCTACTGACTTGCTGTTTCTTTTTCTGTTTTTTTCTTTCTTTTTCTTTTTCAGTTTTTTTTTTTGTAACAGTTGCTAAAAACCCTGGTCAGTGAAGGGGTTCTATGATTTAGAAATGTTTTCGGAGTGTAATACAATTTTGGGTAAAAGTGAAGGACAGTTTTGAAAGATATTGTTGGCCAGCTATCAGCTGACTGTCGGCCATCTGTCGGCCAACAGTTGGCAAGTAATCAGCCGACAGTTGGCCAGTAATCGACCAACAGTTGGCTAACAGTCTGCCGACAGCTTTTGTTATGTTTAAGACCAAAGTTTTTGCCAACAGTTGGCTGAAAGTTGGTGACCTGTTGGCAACCTGTTGGTAACTTGTTGGTAACCTTTTGATGGGTCATAAACTGAAATGATCATAAACATTTACCTATCTATTGCTTCTAAACCTACATGAATAGGGGAAAAGTCATTTTAAAAAGATACCTTGCACTGTACTCTCAATAGCTACTGCAGCTTTTGCCCACTTTTTTGCATTAGCTGGTGAAACTTGCCCAAATTGGTTCGATTTAATTTAATTATCCGCCAGTAAAAGTGAAGGACAGTTCTTGAAAGATAGTGTCGGCCATCTGTTGGCTGTCTATTGGCTGACTGTTGATAGACAGTTGGCTGACAAAATAGGGGGTCCTTATTTATGCAAATTTAATTCCTTTAGAAAACAATGTTACTGTCAAATTCCATTAATTTTTGTCAAATGAAACGGAGTGAAGCCGTATGATCTACTCTACTCTGAACTCACTTGAACCATGCAAAGTCCATTGCGACAGTTTTGTCTCTTCATTTCAAAGTTACCAGTTCAGTGATTAACTGTGTGATAAGTGCTCAGTCTACAACCTAAATTTATCCCAGGGTTTCTTTCTGGTCTACCCACTTTGTGGGAGACAAATGACAAGCCCAAACCATGATCTCTCTGTTTAAATCTTAGTCTTAGTTCTAGAAAACAAGATTGTCACATCAAACAGCTCCATTGCTAGTACAGTATTAATTTCAATAACTTAAGACAAAAGAATTTCAAGTTGATTTTACTTTGAAAATCCTTCTTGGCCAAAGTCCAACCCAGTGGATACCAGTTTTACGTGTCTTTTGCTAAGAGCATAATCAATCACAGCCTCATTTTCTTCCACCTGTTGAAAATGATCATTATTGTTGAAATATCATAACATATATAATATTGGTACAACTGTAATTGGTTAAAGACCTATGGAGCAACATTTTTAGCCTATTTGAGACTATGAAACATACTGATCCCCCCAGCTATTGCAAACTAATATACCCTTTACTAACCTAGTGATTTCAACAATCATTTGGTAACTTAGTCAATCAAAGGTTCTCAGTAAATGCCTGGATATAGAATATGAACGATGAAGGAGAGTGAATATTGAGCATTACTGAAATTTCAAGCACCTTGAAGCACCTTTCACCTTGACAGGTGACCACCTTCAAGTTGGTGGTGAACAATCATCCATATTTATTAACTTTTAGTTGACAGTCAATTATTTTATGATCTCAGCACAGAACTCTCTTTAGACATTATTAACTGTCTAATTGAAACAAAGGCACAACTAACGACTGCCCAGAATACTTCTGTTAAAAATGGCTGAGTTATTATAAAGGGCAAAGACAATACACTGATCCATAAAGCCGAAACAAAATAATAAAACCTCTACTAACCTAGTGATTTCAACTGATAACTTAGTCAATCAAAGGTTTGTAACAATTTTCTTGATGTAGTATTTGAATAGTGTAGGAGTAATGAATATTATAGATGGCTTCTAGTTGACAGTCAACTATAACATGTAGATTTAGCCAAGTCTAAAAGTGGGGCTTGCATTTTTTTTTCCCTGCATGTCTCAAGGGCACAATGCCTTGCCCCAGCCAGGACTAGAACCTGGGTCATCTGACTTGGAGCCCAGTGCACTGACCACTGGACTACTGGATAAAGCCATGGCGTTGGTGTGGTACATTTGACCACGCATGTTAAAAGTAGCACCTTGAATGGTTGTACGGTCATACGGTCGTACATCCAAATTTTTTTGGCTTGATGGGTTACTACTATTTTGTATAATTATGGGGCTACGCTCTGCAAGCTCTGCTATTAAGGTCTTAGCAAAAAGCTCTCTTCAGACATTTCTAAGTGTCTAACTGATACAAAAGCACAACTTATGACTGCCAAATAAACTTCTGTTTGAAATGGCTGAGTTATTAAGCAGTGCAATGAACACTTACCAAAACAGAACAGGTGGAGTAAACAATATATCCACCACTTGGTGACTTAGCATCTGTAGCATCAATAGCAGACAGAATGAGTTCTTTCTGAATATGAGAACACCGATGAATATCTTTCTCAGTCTAAATAACAAAACACAGAAAAAACTTATGAAAAAAAACAGGCTAAGGGTTTAATATATATTTTTTTTAAGGTGATAACATCAAGGAGCCACAATTTCAATGAACTCTGAACTGAACTTGAACTTTAATTCAAGAAAGTATTAATGAACTTTTTGAAGCAAATGAAGAATTCTTTTAAGCGTTTTTATCTTATCCTATTCTTCATCTCTTAGTTGACAACTAGTTTAATCTACAGGAACATGATAAAAGCAGTGTTTTGAGACCCAATGGGTTAACCAATCTCATTAAAATATTTGTTAACAGTATACACCACAAAGGTGTATAGCACTTTTTGCACATGCTGATTCACTAGCTCTCAAGTGATTTGCAAAAAAGTGTGCTATTCAGTACTTAGATTCTGATCCATTTTTTTGGTACATTGACAGAATAATAAGAATCAATAAATTATTTACCTTGAGTATAAGAGAAAGTAATGCATGTCTGCTTCCAATTTCTTAAATAATTGTTCATTATTGATGTTGTTATCACTGTTATTATTATCATCATTATTCCTTACAATATATGTGAAAAAAATGGCACATACACAGAATCAAAGTTATCTCATTTTATGCAACATGATCAAATTGAAAGAATTATAGTACAAAAATCTGTTTAAGTACCAATAATCAGTTTATATGAACTTAACACATAAAATACAATTAATAATAATTATTAATAGAGAAAGACAAACCTTATTGATTTTAACAGACTGATCCTTTGATATGACTCCTGTTCCACTGCATGGGGCATCAAGAAGAACACGGTCAAAACCTGCCATTACCTGAAAGTGAAGAATGTTTAATCAGGAATGCCAAAATTATGGGAGTACAGCTACAGCAGAGGAAGAGGCATTCCTCACTCAGTTGTAGAAATAAATCATATGTACAACTAACCCCACAATGAGCTTAAAAAGAAAAAGACAACATCAACACATATAAGCAGGTATCTTAATACTGGTTATTCAATTTTATAGGTTCTAAATCAACTCTGTCAGTAGTTTAAATAATAATCAAAACTACAAGCCTGACCATGACTGTAGTCGAGGCCAAAACCTTTACTTTATCACCTTTATTTTATCACCAATCAAGGATTTGACCCCATTCTCAAAAGAAGTCCGTTACAACCTTAAAAAGTGAAGCAAAGGACTTAACAAAATATTGAGGCTTGAGAGTTTTACATAATCATATACTACATACCTTTGGAAATGCTCGACCATCATAATGACAAACCAAGGTGTTACTTATTCCTAGAAAAGGAAACAAATTAATGGTCAACATTGAAAAGTCTCACAAAGAAATGAATTAAAATAACTGTGCAGTAAGTTCAAACTATGAAGTAGTAACAAGATAAGGCATAATTCTAAGGGAGGATCACAAAGGTGCTAGTTAAAAAAAAACTCTCCAAAAAATACTTGTAACTAGATTCCTGTTCCTTTCTGTGTGGATGAAATGAAATCTTAAGTATCAACTTCTCACTAACCAAGTACAAGGGCCGTATTAAGAAATATTGGCCCAAGATCATGGCAGGGTGCAGGGCCTTTCACAAAAAGTTGTGTGGAGCACAAATGCCCCAGGGGATGGGGGGATGTTGAAGCTTTGGATTGATCAGCACATTGGTCCTACATGTGTTGTATGATTAATGCAAAGCACTGTGTCCAAAGTTAATTGTTACAAACTTACCTAATCTATGAATATTAGCAACTAAAGCTTTTGTTCTTTCCTTTTTAGCATCATTTGCAACCACCAGTCCAGTGTTCTTTAGGAGTGATGCTGAAAGAACCAAAAATGGAAAATGGAAAAAAGAAAGAGAGAAATAAAGAGAAAAATTCATGAAATCATGAAGGACATTTTTCTTTCAGCATTGAATTGACATTTCAGTCATGTAAATCAATAATTAAATGCTGCAATAAGCTTAAGTTTTATCTCTGCAACATAGCTTTTACCTATGTATGTAGTTTTGCCACCAGGAGCTGCACACATGTCTAATATCCGTTCTTTCTCCTGAGGAGCCAAGGCCATAACTGGGAGCATTGATGATGCCCCTTGCAACATGTAGTGTCCTGCTAGATATTCTGGGGTGGCTCCTACGTAAAAGATGTTTTAATAAACAAAAAGGTTATATACTGATATGTATTTAGTAAAAATAAAAAATAAAAAAAAATTGTATGCTGTGATTTTGACCATTGAAAAAATAAAAAATTTGAAATTGGAGATTTAAATACAACACAGTTCAAACAATACTTCTTTCTCTATTGATTGTTGGAAAATTACAGAAAACAAATAGTAATAGTAAAGTGATGTTGAAGATTGATTATTTTAATGAATTTTTCCTTGACCAGCATATTGGATTTGTGAGACTGAGTTGTGAACTATTTTGCCACTTTCAAGTGTTAACCAAAGTGCTTAAAATGTTTCATGTCTTTGGGATTACCAAACAATCAAGGAAATACAAAATTGTCTAAAGTTTAAATTTATGTGTTCAGATTATCATTCTGCAATAACATGTGAAAGAAAGTTTCAAAATGATACACGTCTGACTTTCTGAATAAGTTATTCAAATATGCACCATTTTCCTGCTTATGTTAAAGGAGGTTTGAAAGATCTGATTAATAATTACAGTCACTGTGATACTAGAAGTTTTGCGAATAGCTCACTTAAAGCTTTCTCTCAAGAAAAATTGAATAATAAAATTCTTAAATTGATACTTAAAATTTGGATTAATTTTGATCATCAAAATTATATCAAACTATGTTTCTCTATTTTATTCCTTACCAATTGGTACAGAAGAGTCATAGACAACAAGTCCAACCTTAGACCATTTGCCAATTGGGTCTAAATTTACCCCACGGTTTATAAGGGCCTAGAGGGTTAAACAAATGAAAAGTGATAAGTATTTTGTATCAATTCTAGTACTACCTCTGATATGTTTTTCAGAAAGAGCACTGTACAAATAATTGTAATAGTTAAAAATGCTAATTAAACTGAGTGGAGTACACTTTGGTCTAAAATTAAATGCTTGATTTCAAAACTGAAAGTGCTAGTGACCTAATTTGAAATCACAAGACTCAGTATGATGCAGACCAAAATTGCAAAACACAAAGTTCCATTACCACTTCATTACTGAACATCCATTTGTAAAAGCACAATTTAATTGATACAGTAGTGATCTGGTTTTTAAACCCTTTACTCCCTACTGTCAATATCCATATTCTCCATACTGATATCCATAGGTTTCCTAAGGTAGTGACAAGGGTAATTTTTTCAACAATCAAGAGCTTCTTTTGTTGATGATCATTTTCTTTGTTCAGGGGTAATATTTTAAGGGAAAATAAAATGCTTTGCACTCTTAGGGGTTGAAAGGTTTTAAAAAAGGCAGATACAGAAAGCAAGTTCATCTATTTTTTCATAAAACAAGAAAAATATTGGCGACAAAAGAAGCAAAATTTTGCCACTCAATGACTTCAGAATTTTGAATTCTTATCTCTTCAATTTGATTTAGTTACATTTAGTGAACAAATCTTGAAAGTTGTATTGATTGTTTTGTTTCAGCATTGCTTTCTCATTGGCTTGAAAAAAGGAAGATCCAATTTAGAGAAAAAATTGTGTGATTCAAGAAAAAAATTGCACTGCTGAGAACCAATCAAATTGCAAGGATCACCAGTATTTTGAAAATGGATGTAATAAAGTTGCATGACCACTTGACATAATATATCAGTAATATATTTGGTTCTTTTTCTATAAACAATACTAACTCTGATCCTCCAGTGACACTCAAATAAAGAATATAGTTGTCTTTCAGTCAACTGCAAAAATCTACCACTAAACCTGTTGACTAAATTAACCAACCTGTGCAAGATCTCTTCTTCTCGACTTCAATGTATTTGTTCTAATAGTGATGGGCCTCTGAACTTCATTTGCCTCAAGGAATTCTACCAACTAAGAAGGCATCAACAAATATTAAAACCAAGAGCTTTTAGCGAGAGGTTAGTCCTAAACTTTTGGAAATATTTTAAACATATGATTTCAACATTCCAAATGTTTGCCTGACTGTATAAGGGTCATGCTCAATAACAGGCTGGTGGGTGGGTTGTTCCTCTGTCATAGCTTATCAAAATATAATGAGTAGGTATCTGATCTCTATCATCAATATGTTCCGGGTTTGCTCCTAGCTACCACCTCACAGACTATACTTTACACCAGCTAACTTGTCACAAATTAACAAAACTGTCAAACACCACAAAGTAGAGCGATGAAGGTGAGAACACAATAAGTATTGAATTAGAGGCCACAGTACTGTTATTGCTAATCTCCCTGTACATGTTTATTTTATTGCAGGTTGTAAATCATTAATGTATTTAATATTCCACCTGGTAAGGTTAGATTCAATCAAGGAAGTTATAGCTTTGTTACCTCATTTATGGGGAAAAGGTCCATAAATTTCTCCATCAGAAATTTTCCATAACTATAGTATTTACAAAGGTCACTAAGAAGTAGTTCCACATATTCCTGTCGTGACCTGTAGGTGAGCAATGTAAACATTTCTATAACTGAAGGATAATTACTTGAAAACTGAGAGTAAAAAAAGTTAAAAATCTGCAACAGCTTTTCTGGTTCAAAAACAGTTCCTTACCTATATTCAGAATGATATGTTTAAAAATTGGTCTAATAGTATATCAAGTTGTATTGACTTGGATCATACAAAAACATTTCATTGAAAAAAAATAAAAACTAACATGAATGTCAACTGGTCATTTTTCAAAGACAACTCAAAGGACAATTGAACAAAGTTAACTTCAACAAGCTTTAAGTAGACTACTTCTGGGTATGGGGATCATCATCACAAGTGTATGCTAACATGAAACATCAATCAGACCTCCCTTACAGCTGGTACCTTTGAGTTGTCAAAAAGTTTAATAAAGTCACCAGTAGTATAGAGTGCTATTAGAAGTTTTCCCACATTCCCCTTCCCAACCCCCACATGTTGTTTTCCCTTCCTTGGATTTAATTGGAGCTGATATAAGTTGAGTGTTCAACCAAGAAATTTGTCAACCACAAGGGCAATGTCCTATCTAGGGGCTAGCTGTCTAAAGTGAAAGACCCTGGTTACCCGGGGCACCCATCTTCCATTTAAGCAAGGAAATCATTCTACTGCCATTTTTCCAAGGGTCAGTTAACTTGGTCACGCTGCATTTAAAGCTGTTTTCTAGTTGCACCAGTATTTGGAAACAAAGGCCGGGAAATGTTAAACATGATGTCCTGATGAACAGCTTTCTTTAACTTATTCCAAGAATTGATGAAATCTCTGTTTATTACCTGCCAGGTTCACGTGTTGTATTAAAGTTGTTGAGTGCTTGTATGTTATCCCTTATTCTTTGATTGATCAAAGCTAAATCTGTATGTTCATTTGCTGTGAGGAAAAAGATAAAATTGAATGTATAATACATCTATCAATACAACTTACTCAGGAGTGACATTGTCTATTGTGGAAAAACCAACCAAGTAAGAGATTTGAACACAAAATGTAAACTAAAACATAATAATAGATTTTATAGTCTTTACTATATGAGTCCATTTCCACTTTGAACTTCCATACACTTTATTTCCCATCACATTTGCAAGATCAACCTTTGCTCCAATTTAGAATCAAAACACACTTTTATTGAAAGTGATGCAAGTATCCTATTAGAGAAAGCACCATTAGAATAAGAGAAAGATGTTTTTCATCTTGTTATAAGTGTGGGACAAAGAAAAAATTCTGAGTCCCCATGAGGAATCGAACCTCAGACTTTCAGATTCTGCACTCTCATGCTCTACTACTGAGCCACAGAGACTCCATGGTGAGCGAGGTCTATTATGAAGTCCTTATGACATGCGTCCTGCATATTGCTAGGATCAGCAATGTTGATGGCATATTGTTTGAAGATAGAAATTAGAGAGATGGTGAGTTTTGGGCTCGGTAAAGAAATAGAGAAAGATGTTTTTTGTCTTGTCACGAGTGTGGGACAAAGAAAAAAAGTCTGAGTCCCCATGAGGAATTGAACCTCAGTCCTTCAGATTTCATGCTCTGATGCTCTACCACTGAGCCACAGAGACTCCATGGTGAGCCAGGTCTAATATGAAGTTCATATGACACACGTCCTACATACTGCTAAGATCAGCAATGTTGATGGCATAATGTGCGTAAATGGAAATTAGAGAGATGGTAAGTTTTTAACTTGGTAAAGAAATAGAAAAAGATGTTTTTTGTCTTGTCATGAGTGCAGGATGAATCTTTTCTTTGTCCCATCCAAAAGGAAAATAACGTTTACCAAGTAATGACAATGTGGTTTTGAATAACCAAAAAGAAAAAGAAAGTTTAACAAGTAATGACAATGTGGTTTTGAATAACCAAAAAGAAAAAAAAAGTTTTACCAAGTAATGACAATGTGGTTTTGAATAACCAAAAAGAAAAAGAAAGTTTATCAAGTAATGACAATGTGGTTTTTGAATAACCAAAAAGAAAAAAAAAGTGAGGCAGAAATTTCACTCCAATTTTTTCAGATTACCATTTTTTAAAATCAATCCAATCTAACATTTTACATGTTGTAATCACTGAAGAGTAAATTGTTGTAATTGGCTTGTTTATACCTTCTTTCTCTATTTCCTGTCCACTTGGAAGCACAAACACTTCAGTTTCAGTGATGTTAGTCTTAAGCTCTTCTTCAGCTAAGGCCCTTATGAAAAAGGATAATCACGTCACATCAAGTTACAACCAATAAGAAAAAGTTGAATTCAAACAATTAAAATTAGTAAAAAAAAGGACTAACTGAAAAGAAGTATTTAGGAGTTCACACATATACAAGATATACTGTACATAAACTATAGCCTGTTTTGAGCTTTGGAGTTTTCATTATCAATGATGTTCACAAGTGGGAAAAACAATTGGGTTCATCTGATGAGTCCCTGCTGAATTTTCTTGTGAGAGACACTTTGCTCTCAGAAGTGAATGGTTAACATTGGCCCCTAGCTTTGTTAAAATGTCTGAGCTACAGATAAATATACTTACTTGTCTTTGGCTTTTTTCTCATCGAGCTTTTTAGCTTTCCTTTCTATGGGTAACATCTAAATAAATTGGCCACTATCAACTCATTTGTATTTATAAAAAACTGTGTTAAGAGAACATCTGCAACACCTACAAATTAAGACTTTATGAATTATATGTACGAGTCATAGAGCATGGTTTTATTTTTAATATCATGAAAAATAAAAGCCTTGGCTTGGAGTGGAATTTCTAATACCTAGCTATCTGTTAGTAATGTCGGCTAGAAATTTATTTTTCTTGGTTGGCAGGGGGATTGGAGTATTTCATTAATTGTGAATAGATGGATTTATCTAATACATGTAAGCATGGTGAGTGATGATGTTTACATAGCAATGTAAAAAGTTCTTATTAAGATCCTATTGTGTCAACCTCCTCATCATCTTCATCTTCATCATCATCATCATCATCATCATCATCCTTGTCATCATCATCATCATCATCATCATCATCATCCTCTTCATTAACATTTTCATCATCATCAGTATTACTGTCATTTTGTTTACTAGTGCTGTAATCATCACTGATAAAATCATCATCTTGCTAAAAGAGAACATATGATAAACAATGATAATAAAACATATTTTTTAAAAATTATTGGAATTGTGCACTTATTCACTGGGGTGTGGCACAGTCTGATTGTAGACTTTCATGGTCTGAGCATGTTTCTCAAGTTCGAAAGTCTTTTGTGCAAAGGGTTAAAGCAAAACAAATGAAGTACCTGCCTGTAAAGACTTTGCAAGAGATTTATTTCAAGACAATAATTCTGAGTCTAATTTATTGTATTTTAATTTGGGGAAACTGCTCTACAGCCCTTTTTTCTTCTCTGGAATCGACACATTTGAGAGAAGAGAGAATTATTTTCAACCTTGATTGTCTTTTGAATTCTCATTGGCCCTCTGTCTCTTATTTTCATAAAAAATATGTCCTTGTATTCATGCACAAGGTTTATTTTAATTCCCTGTCTTTTTGGCCTGATGAACTGTATTTGAAGAAAGTCTCTGGTAAACCTCTATGAGCTATAAATCAGATATTTACACCCAGACCTAGGTCTGAGGTCAGAAGAAATTCCTTAAGGTATAGAGGACCCCTCATATGGAATTATATAAACAAAATGATTGATGTTTTGAGTAGTTTAAATAGCTTCAAAGCTTCTATAAGAAAATCAAAAGCTGACTCAGAGGCTTTTCTTTCAACAAAGAAGTTGCCATTGTTACGATGAAATCCAAAGATTTTCAGCATTTTTAACATTGTTTTGAGCCTACCTTGCAAATGAATGAGAAAGGGAGAGAGGCCAATTGAAAGAAAGCGTGTGACAACAAAAAGCAATCAGGAAGACAGACAAATCATGTTGAAGATCATCTGGAGGGCAACAGTTGTGGTAAGGAATACCCTGCCTTTGCTTTTGTGGTGACTGAGGATAACTAAGAATATGTCTGTGGGGTGTCATCGATATCCTCAAGTGAGATTATGATGAATGTGAGTATTAATGGTGCTGCTCAGGAAATTTTGATTGATTCTGGATCTGTAAGCAGCTTGATTAGGGAAGAAAATTTTAAGAGGTTGAGGATTGCAGGTTTTAATGGGGACATTAAGCATTGTCCAAAGAAACCATTTGCCTATATATGGTGGAAAGGAAAATTAATTTTTTTGGCCAACCTGAAGCTGAAATTTCTGCTGGAAATATTGAAGTAACCTTGTGGTCAAGGAAGGGTATTGCATTCTGGGAAATGTTATTGAACAGGAACTTGGTGTCCTTCGCATTGGGCCAAGAGTTGGTCCACGGGGGTGATAAATGCAATGAGATAAAGAGTGACTTTGCTGAATCACTGAAAGCTCAATACCCTAAGGTGTTCATAGGAATTGGAAAGCTGAAATTGAAGTTACATGTATGGCCAAATGTACCACCATGGGCACAAAAGGTGAGGGGGATACCATTTGCACTATGTGAAAAAGTGGAAGCTATGATAGAGGAACTTTTAGAGGCTGATATCATTGAGAGGGTGGATTACTACCTTTCTCACATACAAGCGTTTGTTTCATTATTAGAGGCTGAGTTTTGAGGTAAATGCAGCTCCTGAGAAATATGAACACATCATCAGACAAGTCATTGCAGATGTTGATGCAGATGTAAACATGCTGATGATTTAGTTGTCCATGGTAAGACTGTTGCTGAACATGATAGAAAACTGCAAAAGCTTTTGGCTGGGATGAAAGATAAGAAACTTACCATGAATGGTGGAGTGTACCTTCTGATTGAACAAAGTTGTTTTCATGAGAATACTCCTTTCAGAGCATAGCATTGGCCCCATAGAGGAGAAAGTGTAAGCAGTGAAAGAAGCAAGTGCCCTGAGAATTCTTTGCTGGAAAGAAGACAAGTTTGTCTGTGTCTGGGGGAAAGCACAAAAGGAGGCTTTCAACATGCTAAGAAGGGATCTGACAGGAGCATCCATGTTAGTCTACTGTAACTAGAAAGCCCACACACAGGTCACTGTGGACACCAGCTCAGTTACACTTGATACTTTCCTAGTACAAGATACAACAAACAATGACTCAAACAGAGAAAGAAGCACTAGCCCTTGCGTGGGCCTGCCAGTAATTTTATTTGCATTTGTATGGCCTCCCAGAGTTTGACTTGGTGACTGACCATCAAGCATTAAAGACCATCTATGGCCACAGATCAAAGCCATCCACTCCCATTAAACATTGGGTGTTGAGATTACAACCCTACAATTACATAGTTCATTACATCACTTCCAGAGATAATATTGAAGATGTCTCATGATTAATGTTGAAATGCGTCAAATGGACATGTTGCAGATTAAAAACATGTGTGTTTCAGTTCCACTGTAGGCAAAGCCTCTGGCCTTGAAGATTGAGGAAATTGAAGAAGTTTTGTTTGACGGCAAAGCACTTGCACACAAGTCTTTGGAGACTAGTGACTGGAGTGAGGCTTCAAAAGCCTTTTCCCTAGTAGGTGGTGACTTAACTTATATTGGCCAGGTTCTGTTGAAAGGTTCCCAGATAGCTGTGGAAGAGTGTTCTAGAATTGGCCCATGTAGGTCACCAGGGAATCATGAAAACCAACGGCCAGTTGAGAACAAAGGTTTGGTGGCCCAGCTAAAACAAAGATGAAGAGAGGAAATGTAGGAATGTAGGGAATATTTTGGTTGTCAGTTGGTGTCAAAGCAAGCTTCCTACTAAGCTCACAAGAGAGAGCCTGGCAGGAGATCACAGCAGATATGTTGGGGCCCTTACCCACAGGATAACACTCACTATTTGAAGTAGATTATCTATCAAGATGGATGGAAGTAGATGTGCTCCCTTCTACAAATGTTACAATTATCAAATGTCTTGACAGCCATTTTGCAAGGTATGGTGTGTTGGTTGGTTTAGCAACTTATATTGGGTCCAAATTTGTGTCAGAGGAGAAGGAGACGTATCTAGTGAAAATGGCTATCATATATACCACCACAATACACTATTGTGGCCAAGAGCCAATGGTGAAGTGGAGCATGAGAACTGTTCACTGATTGTACCGGTAACTAGATCCAGGACCTTCAGATTTTGTTGATGCAGAACAGACCATAGTAGTTAAATACTGACTTTGTACAATCAATAGCATACCAACGTATACTACAACAGCCCAATTACAAATGATCAAAACATCATCAATTTAAGTGCCTATAGCATGTGCTTACCATTAAATCATCCTGGTCATCACTACCTTCCCCATCCTTCTTAGCAAGTTTTAGCCAGTTGGCATTGCTATCACTAAAAGGACTGAACAATTATAACTTAAAGTAAGTTATAATTCCTGACACAAACAATATTCATTCAATAACATGGACAATGTTCACTAGCTATTATCATTTTAACTAATTGATTGAAAACAACAACAAAAAAGCAGCAATTGTATTTTGATGACACTACAATCATGATTAACAGCTTAGTGTCTTACTTTGACTTGATATTTAACTTAACAAATTCTTCACCTGAAAATGATAAGAACAGCCATAGCTTAGAAACTGGGTGAATAGTGACTAAATTGCTTGCAACTTGGAGTACTGCTTGTGATCAGATCTTCTAAGCCTGCATGCTTTCCAGTTTTTACTTTCTTCTCTATACAATTTTATTAAAAAGCATTAGTTACAAACAAACCACTTGATTCTTCAGCTTCCTGTGTCTCTTCAGCATCAGGTAAAGATCGTTTCATTCTATCAAAAATACAAATGATCATGCACCAATTAATATTCACCACTTATGGATCAAAATACAGACAAACCTTTGAGACAAATATTAATACTTCATTATCCATGTATTTAATCACAATAACAAAACATGACTCTGTTTTGAACAATAATACCATACAGGTCTGTTTTAAGGGGGTTCAAGGGACAACAAAAGAGTTTGGAAGTTACAATCCACCAAATAATTTGTGTTGTGAAAAAATTATCTTGAGCAAACCTAAGTATCCATTGTTGATGTAAATGTACAAGTGAGGGACTATGTTGATGAGCTCCAAAGCAGTTTTCAGATGTGTCTTTTACTAGAAAGTGTTAAATTGACATGACATGTTACATTCTCTATGGTTTGTTTTGCTATGATACATTTCATGCTCTAGGATACTGTATATTCTCTGCCTTATTTAAAAAAAAAAACAGTTTGAAATTTACCCCAAAATATGTGTATATGTGGAGTTTAAGTTTCCTTTAAAGCTCTGGTATCTTGCACCATCTGTGGTGATCCCAAGGGGATGAAAATAACACAATAATACCTCTGAATTACATGCAGATAAACCATGACTAGGAAATTTTCAATAAGATTGAAAAATAAGATAAATGTACACTACCTTGCCTTCTTAGAGCTCTTCACCTCAGACTGGAAATAATTTAAAAATTAAAGTTATAAAAAACCAAGCAATCAGTTCCAGCCATATCTTACAACTTGTATACCCACTTTATGTAGCAGGCTTCAAAGTGGTCTGCACATGACATAGTTTGCGCCAGGCTTTTTGACAGCAGAAAGAAGACACAAAGACAAAAACCCTCTGATTTGGATTAGGTGTGTAGATTTAAAACCTCTACCTCAGCCTTATGTTCTCAAACACGGAGCAATAGCTATGGACTAGGACCTTTAAATGAACAAGCCACTCTCTTGCACATTTTTTAGCCTGTCAAGCAGATTGCCATTAAATCTTTGTATCAAAATAATTTTCAGGATTTCTATTTTTTTTGCAAGACATGAATCTGGTAGCTATTTTTTGTAGCTGATAAAAGATGATAATTTTTCTTATTTTATCACTGATAAACATATTCTCTTTCCACAGCCATTCCCCTGACAACCACAACTTTTCACTCATCTCTCTTATGTTAATTACCAGCCATGGGTCAAAACACATTTATTTAACTCCCCAGGAAACAACAACTGACTCACAACTGATCTGAGGTTGGGCACCTTGAAACTCCCACCAATTTGTGTTACAGCGCACACAGAGAAAATTTTTTTGAAGTCATGGTCACAAAGATTTTTCAAACAAGAACTTAAGTAATTCAACAGCTTCTCTGGGTTAAAAGCTCCTAATCTACACCCACAATGCCATGTAAATTTTGAAAGACTCCTGCAAAAAGCAAAATTTGGACAAAAGCTTTCCTGATCTAAACAAAACAGACCTTAACTCCAATTCTCAGGAAATTCTGCAAGGCCAAGTGTTAAAACACAAAATGCCTCACCTTGCTCCTCTTTTAAGTAAGGAGTTATAACAGAACACTTAATGACTGACCCCGTGGCTAACAGTGGGTTTTGTTTCCCCAGACCTAACACGTTCCTCAAGGCATACCAGCAGGCAACATTGATGGTCCAAGGAAACAATTCTCACTGTTTCCCCCTGGGCCAGTTGTTCAGTGTTTATTACTTTAATCAGACATACAATGAATAACCCGCTTTATTTTAAATGATATTGTAGAATACATCAAATTGAGACTTTTAATGATCTGGGCATAAAATGAATTCAAACTACTTTGACTTTATTCCTTTTTTTTTCTGCAAAGTACAAGGAACAAAGGGAAATACATGTACAAATTAAAATAGGATTGGTACTGGACTGTAATGTTTCCTGATGATAACAATATTCATGAATAAAGACTACCAGTTACTGGTAAGCATATTTATTCTCAGAAGTGATCTCTTGGAACTATTTCAACTATTACCTTGCTTTTTCCTGACACACTTCCACTCTGATGTTTCAACTTTCTAAAAATAAATAAAAATATGACCTTTATTGAAGTTAGAATGGAAAGGCCCACTGGAGCACAATAATAATTGACCACCTAAGTTTTACATGCCACAAGGTAAAAGTTTCATGGAGCCTTTTTTTACTTTATTCACAGCTCTTTTTTGTATTAGATCCTGCCTAACACCTCTAACCCTACTCAAGATTGACAAATTAAAATATTTCCTATGTACACCTGCAAGTTCATGATGCAGTATACCCTACATGATGAGGCAGATTTTCAGCTGTCAAATATTCAACATGTAGTCTGTTTCAGTGCAAAATGACAATTTGAAATTATTTTATACTTATACTCTTCTCTCAATTGAATACCATCACATGAAGCAAAAAAGAATGATTATTTTGACACAAAATTGATTTCTACAGGCATTACAGGTGACTGATATGTGTAAAAAGTAAAATTTTTGGCTAATATATGACTGACTTTAATACATTTCACAAACAAATAGCATTCTTAAATAGTACTTAAACTCACCTTTTCCTCGAATTCTGAACATTGCTCCCATCTGAATTAAGAAAGCATGCTAATCAGTAATTGATAACATTTTTCTTCCACACTTCATTTCAAGTGAGGTAGGATGTAGTTTCTTAGGCTCTTACAGAAATATTTTAAATGCTCAAAGCCAACTTTCTCAAAGGATTTCACACATGTCTAGCATGGAAGATAAGTGTTGTAAAAATTGAGTGTGGTGCAACAATCTCCTTTGAGGTGCAAATGTAACAGGATGGGCTCAGAAAATCCTGGAAAGTTTCTTTCTCAACTCAAGGATTTTGTTTATGGGAGCAAGGTTTTGCTGTTGATGGAATCACATTGACAATGCTGCTATATTTATTGTTGATATATCAGCACATGATAAACCAGTCCATTGAATAGATTAGGAGCTACAGCTCAGCCAATTAAGAGAACTTTTTATAGTGCAATTCTGAATTCAGCCAAGAACTGATAGCCCATGCCACACATACCAAATTAAAAAAAGAAGACAGATTTTGAGCTATTTTCATATTCTAAATGAAACAAGCCTTATTATTTCTCATAAGCACTTGTCCATTCTCTGAAAGGACCAGGAAGCCTTAAACCCTTTGCAACCCAATATCAGCTTTCATATTCTCCACACCATTCTCTACACATTTCCTAAGATGCTGATGAGAAGAATTTGTCCAACAATCAAGAGCTTCTTCAGTTGGTGACTATTTCCTCTATTCTCTTTACCTAAATATGTGATTCGGGAGTGATATTGTAACAAGAAATAGGATGCTAGATGTAGGGTTCAAAGTCCTTTGAGAATATACAATAAATTAAAGCACATTACCGGTACATCATTCAACAGATGAGTGAGTGGGTAATTTAGTATTATCAACGAGTTCATGATGTAAATTGGCCACCATAAAAGACTCTAAAAGCCAAGATTTCCAATGTTAGCCTTTCTTCACAGTGATTGGAGGAATTGTGGGTTGTGTGTGGGTAATTATATGCATCAATATGATGTTGTTTTGTTGACAAGTGCCTGAAGGTAGGCTATGACTTGGTTGCCAAGGTGATCTCCTTTCTGCTGGGGATATTTACTCTGATAAAGAGCTATTGCTAAAAATGTCAGCTTTAGAATCTCTTCAGGGTAGTTGATTCAATTGATTAAGCTAGATCATCTTGTAATACCCCCACTAGCATAGCAACATAGTTTCTATAGAAACTTAACCCATTTAACTATTTGTTGAGGAGATTGCTCCCCTATCTCTACTCTGTTTCTATGTTTATTGCACCTACCCCTCCAGTGCTATTAGTTAGGTCTTTTCTATAAATACATAAGAAAAAAGTATACTGAGTTATAACTATGCTTTGCATGGTTCTTATCTATGATCCATTAGCATTAGTGAACAGACAAGTAGATGACATCATTATTAACAACATTTTGCTCTTTAATTATCATTAATAAAACAGATAGATTCCATAATGCTGTGGGTCTGTTCAGTAGTAGACTACAGAAGATATCAAAATGCAATGAGAACAGCAGTGACCTACTCTACTGCCCCTTGTGTGCCATTTATTTGTTGATACCACATTTTGAGGTATTTTGTAACCTACGACTGAACAGACGCATCTAGCAAAAAAGAATCCACTTGTTAAGTCTAATATGAAACTTTGAATCACAATACAAATCTACGCTGTTTCATGATTTAAGCCCTAGGCCTGGTATGTTTTATTGCTATGAAAGAGATGCTTTGGATGAATTCGTTTCTGAATGACTAAATGAATCGTGAAGTAACATAAATTGTCCCTAAAGGGCTCCGTTACAATCGTTCACAAGATTTTAAACAACCACACCTAATGGCCATGTCACATCTCATAAGTCCTTTTAAACTTTCAAAATCAGTCCCTACTTCTACTTCGTGATGATGAAGATTTAGCTTGGTTTTGTTTTGTTCCTTACTGGATCACATTGAATGGTTACTTTGCTTACCTAACTGTTTCGGTAACTTTGGCGCTGGTTGCTTCTTTGCCTTCCTCCCAGGACCCTTTTTCGGTGGGTTTTCTTGAGTAGATCCCTTACTCGAAAGTTTTCTTCTTCCCATAACAGTACAGTCCCAGAAACTTTAAAGGCTCCACTAAATTCTTGCTCCGTGATTGTAATGCCTGCACGTGTGTCGTGGGAAGAGTACTGGGAACGAACATTACACTGTGTGTTTGGGACTGGTTTGGGAGTGTTTAGGACATGTGAAACCTCCAGGAGGCTTACACGAATCAATATTTGGAATTCAGCGGCAGCATGTGACTGTCGCAGAACGATGATACCTCGTTGTTGGCTGAAAATGATTTTGTAATTATTATTTTAATTCAAATGGGCAAGAAAAACCAAAACGCTTTGGGGAAGAGTATCATAAAACAAAGTGCTAAGAGTAGGGGGAATATCAAGCACGCAAATAGTTGGGTAAGTGATCTTTCAGGTAATTTAGTGTTAACAACTGAGTTGAAAACGTAAATTGGCCACCGTAAAGGGTAAAAACGGTGGCCAATTTACGTTTTCAACTCAGTAGTTAACACTAAATTACCTGCTATACTCTCCCACCGACGCGAAGTTTCAGTTGGTCATCTGAGACGTATTCTAACTTCGAGAAGTTGGTGAATTTCTTTTCCTGCCTTTGTGGGTATAAAGACCCATAAGTTATATTTTCCCTTCGTGCTCTGTATCACATATTCTTAAATTCTACTTTTCATCTTGGTTGAACAGTCTTCTCTGCTTTACACCTCGATTGGAAGTACATGAACTTGTTCTTTACTAACGATACGAGGACGTTGCTTAACACATTCACACTGCTGAGCTGAACATGAATATAAATGCCAAGTGATTCTAAAGACTATTTTCATTTTTTTTTTAAGAGGAGAAATTTTCTTGAGTTTTGCTTAATAGAAAGTCTAAATCTTCTTCTCATTAGCTACATAGCAGTGAAGTTGACAATGAAGCAGGACCTAGTCTACAGTCCATCACAGAACAAAGTGCCTTGGATGATTTCTTGGCAACAGCTGAACTCGCTGGTACAGAGTTCATGGCAGGTGAAGTTATTGTTATGTTAATGGAGTTCACAATGTCTGCTTCATGTATATTTACTGTACTTAACATTAACAAGTAATTAAGTTTTTACTTATTATTTTGGAGATATTTTTAAAGTTCCTTTTTTTTTTAATTTAAGGGATGTTGGGTCTAGAAAAAGTTTATCTCATTTAGAAGAACTTTTCCTCAGGAGTTAGAAAATAACTGTCATTTTGTTCACTCTACATTGCAATTGTGATGGGAGTGCTGTGAAATTGGTCTTATTTCCAACTTTTGTGGCTAGAAGCATGCCATCTTGGACATGACATCAGCTATGACATAGCAGTAGTCAAACTTAGTTTGACGCTTTGTCCTTGTTGACCTGTTTGACCTTTGTGACAAGAATATTCTAGTAATTAAACTATGGTGAACTGTCTTGTGGTTGAATATCAAAATACACATCAAAATACAAAAGGAAAAGGCATAAGCTCTGACAAGCTACTGGAAAGTGAAATATTTAAAAAACTTTGGCTGGCAAAAACCCTGAGAAGGGTCAAAATGAAGCCCCTAAGCAAAATGTATGGGCATGAAAGTTGTCCTTGTTGACCTTCACTTGAAATTCAAAGCTATGTTGACCTTTTCTATAATCAGCATAAATTTCATCTTATCTTTTCTATTCAAATAAATTGAAGCTCAAAATGGTGATAGACCACATGTGGTAAATTCTTAGTGATTGAATTAAAATTATACTTTGCTAAGTAAGGGCCCATATTTATTTATTCAATCCATATTGATTTGACACCATACTATTGTACATAACAGTAATAAATGTCCTCCAACCAACTACTTGATGTAAATATTCAATACTGATACTTTCAAAAGAAATTGAAAGTATCATTTTAGTTTCAATTATCTTAAAGTAATTATTTCTAATGTAATCACTGTTTGACAGAGAGGACTTTCTGGTGCTCATTATAATTAATGAAGCCCTTCATCTTCTCACAATTCACAACATTTCAAACAATTTAGAATGAAAAATAATGTGGTGAATCAAATTCTAAGCACAAGAGATTACATCACCACTTGCAACTTAAAGCTAAAAGCTGAAACAAACAAAATTTAATTCTCAACAACTTTTGCTTTTTATCTGCATTAAGTTTGAAAACTGAATTTTGTCAGTGTTTCTGCAAAGGATGATCTTCAAGTCTATCCTTTCTAACTTGTTTCATGCCAACCAGGGCTGTTCTAAGGCACAACTGACTGGTGCTCAGTAATATGCTGAAGCTGGGTTCCTGAAATGGCAAAAATAATTTTTCATTCAGGTAGATATGTGAAATGAATCTGTCTTGGGCACTGCAATCTTCTTTATCAAAATAATACTCCAGAGCTAGGATTTTTTTGAGGAAAAACTATCTCTGCCTTTCAAATTGAGTAGGTGACCTAGTACATTTAATTCTTGGCGACATATATATTCTAGTTTTCTGTAGGCTTTCAGTGGTCACAAAAGCAGGTGGACGTTACTCCTTGAAACTCAATTTCCTTGCCTTCTTTGTCAACAGAGGTTCTTCTTCCTCTGAACACAAGCTATGTTGTATTTGAAACATAAATGGATGTATTACACCCTCTGGGTTAAAATCCAAGTTGAGAATTTAATCAGTAGGACTCTCCTCATTGCTGTTTTCCTTTTTCACATCCATCTTTGTGGCGTTGTTTATAGGAAGAACAAGACACACACAGGTGAAGTAACACAAGTCTATTTAATCGATGTCCGACGAACTCTACAAAACCGGAAAGCATGGTCTCTAAAGTTTTGTTGCCATGGTAGTTATGACGTAAATGCGGACCGGAAGTAAATAGAACGATAACATCGATATCGTTACATCTCCCTTTCTTCAGGAAACAAAAAAAAATGTAAACATAACTGAGTGTCTCAATCCTAGTTTAAAATAAACTACAGAAAAAAAAAGAAAATTAAGAGTTTGTCATGTCCTTTTTTGTGTTCTTTCGATAACCCCAATCACTAGTAACGTGTGGGTGGTCGCACAATTCGTCCAGATCGAGTGGTGGCCACCGATGGGGAAATCTCCTGCTTATCTGCTGCAGACTGAGGTGGATATTCCGGATGTGGCTTGTCCGTGTTCTGCAAAGGTACTGTGTCTGATTGGTCCTTACTGACTGCAGTACTTGGCATGGAAGGTGGTACCGATGGTATTTCATTACCAGAATTTGCAGTAGCAGAAATTGGTGTTGCTTTTTGGGATAATCTCATCCCATCTTCACTGTGTGGCATCACTTCACGTGTATGTCTCAGGTGTCTGCGGTTCCTCCTATAAATTCTTCCATCTTCTGTTCTGACTTGATAGGACCTTATGTCGACTTTGCCTTCGACTCTTGCTTGGGTCCAATCCTTCTTCTTTCCCAAGTGGGATTTTAGTGGCTGCAATCGCACTGTGTCTCCTGGGCGCAGTTCCTTCAGTTCTTTGGCGCCTTGATTGTAGTACAGGGATTGTTTAGCCTTTTGTAGCTTCAACTTCTGATCAACCTCCTCTGGTAGCTTCGGCTTGAGCAATTGGTTTGAGGTTGGGAGTGGAGTCTTCGTTCTTCTACCGAATAATCGCTGAACAGGTGACGAGTTGAGTGTTTCTGTGGGAGTATTTCTCCAGTCCAGCAGGGCAAGATATGGGTCTTGTTCGGACTTGACGGCTTTCTCTAGCAGATGTTTTGCTGTCTTCACCGTGTTCTCGACTTTGCTGTTGGACTGAGGATATGTTGGAGAGCTTGTTATATGTTCAAAACCATAAGTGTCTGCGAACTGTTGGAACTTTGTGGAAGAAAAGGGCTGTCCATTATCCGATACAAGCTGGTCGGGAATTCCATGGCGGGCAAGATGGGCTTTCAACTTCTTCACAACTTCGTCTGCTGTTTTGCTTGTCATTCTGTCGACTTCAAAGAAACTTGAATAGTAGTCAACGGTCACCATGAAATCTACACCGTTCAGATCAAAAAGATCAACTGCGATTTTCTCCCAGGGTCTACTAGGCAGTTCGTGACAAATCATTGGCTCTTTTCCTTGCTCGACAGGCTGGCTGTTGCAGACGGCACACTTTGCTACATAATCTTCGACATCTTTGTTCATCCCATGCCAGTAGACTACTTCTCTTGCTCTTCTGAGACAGCCTTGGATGCTGATGTGGCTCCGTGGATCTTAGCCAACATGTCAGCTTTCACGCTCATAGGGATAACTAGTCTTTCACCTTTGAACACCAGTCCATTCTGTAAAGACAGTTCGTCCCGAAATGTAAAGTAACCACTGATGTTTGCTGATACCCCAGCTTTGGTAGCTGGCCAACCTTGCCTGATTGTTCTCTTCAGCTCTCTCAGGGTAGGATCGGTTCTGTTGCTTGCTGAATGGCAATCAGCGTTGGTTCCGATACTGGCAAGTATTGTATCATATTGATGTGCTCTAGCTCTCTTTCAGTGTCTCCTCTCATGTCCTCTATGTACATAACATCTTCTGCTACATCTTCTTTTTGTGCTCTTACGCACTCTGTATGCTCTGCTCAGTGTATCTGCCAGATACATTTCAGTCCCTTTTTGTAAGACACTTGAAGGTCAAACTTCTGCAATCTTAGCAACATTCGCTGGAGACGTTTAGGCGCACTGAGTAGACTTTTTACGGAAGATGCTCTCCAAGGGTTTGTGGTCAGTTTGGATCTTGACAGGTCGACCATATACAAACTGCTCAAAACGTTCTACTCCGAAAAGTATTGCAAGCATCTCTTTCTCTATCTGGGCATAGTTCACTTCCGTTTCTGTCATGGAACGAGATACATAAACCACGGGCTGGCCTCCTTGCATTAGACATGCACCAAGTCCTCGGTCTGATGCATCACACTGCAATTCCACATCGTCTTTGGGGTTAAAATACTTGAGGACAGGGGCAGCTGAGAGTATCTCCTTAACTCGCTTGAAACTACAACCTTGTACTTGCTCATCCCAACGGAACTGGTTCCCTTCTTTCAAAAGGTCTCTCATTGGGGATGTAACTTCTGACAGGTTAGGAGCAAACTTCTGGAGGTAATTTACCATGCCGAGAAGTCTCTTGAGATCTTGTTTGCTTGTCGGGGTTGGCATCTCTTTGATACCTTGTACCTTGTCTGGGTCAGGCTTAAGACCATCTTGACATATAACATGTCCCATAAACTTCACTTCTTTGCGACGGAGCTTAAGCTTCTCTTTGTTTAACTTAATGCCAGTAGTAGCGGCAGCATTCTAACAATGCTGTCAGCTTTGCATCATGATCAGAAAGTGCTTCTGTTTCTGTTTCTCCGACACCAAAAACAAGGATATCGTCAAATATTGGCTTAATTCCATCAAGACCTTCCAGGGCGTATTCCAATCTCCTCTGAAACTCTTCCGAGCGGGTGATATGCGAAGGGCATCCGCGTCCAGCGGAACCTTCCCCCAGGGGTACCAAATGTGGTCAGAAGACTGCTTTCATCGTCTAGCTGCACATGCCAAAACCCGTTCTTTGCGTCGGCGACACTGAAGACTTTAGCATTTGTAAGGAGTGGTAGTAGATCGTCGATCACTGGAAGGGGAAAATGATTTCTCCTGAGTGCTTTATTCAGAGGTTTTGGGTCAATACATAACCTTATCTTTCCATTGCTCTTCTTAATGACCACCATTGAGGAAATCCAATCTGTTGGAACATCTACTGGTTGCAAGATGCCTATCTTAACTAAGCGTTCTAGTTCCTGTTTTAAAGGCTCTTTTTTTTTGCAAAGGGGACTTTCCTCACTGGCAGTGCCACAGGGGTTACAGACTTATCAATCTCGAGGTGAAGCTTTCCTTTGAGCTTTCCTTCTCCTGAGAAGACATCTCCGAATTTGCTCACGAGATCCGGCTGTGTGGGAATCTCATTAGAGAGAGACATGATGTTATCGGTGTTAATCACTATGAGGCCAAACTGCTGCACCGATTCAGCACCAAGGAGTGCTGTGTGACCTGTTGGAACGACGGTGTATTCCGTGAGGAAACACTGTCCATTCTTGGGGTTGAAGGTCTCGACCTTAGTACATCCTAGAGGTTTCAGCTCTGATTTGTTGAACATGACGAGGGTAGTTTGAGTAGGCTGAAGGCGTTCCATTCGCGGATCGTTAAATACCTGCTGATAAATATCTGCTGGGAGGATATTGACTGTTGCTCCACAGTCTAACTGGAATTTCACTGTTTCATCCCTCAAGCGCATGTTAGCATAAATCTTCTTTGGACTTTTTTTTTTTTATAAAGGGACGCTCACAGATTCTACACTGAATAAGTAATCATCAGAATCTTCGTCATTAAACTCCTGAACATCTTGTTCCATTGTGAACTGACTTCTTAGTTTGCTTTTTTTTTTAGCTTTCTGACTTCTGCAAGCCACTGAGAAGTGGTTCATTCGACCACAGTTATCACACTTGTGCTGCCATGCTGGACAGAGTTCCTTTTTAAAGGATGGGTTCTGTGGCAGAACTTACATCTAACTGGTTCTGTTACTTTGTTGTGGACGGGCGTTGAACTTTACTGAAATTTCGTACTTCATTATGGCGTAAACCAATCTTTGATTTTGGGTGGCCTGTGGCAACGGCGCTAACCTCCTCCGCATGGGACATCTCCTTAAGTTGTTTGGATGTGGTTTCACTTTCGCATGGCAAATATCAATACACTTATTAAGAGTTAGTTTGTTCTCAGCTAGCAGCTTTTTTTTTTTTTGTGGCGTTATCTCTAATTCCTACGACAACTCTGTCTCTAATCATTCGCTCTTGCATGATGCCAAAATTGCACGTTTTAGCTAACGAACGTAAAGCTGTAAGGAAAACATCAAATGACTCACCGACCTCCTGTACTCTCTGATTGAACAGATAGGCTTCGTATATTTCATTACGTCTCACCGATGAAAAAGGCGTCTAGAAGCTCTATCACTTTGTCGATGTCGGTTTTCTCCTCTTCATTTCGAAGGGCAAACCATCGTAAATCTCCAGGATATCTGGGCCAATACATGTCAACAATGTGGCTGTTCAAGATTACTGCTTTGCGTACTGAGCCGTGAGGCGATCTCGTAGTTTGTCCACAGCCGCTTAAATTTCTTCCAATTCACAGCTAAGTTCCCCTTGAAGTCTAGTTTCGACGGTAAAGGAATAGAGGACTGGATAAATTGAGGAGTTGCTGGCTGCGTGCTTGTTGACACTACGCTCGAGGCGAGCCTGATTCGGTCATCTGGAGCTAGATTCACTGAGTTTGGCTTGAAAATGCACTCAAGTATTTCAGCGACGATTCTGTAGGAAGAATCCCACTCCTGACACCATGTGGCGTTGTTTATAGGAAGAACAAGACACACACAGGTGAAGTAACACAAGTCTATTTAATCGATGTCCGACGAACTCTACAAAACCAGAAAGCATGGTCTCTAAAGTTTTGTTGCCATGGTAGTTATGACGTAAATGCGGACCGGAAGTAAATAGAACGATAACATCGATATCGTTACAATCTTAGCAGGAATTTAAGTCAGCATGCTTGACTGTTGCTATGTCATAGTTATGTTATAACAAAGATGATGGTTTTTAACTTGAAAATGTTTGTTTTTAGCTCAAATGAATAGCCAGTTAGGATAATGCAAGTAAGGAAATTTTGATATGGCTAAACTTTTCTAGACCTTACTTTCCCTTTAAATGGTACCAGGAGACTGACTTTTATAGAAGATTTATTCTTTTATTCATCTAGTTATTACTGTGAAATTTAGAAAAGTCTCAGGGTTGATAAAATTTTGGAAATGTTTGTGATGTTGTGACCATCACTTATTATGGTTACATTTATCTCAAGTGTGGTTAAATTTTTGTTCATGCAACCAAGATAATCCAGAAATGTTATTGGTGTTCATGGTTATAAGAGCTGCCAGCTATCAAAATTCCACAAACTTTTCATGGTCAAGTGATGACCTAAATATTGGCTCCTTGAGATTTCAAGTAGTAACCTTCATGCAACTTTATATAAATTGCCTTGAGATGTATTACAAATTTGATTCTGAAAGCCAACATTTGGCGAAAAAAAACTCAATAACCTGGCCTTGCATGTATAACATCTCAGAGTAGGTTCACGAACAACTGCTGATCTTAGTCAGAGTAATTATAGTAAAAGTCACAGTTTAAGTCAAGAATACTTTTTTGTGTTCAGTACAGCACCTCATTGCTTTAAAAAAATTTGTGAATAGATGGAAAAGGGAAAAATATAAGTAGCCAGGTTTGCTAAGCAAAGTTCAAGATGGAGGCTATGGTAGTCAAACTACTACATGAAAATCATATTTCAATAACATGGTCAATCATTTGTAGAATATTTGTCTTTTGAAACATTTTTCTTATTACAGAAAAGTTGAACACAACAATTGTGACACCAGGGAGTAATGAGGGTCTCCTGAGTAGTGAAACTGCTGCTGCCATAAAACAAGCACAGAGGGACAACCAGCATTTCCTCAGGATTCCTCGCAGGTTTATTCATACTGATTTTGTGGTCTAAATTTTTCCTTGGCTTCAAAATTTTCAAAGCAGTTTTATTCTTGTGCTCTTTCTCTTTTATCATGGTAAAAGATCAAAGACAAATGAAAATACATATTAAACTGGTTTTTGAACTTTTGAGCAATATCAACAACTTCATTTTTTGTTCCTGATAGTTACAAGTCAAGTAACAGCAGTTATAAACTACATATATTTCAAAGAGTACAAGCTGCCCTTCATTACCAGAAAGGACTAGAAAGATACACCAGCCACACTTAGTGTGATTTATTAATGTATTTTGGGGTCAGATACCTCTCATGCATGCACAAAACACAAAAAAGCAGAAAAAAAAAGTAAAAAAGCAGGACAAACAGCAGACAAAGAAAACTAAGGAAGATGCTATTTTTAAGCAATGGAAAGCCAGTAAAAATGAGGGTTAAAAAAAATGCAATTAGTACTTAGAATAAGAGTGGACTTCAGAAAGAAAATTTGAACCACTATGTTGATAGAGTGCATTTCCATTAAGGACCATGGCTCATGATTGTCAGAAATTGATAACATGATTATGATTTTTACCTTAAAGGCCAAACTGGAATGAGCACATGACAGCTGAGGATCTAGACCAAGTAGAAAAGGACAGTTTTCTTGAATGGAGAAGACACCTTGCCCAGTAAGAATCTTTCCTTCCATAAAGTGGAACATCTTAGTGAGGTTCAGCACAGTGATTTTTGTAAACATGCATTGATTGAAATGGATGGGTGTCATAGAGATTTTTATCATTCCAGTTTTTTCATCAGCAGTGAACAAAAGGATCTCTAGCACAAGTTAAATGAAGCTGTCCTTTAACATGCATGACATGCTCTCTTAAACAACATGTGGAAACTGGTTATGTTTTTGTAACATACACAAGAACAGTATCAAATATGTTTTATTAAAAGTTCTGTCATAAAGGTAAAAGTTGACTGTGAGTAGTTGAGAAAATCTTTAGGTGTTTTGATCTCATCATAGCTATTATTACCAATATTAAATAACTTTTATGAATTCCATTGATAATTACTGTTAGTAATGATTGTTGATTGTTATTATCATTAGTATAATTATAATAATATAAGAATTAACTATCATTGCCTTGATAAAATTTATACTACACACTTGGATTATTAATACATGAGCATCCCTTTAAGAGGTATTTCCCCAAATATCCACACTGAGTAATTCCTTAAAAATGAAATAATTTCTCTAGGTTGCAAGAGAAAGAATATATACTTCTTACACCATTTGAGCGTAACCTTGCATTTTGGAGACAGTTGTGGAGAGTGATTGAACGCAGGTAGAAGATTTCTTTAGAACCATACTTAACAGCTGACAGGCAGACATATGATGATTTGGATAACAGGAATACTTGTACATGTAATTTTAACACAGTAAAGTCAAACAAAAAATCCTGAACTTCATCAAAATTTGGTCAGAACTATTACTTTCACTTAGCTTGTTTATCATTGCAAATTGTACTTAATTTTGGATGATTAAGTCATGCAGCCACATGCTCTGTCCCTTTTTTTGTACAGTTCGAGGATTCGTTAATTAATCAATAACATTTTTTATCTCTATAGTGATGTGGTTGTCCAGATTGTAGATGCAAGGAATCCCCTCTTGTTTAGATGTGAAGATTTGGTAAGAAATCGTTTTCATTCAATTATTGTAATATTGGTGACTGTTACTACACTTCAACTAAGAAGGAATAGGCATAGTGCCTCATAAACTGAAGAATGACCAATCCAGGTGAGGGTCTACACGAGATGTCCCTGTCCTTGCACCATGAGGAATAACCAGAACCTTTGTCTCCTTGTTAACACAAGGAATGTGCTAAAGTTCTTGTGTCTTAAATGTTATTCAATTTCCTAAGTGCATCTGGGGTACATAAACTGTGCATACTTCATGGAACATGATGGGGAGGTGTTTTTTGTAAATGAAATTTGTTAGCATTAGTTTGCTCTAAAATCCAATTTTACTTCTTTCTAGGAGAATTATGTAATAGAAGTGGATCCAAAAAAATGCAACCTTCTTCTTATAAATAAAGCAGACTTGTTATCTCTAGAGCAGAGGTAAAAACTTAACCATTATTGTAAAAAGTTTTTTGAAGTTGACATTCAATAATTTCATATTGCAACCAATCAGACCTGGTTGACATGAATAATAATTACTATCCTTATGACAATAAGGAAAAACGTAATGAGCAACTTCACCAATAGTTGATTTATGTAGACAACAGTTGAATGATGGATCTGATAACTCTTTGACCATGAATATGAATATGTTCCAAACAGTTACTCATTCATTCCTTCCTCCTCTGTATAAGTGAGCATCAACCACAAGTATGTTGTTATTGCTTAGAGATTCTTGTCTGTTGACAACACAGATATTCCTGGTCAAGATATTTCAGAAGTATTGGATTACCAGTGGCTTTCTGGTCTGCACAACAAGAGACTGAGCGGCTCTCAGTTGTAAGTCCAGTTTAGACGTTGCAGACATAAAGTTTTAAATGTCGTTTTTTGTCAATGACTGTGAATATATGAAAGTCATATATTTGAACTGTGGATAAAGACGTGAATATGAAAGTGATCTTCTCACTAATGAACACTACTTGAGCAGTAGTGAAAATAAGGCCTGAAAAAAAATTCAGGCCAGTACAGGATTTGAACCCATGTTCATTACTACGAAGATCGCTTTCATATATATTCATGGCTTTAATTGCAGTTCAAATATATGACTTACATATATTCACAGTTGTTTACTGGCCACTTCACGGGTTTATTTGGAACCAACATGATGGCCAGCTCTCAGTTGGCTCGTTAGCTCAGTTGGTAAAGCACTGCACCGGTATCACAGGGGTTATGGGTTCAAATCCCGAACAGGCCTGAATTCTTTTTCAGGCCTTATCTTCACTACTGCTCAAGTGGTGTTCAATACTGTGAAGATCACTTTTATATTCACGTAGTTTTTTTTCTTCAAGCAAAGTGTCTGAAAGCTTCAAGCCACATAGGTTATTCTAAAAAGGATTCTGATAAAAGTTGAAAGCATTCTGATAAATTTATAGACTTAATGTCACAATTGCATTAGAGCAAGGTGAAATATCCTTTGATAAACAATCGTGCTATTTACTCTTCTTCTAGCCAGAAAATGACTTTCATATAAATGTGTTATCTTGATAATGGCGTGCAGTAGATGTTTCGTCAAAAAGCGGTCAATTCAAATTTTTTTTTTTTTCCAGCTAAATGCTGCTTCTGAAGAGGAAGAGAACTCTGAACAAGATGAAGAGAAAATAGAAGGGGACGAAGACGATGAAGGAGAAGAATATGAAGAACAAAGTGTTACATTGTGGTCAAAACTCTCACAAATTACTTTTGAAAATGACGATCAACAAGCAACTAATCAGGATCCTAGTGCTGTATCTGACACAGACCAAGTTTCGTTAACTTCACATGATAAGATATCTGAAGATAAATGTGAAGATTTAATGTCTATTCCACAGAGCACGATTGACACAGACTTGAAACATTTCAAGTCAAATGTTGAAGACAAAGGTAACAGTTCTTTGTATTCCTATGAAAGTGAACAGTCCTTGGATTCAGAAAAAGTGAAACAACTTTCTGTTACTACAAAGGCTAGTAGTTTATCTGGTCATGGCTCAGTCAATGAAATATCCTCAAAGAAAGAACTCAAAGAAAGAGAAACAACTGATGACAGTCTTGATCCCTGCTTGGAAAATACATCTGAGGTTATTGAACAGTCTACTACAGACTTTGAAAGCTTTGATGATGAGTTCTCAGCAAAGCTACTAACGAGAGACGAATTGTTAGCTTTGTTTCAAATGCTACATACAAAAAAGATACAAAACACAGTTGGTGATTCACACAGTATCCTCACTACTGTTGGTTTGGTAAGTAAACTCAAGATGCGTCCATTGAGTATACCACTCAGGTGAATAACTCGTGCCCATTGACTTGCCTAGACAAAAGAACAAATGAATTGGTTTCCCGTTTCGTGACATTTACTAGAGAGGAAATAATTTTGATCAACTAGGCGACTGTTTTAAGTAAAAAACACCAAAAATTGAAAAAAGTTGTTTAGTTTACACAGTGTCCAGAGAATGCAACAGGAGGCTCAAGCAACAAAAACTTCCATGTTGGGTCGATTTTAAGTGTTCCTGTAATTCATCGCTAAGCAGCTTTGATTCCTAACGATTTTTGTAATGAACACAGGCCATTTGGCTAGTTTAAAGCAGCATTGTTTTGACTTTTTCTTCATTATATACCTCAGTGTCGATAAATGTGGTAGATGTTTACTACCATAGGTAGGTATTTCGGTTTGAGGCAGAATACAATGAATTATCACACTCTAGGAGTGATTCTTATCTTGTACATAAAAACTTCACTCGTTCATGTCCATTTTTCATCACACCTTGAACAGGTTGGTTATCCCAATGTGGGGAAAAGTTCAACGATCAACACACTTCTAAATGACAAGAAAGTCCCAGTATCAGCTACTCCTGGACGAACAAAGCACTTTCAGGTATTGAACATTTTACCAAATTGAAGTAGTTGTGGTTAACACACAAAGCCTGAGTACTCAGTCAGTATCACAAGCTCGCAGATGTAAATCGCGAAGCGCGTCCTTTTTGCTTGTAAATATTTTACGACTGTTTTATTTCAGACACTGTATGTCAATGATGAGGTGCTGCTGTGTGACTGTCCAGGCTTGGTTTTCCCATCGTTTGTGTCCACTAAAGCCGACATGATCCTTAATGGGATATTACCGATTGACCAAATGAGAGACCACGTCCCAGCTGTGTCTCTGATATCCTTTACATGTCGGCCATTGTCGACTCAGTAATCTTACATCGAAGTTACTTTGTGCGCTTTCCTACACTGTCACAATCTTTTTTTATTGTTGGGCCACTTCGTAAAATACCATATTACTCTTACATATGTCTGATTCTTTGGAATTCCTTTGTTGTTTTGCTTCCCTTGTAGATAATTTGCATACTCTTTAGAATTGTAGGAATGAATGGCAGTGCTAATGCTAGCTGATTAAAGTTAAGTTTTTGTGATGTTCAAGTTCCTAGGTAGTCTTTATATCTGCCTTAATTGTTATTGGAGATGTCTCAATCAAACGGAATGCTACTCTACAGTTCGTACTTGCATCCTGAATTCCGATGTACCATTGAGACAAAGAAAGCTGAGCTTGCACCTTTAGCAGGCCTATTGCACTAATCGAATTGGCTTGTAGGTTTGCGTAGATTTTTACTTAATCTGTTGTTTCATAATTTTTTTATTTGCAATCCGGAAACTTTTGGAAGTAGACTATTAGATTATACTGTTTCCTTTAACTGAAACCACCTTTGTCAGAGAATCCCTCGCGGTGTTCTTGAAGTAGTGTATGGTATAAACATTGTCCCACCCCAGGAGGGAGAGGATCCCAACAGAGCTCCTCATGCCGAAGAGCTACTCTCCTCTTATGGCTGTAAGTTGAGCTCATTTTCGTGATTCATAAAATGTTCGCTAGATTTGGTTAAATTTGTCAAATTTTCACAAGTCATTGTATCTACAATACCTTTTCACATATTAATTTACATAACAAAGGAAGAAAGAAAGAAATATGATGAAAAAAAGGTAAAATCCGTAGCAGAACCACGGAAAACAGTTATATTTGTAAATTTTGCAAATTTTAACAAGCCCATGGAAAAAGTCGAATCTGTTACATCTACTTTCAATCCTGTAATCAAGTAGTTTCTCGTTCTTTATTATTCGAGAACAGCCAGTGTCATAGCGTTTGCCTCTAGCTTATTTTGCCCTTGCTCCTGTTTATTCGCAATGCCCACCGCCGTAACTGGCCGGCTTTGTACATCCAAGTAGTCGAACAAAATCTACTTTTCAGGGGTAAATAATGACTGTATGTTGTTGTTGTTGTTGTTTTTAAGCAATCACAGTATGGAATTTTAAACTAGGTAATTTCTTGCGGGATAAGCCTTAGTGGGAAAGTTGGTAATAGGAAATTAGAGCTTTAAAACTGGCAATAAAATATAAGGGAGCATTGACTTAATGATTGGGGAAAATTTTTTCTCAGATACCAGAGGTTTTATGACATCACATGGTATCCCGGATGAATCCAGGTCAGCTCGATACATTCTCAAGGATTATGTTAAGGTATGTGATTCAGCTGATGATGTACATCGGTAAGTTGTCTTGCCCTCTTCTTACACAACACAAATCCTGTGTATCCTCTTGAAGGTAATTTTGTATTGAGGTGTTTTTATCTTACGCAGGGCAAACTTCTCTATTGCATTGCACCTCCTGGACAGGACGAAAGTGAATTTCAGCAGATTGGATACAAACTACAAAGCGTCGCTGACATTGAAAGAAAAGATAAGCAAGCCAAAAAGAGAGCCCAGAAGCAGGTACGCTTGTCGGTACGCTTGTTTGCAGTAAAGGTTATCCTGACTGAAATTTTGAAAAATGACAAAAATAGCTTAGGTTGCAGTTTTGATGTTTGCCTTGAGAAATGAAAGTTGGTCGTCCAATTCGCTTCAAAACTGTCCATGAGTGGAAGAAAATTATAATAATAACTTCTAAAAAAAAAAGAAGGAAAAAAGCGCCGTCTATCACGCGAGGCAATGAAATTTGGCGAAAAAAGAATTGTGTCTGCTAGTAAGCGCGGCGTAACCCCGCTCACCGCACGCAGAGTTATGTGCTACAGGACTTTTGTCGCCACTTTCTTTAAACACACGCGACGGACCTAGGCCGGGAAAGAGGAACTGCTCCTAGGCTTTGCAGAATACCAGTGGATAGTGAAGGAGGCAATTTTGAAAAAAATGCTTGCGAAATGTGAAGTGATTGTCCAAATATCATGCAGTTTGTTCAGTAATGTTTCCTTTGTCTGCTGTGAATTACTTATGTTGATCCTAGAGCATGACCACTGATTTACCAATTACTGTCTCATATTTAGACAAGCGATGTGGACAAGAACTTCTTTAAACAGGTAATTTGTCCAGCATAGATCATTCAACTTCTCTTCCCTCTCCAGAGACTCTTTGTCATTTAACAAATAGATTCCAAGTTGCCGTGCGTCTGTTCAGTAATAGATCACAGATGACGTCCTCTGTGATCTATTACTGAACGGACGCACGGCAACATGGAATCTATTTGTTTTATATAATAAAGAATTAAAATATACGGGAAAAAAGTTTTAACGATGACGTCATCTATACGTTTGTCCTCCAATAGATCATAAGTGAGAACTAATCAGAATGCATGCATAACTGAGCTTATTATATAATTAATTATAGATTATGATTTATTAAAAGAGGAGAGAGCTTAAGGCACTTTACAATTTACAGCTAGAAGAGAAAATAACAATTACAGCGACAAAAATCTTTGTCTGTTTGTTTTATTTTTAGCAGGAGCAAGTTCGCTGGTTTACGCGAGGTTTTCACGCCACAGAGTCAAGCCAATATGGGGCGGCGGCAATCCCAGCACTAGAGGGTAATGCGGGCATGCCTTATAAACCATGGAAGAAACACTATAATAGAAACAAGAGGGAGAAGCTCCGTAGGCTTGTGAACAAGTAAAAATAATGTGGATCACAGGCATTATATTTGTAGTAACTCTGTTTTTTACTTGTTGTCGACAATTTTCCCCAGCTATCACCATTAAGAGAGAGCAGAAAAAAAGGAGCAACTTTAATCAACTTTCCTTGATCATTTTGATATCATGTTTAGCCAACGTCTTAACTGGTTTTTGTGACGAGAATACCAAATAAAACGATAACCGGTAATAAGTCAGCGGTGTTCAGGTTGAAAAGTTTTCTCTAATACATGCCTGACTTACCATCCATAATTTTAATATTTTATTGCACGCAGTTTCTCACAAAATTACTACTGAAACACAAGGTCGTAGTCAGATGAATGGCCAAAGTTGGTTTCCTTCCAGTGGTAATTTACACGATTCCCTTATGTGAAATGATGATGAAAGTCAGATGCAGAGAACGCGGTACTAAAAACAGAAAGAGTAATTAAACAAAATAGATTGCTTTTCATATCCCAAGTGGTCTGTTGGTAGCCTTTTATTGTTGAGATGAATAAAAGTACCTCTTAAATTTAAAAGAGGACAGGTATTGCCAAATGCGTGAAAGATGTGAAATCCTAATCCCACTAATATACATGAGTTCAATTGTGAGTCATCTGGTCTAGCGGCGAGTCACTTCATAACTGAATCTTACAAAACAAAGTAAAAAGGTAATCTTTATGCCCGTAAATGTATTAGCGAGTCAACGTTTTAAGTGTGTTGCAGTTGTGAAAGTTTGTGTTAAACTAGGTAGTTATAAATAACTATAATTCGTCATCTAATGTCTTTCCTTTTAATAAGTTAGAAACAAGAATGACTGCTTCTATTTACTGATTGTCGTGTAAAAGCTTTGTGTTTCCTGATTATGTTATCAATCGGAAATAGTTTTCATCTTATTTTCAACTTAGGGAACAGAAAAATACGTATCTTATGATGTTGTGTTAGTTTATAATACTTAAACTGATATATGTTCAATTGTTGATCATCTCTTCAACTCTTCTTGACAATTTCTTTTCTGCCTTGGTCAGATATGTCTCTTTTGGGTCGTTTGTGATGTTTTCCGGCAAAATCTCTGGCTTTATCGTCCAAAACATCCAATGCCTTTTTCCAGCTTATAGAAGACACATCGTGTCTCTCTAACCAACATGATTGCGTAACAGAGTTATTTCGTGGTTCAGCCTTTATTTTTGGCAGCTTTGTTTGGCCGCTATTATGTTTTCTGTATTCATTAGAGCCTTTGTCATCCCCGCTGATAGGTGGCAAATTTAAATCAGGTTTGTTTCCTTCCCTGTGTTCAGCGCCATCGTTGACAGAAATATCTGGTAGTTTTAAAACTTGTTGGATTGCGTCGTTCTCTTCATTGTACATGAAGTGTCCTGGAATCTCATTTAGTTCATCACCAAAACCATCATTGACACTAGTCTCGGTATCCAAGGAAATTTTACCAAGTTTCCGTCGGTATTTGCTTCGTCCGACCTTTCGGGACTGAAGAGTCTTCATTATGTGTGCACTAAAAAACTGGCAGTGTACAGCTGAAAGTCATTTGTGCTATAAATATTTCTGAAACAATTTTCCGTAGCAAAGCGTCACTGCTTAGTCCTAGGACCAGATTTCACATCGTGGACAATATGATGAAGTCAAGATGTACATGTAATCTTTTGTTTTAGTAACAAGGATATCAGGCCTCTTCTCTGCTGAAGAGACCTCCTATAACTTGTGCGCGAAAAATCTTCGAAATTACATAGAGCCAAACTATCGGTTTACCCAAATGAGACAGTTGAATGCGTCATCCTGAATAAATTAAAATCTTGTCCGTTTTACTTAAGTTAAAATTACTTGGTTTTACTTCAGGTGCCCTCTTGGGACCTAAAGGAACAAATTAGGCTGTAATAAAAACGTGTGATGGTTAATTCCTATTTCCGTCACTAATCCATTAACAAAGAACTGTTTTCGGAGAGCCGGAGACAAACAAACTCTTTTACCTTTATAAGCTTCTTCCTTGTGAAGAATACTCATCCTAAGTTTGAATTTTGACGAACTTGGGGAATTTTGTACCGTGCCTCTGTTGCAGTTATACTTTGAAGAACTTTTACCTGAAATATAACCTTGTCAAGGTGTAGTGTGTACACATTTGGCAAACAATTACTCAAACTTGGGTTGCCTGATTAGAAATAGGAAGAAGAAAGCGAGATTGGGATGAAAAATTCTCTTAAGTGCACATGTATTCTCTGGCTCATTAAGCTGATATGTCAAAAAAATTACCCTCATCGAAGTCGTAAAGAGAGCAATTATTGTTACTTGGTTATCTGTCAAACGCAATCAACCAGTCGCAGTGGCAAAGAATAATAGAGTCAATTTTGCCAATCAGTGCCTATCACCAAAGCAAACGAAGATGGTTAAAATTCAATGAGGAATTCATTAAAAGTAATCCTGGAAATGTTTCCTGTTTTCGGATAGGTCAGTTTTGTATGATTGCCTTCGGTTACAGGCGCAACCTTGGCAGCTAAGCGTGAATTACACTTTACTAAATTTATGGCAAAATGAAAACAAATTTAAAACAATTGAGTAAACAAGTTCTCCGCAAGTACGGCTTCGTGAACTTCTGAAACTCCGAACGCGATGTCAAGGAGGAATCAATTGACTCCATTAACCATCAGCTGGTGAAGAACAAGCTTTCCCAATTGCGGACCCATCCTGTGCGTACTTCATTGAGTTTACAAAGAAAACGACTTTTACACTGGGCTACCGGAATATCAGCTAGATCTCCAAAACTGGTCGTCGAACATCATGGTGACCCACCCGCTTATTTATTTTGGTTTTTCTTTTTCTTTCTTTCTTTTTTTTTTTTTTCGTAAATTTTCATCCTTTCCAGTTGCTAGATTAACTACAATACCCATCGTTAATGACCCCATTTTTAATTCAAGCGTGCATCGTTTTTCCATATCGTCCACCCTGAAGAGGAAGAAAAGCTTCCACACTGAGTAGCTTTCTTCAACACTGATGCGAGTATTATAACGCTCTTACAAAGCGTAATAGATCCCCACAACAGTGGCTAACTTTCTGAAAGCGAACTCAAAACGGGTGCGAGAAATTACTTGTTCAGGCCTGGTATTGGGGGCAGGTTTTCAACATCTGGGCAGCACAACGCTTTTGAGTTTCTGAGGCGTCATCACTGTAAAACGTGGTGGTTGCAGCACAGGCCTCCTCTTTTCGTCTCTAATATTTGAAGTAAAATGCCTTATCGGCATCTCACGGTTAGAGGGTGAAACCCTCACTTCGGAGTTGCTTCCAAATTGTTTCTTGGTCTGATTTGGATCGAGAACCTACAAAGGCTTTATTTAAATTCAGCCTGTCGTTGTCATGTGGAAAAGATGGAAATATTGGCAGGACAAAGGTAGGTTGACTAGAGACCGGTAAATTGAGGACAAATGAACAAATGGCCTGTTAAGAATGCTTGTTTACATGCACACATGTTCTTTGCTCCTACTCGCCAACAGAGTACCTAAATCGATAGCCCATAGAAAAAAATGACGCCACCAAACTAGCCATGTATTTGATGATAATTTAGCTTCAGACCTATTACATACTGCAGTTTTTATGATAAAAAATCACAACAAGAGAATGCCTTCCTATTTGATACATTTTCTACGATAATAGTTAACATCCACAATTATAATATAAGAAATGCAGAACATCAATTGTATTACATTGTACTTTCCTCATGCAAGTATTAGCTAATGTATAGATTTAACCAAGCCTAAAAGCGGAGCTCGCATTTTTTTCCCCATACGTCTCAAGGGCACAACGCCTTGCCCCGGCCAAGACTAGAACCCGGGTTGTCCGACTCGGAGCCCAGTGCACTGACCACTGGACTACTGAACAAAGCCGTGGCGTTGGCGTGCCCGCGGTACAGTTGACCACACATGTAAAAAGTAGCACCTTGTACGGTCGTACGGTCGTACATCCAAATTTTTTCGGCTTGATGGGTTACTACTATTTTATATAATTATGGGGCTACGCTCTACGAAGAAGGAAGGAAATTCCCTCAGCAGAAAATAGATACAACCTTTATGTAACTTTGAGGAAACGTATAAATGGAAATATCAAACAATTTCTACTGCTACATTATTTTATCAGATAACACTGTTTCTAAGATTTTTTTGTGCCTCTAACTCAACAATGAACCTTCTGCTTTAGGCTTGATATAAATATTATCCTTCTTTCTATTGTTCATTATCTCCCTAATATTATAAAAGTGTGATTTATTTTGTCACTTAAAGCTTGATTCATAAATCAACCTTATCTTCAATACCACTACTTTAACAAGAAAATTGGTGTGTTAAAAACATTTTTTTAAATAATTTAGGGAACTGGAGACTGGAGACCTTTTTCAACTAAATTTCAATTGTTTTCTTTCATTGAAAATCATCCAAATTCACACAATCTTATCTAAGAGAGATAAAGTGAAATGTATGGGAGATCAAGAGATTTGTTCCATATTCAAAGAAAAGTGGGGTTTTAATCACACCTACATGAACTTAAATGTTCCATATTAGCCTCTGAGCCTTTTAAGAATTTAAGAAAACTGTGCACCATAGGCTGGTGGGTCATAAGGTGGAGGAGCATTTTGCTGAAGAAAGCCATATGAAGGAGAAGGCTGTGCAAATGGTTGAGAATACCCCTGAAAGTACGGTGGTGCTGGTGCTGATGACTGTACAGCTGCTGGGTCAAAAGTAAAGAATAAGCTGTCCACATCTATTGGATAATCAGGAGCTTTGTCGCGGTGGACATACTTTGCTGACACATCTGCTGATGTGACAAGCTTCCAATGGTGGTTTGCCAGTACATGGACCAAGTGGCATATCAGACTTCTGCCATGGATTCCATCATGTCCACTAATTCCATCTCCCCAAGGATTACCCAGTAGTTTAAATTCAAGACTATTTCCATAGCGCTGCACTCTCTGAATACCAAGGGCGTACTGTGCATAAATCACATCTTGACATTTCTAAACATCAACATGGAAAGAAAGTGATAAAAGCATTATTTTGTGATGTTTAACAGTTTTTCAATCATGTTTGAATTGGGCTTCCATAGGAAATAAAAAAAAGAAAGAAAGTGAAGTGAAGCTATCTGTCTTTATTGTAGTCCTATACACTTACAGGATCATTACTGTACTTTTGAAATGCAAAGGAGTTTTCCCCATAAACACAAAAGTCTTTTCGAAGATACAAGAGACACTATGAGAGTCCTAAGAGCAAACTCTTTCAAGTGAATCTTTTATTGAGCAGTCTTACTGATTTAGTGAGCCACTTATGGAGTTTGAAGCACTCAAAGGATCATCTATAACTGCCAGAACTGATACTGTCGAATATTTTAACATTATGAAAAACTGTACCCGATTAACACAGAAGCGAAAATAGTATGTAGATAGCTATGCAGAGACTGTTGTTATCTTGACAATTGATGATTGTGATATCCTAGACAAAACTACTAACTAAACGGGAAATGTAGAGAACGATTCAATGGTGAAAATAAAGGCAAGAGAAGACATAAGATCACACTATGCAAAGTAAAGCCTTAGCCCTATGTCAAGTAGGGCTAACGCTGGAAATGAAAGCTTTTAAACTCTTTACAGAGGCTAATTTACGTTATCAATTCAATTGATAATATTGTAATAGCTTTGTTGTTGGGCACTGGCAGACTACTGCCAGATACATTTATTTCTGCAAACCAAGTTTAATTACATGGAGAAGCCTGAGTGCACACAGTAATGCATCTAGTTGTACCAATAAAAAAGAGAAAATCATCCACCACCTGCAGATCATGTTGTGATATTACTTAATGTAAAGCTATACCATATCTATGTAACAGAACTATTTCTCCTGTGTTTTTATTTTGGATCAAGTTTTTGTTTATGGGCAGGAGGGAAGAGTTGGGCTCATCACAAAGAGGAGATTAATGATAGACTCTCAAAGTGCTAAATGGTGAAGGGCTTGCAAGAGAGGTTGAAACAAGTCTTCTAAAAAATGATTTGCATTATTTATGCTCTTACCTTTGCAATGTCTTCAGGTGCATTTATTAGTCGCAGTTTGTCTGTCTCATTCAAACTTATACAGAAAACTGGAGCCTGCCTTGGCTGTGACTGTCTGAAAAGAAGGGAACTCTTATCTGACAATTTCCTTGAGCTATCAATACTAGTGACAATGCTCCATCCATATGCCTGCATTGCTTCAATTATTTTCAGTATTAGATACCTCGAAATTACTGCCTCTTCACCTGAAGCCCACCAAGGGTTTCCACGCAGCTTAAACTGCCAGCTCAAACAGTAGCGTGACTCTTCCTGAATACCTCTTGGCCAGTTGGTTTGGATGACATCACGTACAGCAGAAGTCAAGCTGTCTGGAATTCCAATCAACCTCAAGGTGTCGTACTTGTTGAGGCTTATGGTGAAGTGTGGTGGGCAGGGCTGCCCTAAGGCAATGCTTGGGTCGTGTTCAAAGAAGAAGGTGTTGGTACCACTTTTAAGGTTGGAATTTCCGTACAATCTCCATTGCCTCATATACAGATCAGTGACAAGCATTTGCAGAAGCACTCTTGAATGAACTGTTTCCTCTCCGTCTGGATGCCAAGGCGTTCCTTTCAACTTGATAAATAACACAAAATTCTCATACGACCACCTTTGGATTCCAAATGGCCATGATTTGTCGACTATGTCTTTGAAAGTTTGATGGAGTTCGGCAGGTGCATTGAGTATCATTAAAGTATCAGTGCTGCTGAGGCCCACAACCACGAATGGCTGGGAGGACAACAATGTAATCGATATTTTCTTAAAGATCCACGTAGTAAGATCTGTTGTTCTAGTCAAGTCACTAGAAGCCAGCAGCTTCCATCCATCACAATATAGTCTGTGAAGGACAGCACCAGCCATTGTCCGGGAAAGTACGGCATCGCTGGATGAAATATTCAGAGAAAATGGATATCCATTCAACTTGAATTCATGAGCTCCATTAAGAAGGAATGATTCTCTTTGAATTCCTCGAAGCCATGTTTCTTGGATGGTTTGACGGAGGATGCTAATTTCGCGATCTGTACCATGAATGACACGAATTTTATCGGGGTGGCGAATAGCTATGCACATATATTCAAAACCAAGAGGACGGGGAGGTAAGTTTGATTGAGAACCTCCCATTTTCAGCTCTGACAAGACTACCACTATGATATATTTTTCCGCATCAGCAGCCGAACTGCCAGGCGGTTCCAACACTCTCGTCCCCAGATCATCTCAGTTTGGGTCCAACTAGGCTGTGTGAGTTCCCAAGGAATCTTTCTCGACATCAAAGATTGTCAAATCAGCTCTACAGCCTCTTAAAAACACAAATGACTTAAATGTGCCTGTTACTAAAAACTGGGGTCGGTGAGGGCCATATTTATTACTGTATTGCAAAAATACTAGACCGAAAAAATATAAAAAAATTTAGGTGGCTCGGAACCAGAGTTAATGCTTCTGTCTGAATTGTATGTACAGAGTTTTTTCAGACTTTACGGAAATGTGAATCTCGATAGGCTTTTTACATTTTAGTTCACCGAACTTGTTTCTGAATTACATGCGAATGAAGCTGAAATCGTGAGTGCTTTTAAAAAGTTATAGAGTTGCTATGGCAACTTTATTTGTTAAAAAAAAAACAATCATAGCAAGTTCAGAAGTAACTGTGTATTATTTGGTACTACATTCCAGGATGCAAATTAAAGAAAAAATAGACTAAAAGCTACCATTAATCAAAGAGTTGGTATTTGAAAATATCGAAGGACATTTTGTGCCACTTTAAATGACGTAGCAGCACTTCTGTATCGACTTCAGATGCAAATAGCGGATGGCAAGTGCAAGAGAGCCCCCTAGATTCCTGCTATTTTCTCAAACTTCCTGTTTGATATATGTTTAAAGAGCTAAATAATGAAAAAATGTACCCAAATAGGTGATGATGCTCACACTGGAGTAAACGAGTGATACTAGTGCATATCGAATCACAATAGTAACTCATTTCTGTAAAGGGCTTCCAACGAGTTGAAAATATGGGCACTGAGATCGTGTTGGAGTTCACATGACACATATAACAAAATATACGGATATTTCTTAGAAGCTTAAACTTTGCTTTGTTAATTGCGTATAGGTTCAAGGGACGATTTGAATTTGAATGAATGAAGACAACCCTTAGTGCTTAAAGTAAAGAGACTTAACGGTGTCCGTCATCGAGTCCTATCGTCACTTTCTCTCCAATTTGCAAAAGTCAAAACATAACGGCGAAAATCCAAGAATGTATGAAGCTAGGAATATAAAGATGTAATAAGCATACGCATAAAATCGTATCCTGATTTCTTCCCTTTCAGATAGTTACTTTGATTCTATCCGTTTATGTTCTAGCTTGGTAAAGAGAGTTTTCAAGTTTTTTTTCTTACTTGTAGATTGACTAGTTCAGTTAAAAAACTGAACATTAAGTAACGCTACGATCATCGTACAGGAAATTTTTTTATACGCTCGAGACGAAGAAGAGGAAGACACTAACATCAAGAGTAAGAAAAATTGAGAAAATTAAGAAAAATCTAAGAGAAATGTTAGCTATGATGCAGCCTTTTCTTTTCTGATTAGATATTATCACTGCACTTCAGAAGGTTCCTTTTCAAAAGCACACATAATCGAACTAAGTAACACAAGTAATATATAGCCACAAGCTTAATGAAGATTGCTTTATAAGGAGGTGACTACCATAAGAGAGAAACAAAATATTAGATCTCTACACAAAGAGAAAGCACTCTGAAAATTTTTCATTATTGACTGGATCATATATTTTGAATTAGCAGCGTATCATACACAGCGAGAATATATTCATTTTTTTACATAATCAGAATCATATTATAATGCGACGGAGGCTTTTTGACTAAGACTCATGAGATTATCTCGATTAGAAAAACTCATTGATGCATTAATGATCTCGCGTTTGAAAGAGTCGAGAATTTCATATTGCTTCCACAGCAGCTCAGGTGATATCTAAGGCGTCTCTCCCTGTTTTACAACGAAGCTTGTTATTTCTTTTCTTCGCGATTTCCATGACAGTTGACTGAGTAATGTCATAAACAGTTTAAAGTAATACATATACATGCAAATTTCAAGCGAGTAATAAATTTCTGATTTACAGCACCTTATTCTGTTGTGAAACTGAGTTTAGTAATTGATTATACGACAACATCCATTGACTGTGTTAGTATAATTACTCAATTGGAACTAGATGCAATGCATAAATTTTCATTTGTCCCTACTTCGATTTTGAAAATTAGTAATCATTACTGTGCTTGATGGGATCATAACTAGACTGTGGTACAATTCTCGACCGAAAAGAGCGCATCTATCTAATCACCTAAGTAACTTACTTGATCCTCACTGAATAATATATCACTAACACCACACAACGTCAGGATTCTAGAAAATCTCTTATCATAGATTTCATTCCTGTCTCAACTTTTAGCTGCTGGAAAACCTGTATTTTCTAGCTCACTGTACAAGTCAGATCTGCTCACAGATAGCGAACGGGTCCACGTTTTAAAGTCTGGTATCGTGAGTCTGGTTATCACGCACATCGTTGTCAATGCCATTTTGTTGTGAACCGTTTATTTCGGTGGGCCCCACAACCGAGTCTGTTTTACTTGCCACGACTGAACTCCTTGTTCTGCTGTCTGAGCGGTGGGCCTTGTTTTCATCTTGTCCAATTGCATCTATGACTTCCAAACAAACTTTGCGTAGAGAATCTCTCCGAAAATTTGGGCTGTTAAAAAAGTAGATGAATGGATTGCAAACTGAATTGAAAAGCCCAAAGCCATAGGTAATAACTCGTACAGTATCGGCTGGATTAGGGAATGGGGCAACTGATCTCTCAATGAAGCCAGTGTATATGACAAACGGCGCCCAACAGAGGAGAAAGCATATAACGACAATTAAAAGCATCTTAGTGACGCGTTTTCTTGTTTTGTCCAGCGATTCTGAAGTAGCCCTGGACAGTGTTCCAGAGCGAGAAATGTTTCTTTCTCGGCTCCACACTGCCTTTCCCACGCGACTGTACAACACAATTATAGTGATTAACTGAATACCGAATCCAAAGACGGAAAGGAACAACAGGTAGATGAAACCGGCTGTTGTGTTGTTAGGAATGGTACGGCAATACCAAAACGTTTCGTTTCCTGATTGGATATCCTCGGTGTCAGCGAAGTAGAACGTGGGAAGGAAAATGCTGCCTCCGTAGATCCATCCCGCACTGATTAGAACTTTAGGGCGGAGCCAAGTTTTCATCGCTTGCAATGGACGAACCAGAGAGTAGTAACGATCAATGCTGATCACAGTTAGTAAACAGATAGAGCTGGATGGCGCGAGAAACTAAAAGAAAAAAATGCGCCTGCAATGGTTAATAGCGCTTATTTGGTACATCTTTTTGACATCATATTGATTAAAATTAAAAAGAGAAAAAAAGAGGGAGACTGATATTTATTTTGAATCAAATTCTTTAAAGATACTAAAGTTTGCTTTCTGTTATTGTTATAATCGTAAAATTGTTTAGAAGAGTCTAGTGGAGAAAGTATATCTATTCCCTTTCTTTATGGCTGGTTAATAATATGACGGTATTTAATTCTTTATGTTTTTTGCTCAACCTATGAGACCATACTAGAACAAGTGGAATGCGAACAATAGTCCCGCTAATTTGCGAAAAAAGTGGTCTAGTTTAGAGCATGTCAATGATCTCTAGTGTAAATGAAAATAGATTCGCGCTCTTTGTCGATAGCAGGGACTATGTCTGATAATTTGTTACCTGAATAATGATTCCATGAATGGGTTTTCCCCGCTGACTCGTTAAATGAATGCTTGTATAACAAGCTAACCCTTGAAAATGTTCTTACCTGGACGTATCGTGCTATCTTACACACTGCACCAGCTCCTGGTTTGTCCTGTTCTGGATAGTAGAAATTGATCCATATAGTCAGTGGTATGCACACTATACATACAAGCAAGTCTGAAATCGCCAGGTGAAGGAGAAACAACTGCACGGCCGACCGTCGACCGCGCCGTCGACTTGAAACAATAATAGAAGCAACTATAGAGTTACCGAATAAACCAACCAGTGAGATGATTCCTTCAAGAAAGAAAAAATAGATCATTTATTAGAGAAGTGTTAACAAAAAGTGCACGGGTCACATAAAAAGGGTTATCAGTCGCACAAGTTGTCTGAGGAAAATTTTAAAACGCTATAGTTTAGGTATAACCTGTACATTAATTTCCATAACAGCAGCAGTGAGAAAGTGGTTTGAACCCTCGGAGTTACAGTTGATCATTTCCTGAAAAGACCTTACCTTTGACTATGACTGTTTGTGTGGACAACCTGAGCTGCTCAGCTTGTCGAAACGTCAGTCACCCTTCCACGATCAGACTACACAATCCCAAGCTCGTAACATCTTTCCTTAACAGCATTGGTCTATGCAACGCTTACCTGTACTTTTTTTTCATTCCAAATTGCTCTTAAAGTCCTTTGACTAGCAATAAAAATTGACTGAATTTTTGTGAAACTTGTGGTAAGTAAATACAGTGCTGCGAGTTGCATAGGATCACACGAGGATCCACACGTGAAGGACAACATGAGCTGTGTACATGTTGGGATTTTTATACATTGATAGGAAATTTATGATAGTCCGGAGAAAAATTGTTGTACCAGTAATGGTTTTGGAATCATTGCCCAGAGATCGATAAACCAACATACCTATTTTCTTCAGGAATAGAATATTACGAGTCAGAGACCAGTGCGATGTGTTGAAATGACCTCACTATAGACTGCTGTTTTGAGGGCTTCGAGAGTCTACACGAGCTAAAACAAAAAAATTTTCTAATGCTTCTTTGTGGAAATGAAAAGTAGGTAAGGGACAAAGCTGAAAAAAATGACTACCGGAGACCAAAATTTGCACAGCAGCTGTTCAAAGAGGGAGATAGAGCACAGGATCAGTAGAAACATGTGCATGATGAAATAATTGCAAGGATTACAAGATGGTTATGGATATAACATGAGTGTGTGGATCTTTGTTTCTTTTCTCAGCCAATCTTGACATATAAGAGCGTGAAGCTGGACAATCTATTATATTTGCATATCTTACCAAACATTTTGGTGTGTAGTATCACTGAGTATTTTTACGAGTTGAGCCGCGTATTTTGATGAGCCCGTAGGATGAGTCAAAATACAAACAAGGAGTAAATGATTCCATGATATTAACGTTGTCATAAACTTTATCGAAACTTTATGGCGTGCTGTAAGTTATCGACATCGTAAACAAACTTAAGATGATAAGGGAATTAACGACGTCGTTGACTCGACGACGTTAATAACAATTTGACGACCGTATTAAAGATGTTATTACCAAATTCATAGCTTAATATCTACATCGAGAGTTGACGTCATTAAAACATTCAACGTCATTAGAACCTGACGACTACATAAAGGAAATTACATTGTTAACGCATATAGCGACGTCATAAGCTTAACTTAGAAAGACCTGTAGGGGCTCAAAAAGGCTATAGAGACGGTTAGGAAAAAAGCATTCATGATTATTATTCTTCAATTCTTGAAATCGACCCGAATGATGGCTGGAGAGTGACTGCTGACTTTAAGTGACGCCTCACGACATTTCGAAGAGTCTTCGACCCGTTAAACAATGTGAGACACTCGGAAGAAATGAGAGATAAATATCATACCGTCCTTTTCCTCCGTCTGTGCTATAATTTTAGGATTCTTGATGTATTTGGGCTACAAGTCAATATGAAAAAACTCGGTCCTTAATTTACGATGCGGATCTCAAACTCGGCGCGTAAGAGGTATAAACACTTACAATGGATTTAATTGGATTAATTTTTTTTAAATTTTAAGCTGAAAGGATCACCATGGTGAAGCGTGGCGAAGCCATAGACACACCGAAAATTCATCTTGAGATTCTGGAGGTGTTGCAATCTTGTTAAGGCAAGCTCTCAGTTCTTCTATCTTAAACTGCTCTCTACCACCTGAAGGACACTAAATTTGATTCAAAAAGGAAGCGAAGCCAAAATGTCTCATACCTTAGTCCGATTTTACAAACATAATAGAACACCTGCGTTAGAATCCACTCAGTTTTTTTTATGATGTTATAAACCTCTGAATATTGCTAACGGTTATCCCCTCAGCAGGGATATGGAGGTTTTTCTTTAGAACAGTGTGATATACCCTGAAAAGGGGGTTAATCTTTTCTTAATCAAGCTTAATTAGCAGGGCTATAGTCTGTCTAGATTATTCCTACTTTCCTCAGCAGGCAGAAATCCTCTAGATGTCTTCGCAAATAAATTAAATTTCCTTGGAAAGATTATGCTCCTTAAGGCGAAATAGGTATCTCAGAGACAGTCTCTGGATTCGGACTTCACATTGTCGTTAATCAGCGAAAATGAAAGGTTTCAATTCGTGCTGAAAACATTTGGAATACTCAAACGGAAATTCATGTAGATTTATCTTATAAGCAGATAATACTCAGTTTTCATCGTATAGAATCTAGCGAAATCATGTGATAATAAGTTTTGCATTGAGAGCTTTGTATGAGCAGTTAGCAAGGTATATATATATATATATATAATTGTGGGAAATTGTAGCAAATGCTGTTGGAAAGTGCTTAATACACATGAGTGTAGAGCGAAATACAGTTCGAAACGACTAAAATGAAACACGCATGATTCCCTGTAATTCTGAGTTTCGTGCTTACGCACTCGTGAGACAGATTTAAATCTGTCTGACGAGTGCGTAATCACGAAACTCAGAGTTACAGGGAATCATGCGTGTTTCATTTTAGTCATTTCGAACTATATATATATATATTTTTTTTTTTTGGCTTGGATACCACCTCTTACCTAGTAAAATCAGGGCGACGATAAACTCACTGCCATTTATCGACCAAACTTTATAAACTGTATTGACTGTTCTGTTCGAGTCAGCCATGGTAATCTTCACTTGGAGCAAAACCTTAAAAAAGATAACCTTTTACTTCTTGATTATGCTGAAAGATAAGAGGATTTAAATTCATTGTAGCTGTGACTCCATTGCGTGAGTGCTGCCAAGTGAAAGATATCAAATGGTTCATGCACCACAGCACTCACGCATACGGTGTTTTTTGAGGACGATTAACTAAAAATTGCCCTAGCCTTCTGGGTTTATTCACAGCTACATCCTGTACCGACAACAGTTTCCTTACGAAACTTTCCGATAGGTCATTCATTCTTAAGATCTAAAAGGTTGGTTCTTGTAAATATAAGTGAAACATATTGGTCGAGATAAGAACACATCACAGATGAACAGAAACCTAACACTGATATGACAAAGTTTTTTAACCTCACGTCGTATCTCAGTCTTCTAGAATGAATACTTTGTCGGTAGAGTCAACTTTGTCATGTAGGGCCTACCTGAAAGTAAGGTAGAAAAATTAAGCAGCCTCAAATCTCCACGACACTTTTCCTTTGTTGATAACTCTAACACACCATCGACTTGTCATGTTTATTTCGAGATGAGTGATCACAACAGAAGCGTAGCGGAACCAAAGCCCTGTTGCGAAAACTATGCAAATGAACCAACCACCACACCATGGTAACTGCCATATTTCGAGCTGAAAATTTAATTACGTTCGTTAAATCCATTATTTTCATGAGATTTAATGAAAAGCTGCGGGGAAATTCAATATGGTACAGGAAGAGGCCATTTATAAAACTAATGTTTACACAAAAATCTATAGAGAACAATACAATTGCAGAGCGTTCGACGCAATCATACATTGTTCCAAATGACAACCAAAATAGTGAATAGTTCAATGAATATTTTATATAGTGGAAAATCACTCTCCGAAGAAAATAACAAACCCAAAAAGGCGCAAATACAAATATGGGTAAACTAGCTTGAAATGAAATATAGAATGGTGATTCCGTCTATACCCTCTATAAAGTTTTACACAGCTGTAAAATTATATTCCACCATTAGCAGGACAAAACCACGAAGCATGCACAAGCATGGAGCTAAATGAATAACTACTTACCGGTAGTTGAAATTCAATTCAAAAAAATTCGTTTCTTTGGACAAATTATATCCCAGGAGGATAAATTGGATCTTTCACTTGACATTGAAAATAATTAGGGTCAACTTAGTGATATCTTTAATTTTTTTTATCAACCTTTTAATGAATTAACGCAAATTCAATATACACGATCATTGCGAAACTAATTGTTTATAATTAATGAAGAAAATAAGTGATAAAGGCAACAAGAGAAAATATTAAGCTGCAAAAGTGAATGAATACCTCAAGCAGAACAGACTAAATTAAAGAAACAAAAAAAATTTTTGTTCCGGCATGACATAACCTCAATTGGTGAAAAAAAACTCTTCTCCGGATGACAAACATTGAGGAAAACAATAATGACGAAAACTAAATGAAAAAAAAATTCAACAGCTTTTAAGATCTCTTTCGTGGAACACTGTTACCCTGTTTTTTAATTCGTCCAAAAAATCATAAACTCGGTCAGAATCATGTATCAGGCACATTTAACATAACCACGAGAATAAACGACGTTGACAGAAATTGCTCATAGACTCTCAAAATCACACTTGAAGAGGACATAATGTACCCTAACCCAATTGTATCAATCGGACACGAAAATGATCATGTTTATGTCGCATTTATTTCGCCTCGTTTGGGTTGATCTCACGATTTATAGAATGCGACCTCTCATGGTGCAATGCTCCCTAAACTTAGTTGTTTTGAGGTAAAGCACCTGGCGCAGTTCGCTACAGCCATAGTAGTGCGGGTTTGATAATATATCTTTTCTTCGTCTCCAATATTAGACCGCTCTTTAAGAGTAAAAATTATTTTATAACTGCAGCTTGTACTTTGAGGAAGAGCCGTTAAAAAATTCCACAATTTCTCTCATTTAATTCCCATGCAACGGGCAAAACATACTAACGGTGCGAATGCTCTGAGGAGCCATATAATGGGCTGAAAATTCTTGATCGGAGATTTCAAGTGGACGCTTCTGGCTAACGCTTTAAACACTGAAATAAAAATTTTTAATGCAAAAGATTAACTCTTCTGAAGCCGGATGGTAAAAGATTTGCCCAAGATCCAGCCGGGTCAATTATAGGCCTCCTTAAATTTTCTAGCTTCAGTTCCTACTTGCTTTTCATTATTTGATGAAGAAAGGCTCTTGCACCTGTCTCAACACCAAACGCAATATGTAAGTTTCATTAATTGCGACATATATGTTGCGTTTGGTGTTTAGACAGGTTGAATTTAAACAGTTTAAACTGATAAAACAGTTGAGTTTAAACTCAGTTATTGACTCACATCCTCGAAATAGGAATCTACAAGATAACCTCTGCAATTTGTTTTGGGAATTTAATTATTTTATTGGGCTAAATAAAAAGAACCGCAGAGCAGGATCTTGCCTCCGTTATTGGGCGCGACTCTCCAAACAGACTATTTCCCCTTTTTTATGTACGTTTCCATTGGCTTGTGATTACAAAAGATAAAAATAAAAACGTAAGAAGTTACTTCAGTGGTCATTCATCATAGCGATCGAGCTAATTCTTCAATAAAACTTAAACTGCCAGAAAAACGTCTTTTCAGTTTGATTCTTTATCACAAGGTTATAACTGAACCTTTACAATCTTTTGCTTTTATGAAGGATACTACCGTGTCGAGTTGCTTGCTTTGGTTTTGCTTCATGTTGTGTATTATCTTAATCCGTTTTTCGATTTGCTTTTATTTACATTCAATACTCTTCTTGAGAAAAACTTCGTCTCCCCCATCTTTAGGCAGTTTCCTCTTTGTTGTGTGGTACCTTACTTTCCTCAGTTTGCAGAAACGGGTACGAGTAGTAAATCACTAGTCTGGCTCTTTTAAACTGAAACTTCATTTAACTACAGTATTGTGAATCTGGCTAATAAATGTTCAGGTTACATCGTTCAGTGGTTCTCATCTTTTGTTCAAAAACAATTATACCTTGTTCAAACACCACCATTGCCCATCGGAACGTTCCTGTTTTACCTGTCAGGGCTTATCCCATGTCAAGTGAACTGACGCGAGCCATACTTTCGTTGATGGTTCTTCTCCGGGTAATCTTAGGTCTCCCTCGTTTGCTTTACCATCTCTTGTCTAAAATATAGCTTCTTTTGTGTTATTATTCCTTGAATTCGTTGCATCGCAACGCACGTAGTTTGATTAGTGGTGTGTTTTACTACACGACAGCTTGCTAATAGCAGAACCTGCACTAACAAAAGGAAAAGAAGAAAAAAAGAAACACTCCACGCAGAAAAAAGTAAACTGTTCGTAATATCTTTTAATGCGCATTGCAAAATTTTTGAAGGATAATAAACACAATAGCCTCTATTTGCGCGAAAATAGGTACATGCAAATGTTTTTCCTTGGACATTATCTGTTCCTCGAAGCTTAAAGTTTCCTCGAGCAGCTCGCTCTCGGAAAACTATTCGCATCTTCGTTTCAGAACACTACATGGACTCGGGGAAGTTAATGCAGATTTTCTGAAGTTCAACAAGAAGACGTAAACCTCAGAATACTTAGACGCGCTATTTGCTTTAGGCTCAATGTCAGTTATAGGAAAGACAACTACAGTTACCGAGTACACCTCCGTTACTGATGAAATCGACGTAAATGCGACTGAAAAGGTTATTCAGCAGGTATTGGCTGAGTCGACATTTCGAACCACCTCTGATCTTTTTGTTTTTGTTTCTTTTGTTTTGTTTGATTTTTGTTTTATGATGACTAATATATTATCCACTATCACTGGTAAAGAACGCAGATGTCATCGAGATTTTACCCATTTTACCCAATATGCTTCCCTTAAAGATTCATCTCGCACGATGCTAAAATCCTCGTAAATAATGATGATATGATAAAAATATGAGTTGTATATTAAACAACTTACGCGTTCTAGAGGAGTGCTCTACTTCCTTATGTAAAGCTTTAAGACAGAAAGAAAAGCTCATTGTAACACTAATGAACAGGAGAGAATTTGATTCTCAAGTCTCGTTGCATATTCTTAGGTAAGTTAGGAATGAAAGTTAGTAGCCTTCAGTTATGTCAGTTTTGGTAGTAAACTGTAGAACATTTGTTAAGTTGTTCTTGCAAGCTGTGTATAACTAATGTCAAAAAGTAAACAAATACACAAGGAAAAGAGCATCGCAAGCCGGCAAAAATGTTTTGCCATACTCTTTAGGGACGGGGCTATCAGCCAGTGTGCATTTGGGGTCTCCTGATCTTATTTCAGGTGAAGTGTGGTGGGTCAAAACGTCGTGTTCTCAGTCCCTGGTTGCCGTATCCGTCCCGTAAGCTAAGTTTGCCCGCCTTCTCTCTCCTCTTCGAGCCAGTGATATAAAAACTACGAAAAAGAAGTGTTTGGGTACTACTAAAAGTAGGAATGTGTTTGAAAATTGTTTAGGCCTGTTAGATTATCTTAAAATCCTCGTGAGAGTCTTGTGAGCCTTGGTCTTTTTGTGGTGCATGACCATACATTTATTTTTTTACCTTTAGAGTGATGTGTCCTCGACCGTTGTAATAGGAATTAACTCTCGTGCGATAATCGTCATCGCCAGTCGTGTTTGGTTTTGTCCTTGACTTTGCTTAGAGTCCTCAACGGAAAGTTTTATTTAGGTTTCAGTTCTCGTAGATTGATTTTTTTAGTACTTTCTTGTTTGTTTCCAATGTCTTTAGAAATTGTTTGGGTTTGTGTTCTTAAAATATGTGTACTCTGCCAAGTAAGTCACGATAAGCAGGGGGTGGGGAAGGGGGAGGGGAAGCCGGGTCATCAGGGTCTGCAGGGACAGTGCTTTCCAGCATTGTGTATTTGGGGTTCCCTTGACTAATTCTGCACAATTCGCAAAACATCCGCTCGTATCATACATTAAACCATCGAGAAAGTTTTATTTATCATACGCGACGTTAAGTCATTTCTAATGCAAACAAAGGGTCAGGCAAAGTCAAAAAGGGCATCCGTAATGAAATTTGAAAAAGTTGAAACAACCGCACTCTTTTTTGAAATATACTTAAAGGCCTCTGTTGATCTGACTATGTGTGCTCCTATCAAAAGGTGAACCAGCTCTTATGCAAATAAGATCATAGCTCTTTCAATTGTCTTGCCATTACTTTCCACTAAGAGGGAAAGATTGGGGGAGTGTTTATCAGTGAAAATAGCTGCCTTTTATTTTGTTTTAGCAGTTTCTGTTTTTATTTCATTTTCATTTGAGACCATCGCCATAAAATATATCATTTCCCATCACCTTCCCTTTCATTTAGATCAGAAAAAGGAGAACAAAACAAAAGGAAGAAGAAAACTGTCGATAAGGTTTATATGTTTACAAACACTCTGGTGAAACGTGCTCGTTTCTAACTGTTTTCCTGACCCAGATATTTGCAGTATAGCAATAAAGGCTAAAAAATCAGGCATAAACTATTTTTATATTTACAAACTCTTGACGATCTTCTCTGAAATTAAACCAAGAACATTTATTTATCTAAAACTACAAAAATTTTGCTGGATTGAAAATAAACTAGAGTTTTAAAAGTGTCTTGTTTATGATTTTTCGAGTTCAGTCGTACATCTTTCCACTTTCTCAAGAGTTTTACCATTCAATGTGTTGATAATACCATCCTAAGCCATGCAAAAATTCTGTTTCTGACCAATCTAGGTTTGAAGTAGAATATCATTAAAGCTCCTCGTCTTTCGGTGGTACAGGGGCATCTCGTCTTGGCCTGCTACCTCCCCGTTTTTCATCTTTTTCATCTTTTTCATCTTTTCCAGGACTGTCTCACACAGATTTCCTGTCATTTTTTCACCAAAGGGTTTTTTCTGGTAGGTTTTTTCTGGCCTCTGTATAACAGTAATAATGTCTTTGTAGGCAGTTGCCCGTCTCTGTTAATCCCGATTTGGTGAAGTTTACATGTTAGTGATGTATACCTATTTTTGAATGTGTAAGGAATTGGCTGTACATTAGGACTGTATATGGTATATCAGTTGCGAATGCATGTATGTATGCCACGGGCAACATATGCCACGGGTTGGTTCTCGGCTGCCTTCCTTAAATAAACTTATTTGGTTCACACTACTGTGTTACTTGTTATGTAGTGGACACTGAATGTTGTTAGAGTTTCGAAATTCTGTTCAGGCGTTGCCATTTTTCTTCCATCATTTATTCTCCCAAAGCTTGCATTAAGGCATCAAAGAGATACATTTTCAGCAGGTTGTTTGTGCACGTTCACTATGTTTGAGCACAAATAAAGGTTATTTGAGTTGTGACATTATGCATCGAATCGAAAATTGCGAGGTTCCACCGTGTCATTACAAGCCGATTTACTTTTTTCAACGTGTTGGTAAAAGCATTGTGGTTATCAATGAAATTATTTCACTGTTTAGTCAAAAGTGCCATGTCGAATGAAAAAAAATTATCTTGCTCGTTAAATAGCGTTACGTTCAAAATATCTTAAAAAACATGAAACAAAACGGTTGACAGAAGACCGATCTGAATACAAATAATTTAAATTCGCACATCCTGTACAGACAATAACAAATTTTCCTATCATGATTTTGTCTCGATGTCTTTCTATTTTCGGACGGATCCAATCACGGACCACTGCGACCACCCACTCTATAGTCCGCAAGCTAAAAAATGCTGCCTTTACACTATGTCTTGCTTTTCGTGATGGCGTTTGGCCTGAAATGTACAGCCACAGAATCTGTTAAACCCTACACAGTGTTCCTTGATGGTTTTCAAATTCCGCATTTCAAAGGCACTTCGGCCTTTAACATTCCTGCCAAGGACAAGGATTTGTACTGTACCTTTGTCATAAGAGATGCAGCTGGGGAAACACAGAACAAAGAAAGGACCAAAATCTACTTGTTTACGGCTCAAGGTAATTTTTAGGATCACTTTACGCGTAGCATCTTGAAACAACACAGCCATTTTTCCTCAAATTACAATCCAAAGTGATTACTCAGCGGAGAACACTATGGACTGTATATTTGTCATGGCTTATCGTTCAGAATAAGTCCAATTTTGGTTCTTGACCATCATTGAACGTTCTTGGTCAGCGCCTTAATGTCTTTAGTTTGAACACTAATTTGTTCTCCAGTTAGCCAACTGCATGACGTGAAATAAAAAGGAAAGAGGCTAAAAAGCAGAGGAAACGGTAGAACTTGCTTTCACGGTTTTTTGTACAATATGCATGTTATGATGATGAAACGTAATCCATTTCCAGTCATGACAGCTAATACAGAAATAGGGATCTGTACCGACACCAGTAGACATCAGACGCTAGGCTTTCTGTTTAAAGGATACCAGATTTCTCGTGTGAAAAATATATAATACTTCGCGGAAATAATTACCTTTCAGACTACTTCATCTACTTTTTCACCTCAACTCCACCTACTTAGAGGATCAACTGCAACATTTTCAGATACGATTGGAAGTACTACCTCTAAATGACTTCATATAAAGATCAGCGCAGTTTGCAAAATGTTTTTAGAATACCTCTGTATCATTGTCACCTAAGTAAGGGATAGTTTAGTCTGCGATAAGAAATAATGATTATCTCATCGAGCTTCCCAAGAGCTATGATTGTTAAACAAAGAGAGTATCAAATTAATTTTGGCAAACAACTTTTGCTAATACGCCGAAGCCTAGCTCAAAGAACTAGTGCAACTTGAACTGATAGTATCAGTGCATCAATCAAATCTTCCAACCGATGGACCTGACTTAACCGATGGACGAGACAGTTAGCTGGTGAGAAGTTGCAAGGGCAGAAATATCGAACCAGTCTATTTATATCTGCATTACTCATGTCTTCATTCATAGCTATTTATTCTAGTCATTACTTTTAGCATTACGTCTTGTTTTCCGACCATAAACCGGCTCTTTGCCTCTAAATTCTGATGCCATACGATCAGAATTGCCTAAACGCCATTACAATAATCGCTGAAGGGATCAAGTATTTTTCTTCGCATATAGCTTAGTGCATTCGAAATGAACTGGGCTCGGCCAAAGGCTGCAAGACAAAATACGGAACGATAAAAGTTAATTTCCCGTTCCTGATTGGATCGGCGAATGGTGTCTTTATGCTTATCTGATAAGATATCAACGCTGATCAAAGCTTCTTTCTTCAAAACGCTTCACTTTCGAACCCTAAGTACAGTCTTCAAATATTCCATTAGATAAACAGATTGATAAATGGATAGCAACGAAAAAATAAAAGATTGATGGTGGAGAGAAACAACAAATAAGAAACCAAGACAATTGGGTTAACGGCGATTAAGATATTTAATTCGTTCCTGCAACACCTTCAAATAACATTTGTAATGATATGATATGGAAATCTGACTTTGCACCAATAAGCGTTTTTAGGTTGTCCGTGTTTTAATCATATAAAATTGAATTTTAAAAAAGTGACGTTTACTTTCAATTTCGAAAAAGGCTTTCCTTTTTTCAATGTTTTTGTTTAAATAAATTACGAATGCCGTTGCTGATGTTGCTGGTCTTTTTTTTATAGTATTTCAGAGTTTTGTTTGATCATAATCATCACCGTTTCATGTGTTTTACGTTCGCGGAGTGTTTACTTGCGCGGTTCACGTTTTGTGTGATTTGCTGTTGAAGGTAGTTCACCCTTAAATTACGTTTCACTTCCTGCTGCTTTGATTGTTGAATTATTTATTGCGCTGTTCTGTCGGATTTAACACTGTTGTTAATTTGTTGTTATGTTAGGCCTTTTGCTCAATTGTGGTAAACTCAGCTATCCCTCCAAATGGTCCGCGCAAACTTTTCTAGGTCGGAAGGAAGAATTAGATGGTGCTATTTTTATTCTAGGAACCAAGCGAGGAGTATCAGAACTATTTTCGAAGTAGTGCGTTAAACTAAGTTTGAATGAATGTATCTCTTTCGCAGTTACTCCAATAATCAACGGAGTTGTCTACAATGTAAACTTGTCCAATATTCGGACGGATGATCCCTCCTCGTCAACAGAAATAAGAGTAATGGCTAAACATTATGGCTTCCAGTCATCCTCACTCTCCAGTGAAAACCTTGTGTTGTATAATCGGAATAGCAAGAATTTTGTTCAGGCTGTTAAAATACGAAGCAAAGGTGATATACCATCGGCCTTCCCCGTTCTCGCTTTGGTGAAAAGGTGGATTCATACTCCGCTTGTAAACCATGGTGTATATCTCAGGCTGCAGCCATTTAACGTGGAGAATTTGGTGTATCACAAACGGGTGACTGAATCTACCGCTGAGAGAAGGAATAATAGACCACTACTGGTGGTACAAACACAGGCCAAACTTCCGGAGATTGATTCAATGTCAACTGGGAATAGGTAACTCAATGTAATACATAGATTTAGCCAAGACTAAAAGCGGTGCTCCAGTGAATTTATTTTCAGCTCCCTACACTTTATTAACACTTAATAACGGCTTCAAGGGAATTTCGGTGACTAGTCCAGCGGGGAGAAGTGACAAGCCTGGAAACGAGGAACGATATTCTCACAGCTTGCAAAACGATCAACACGCATGCTAGTCAGCGACCTGTATTATTTACAGGCGTTATTTTCTTTACTGCTTGAGTAGTGTTCTTACTGCGAGGATTGCTTTTACATTCATATCTTTATCTGCAGTTCACACTGCGGGCACCAGTTAAGCCATTACGTATTTAGAAGGGCGAGGAGGAGGTAATGCACAGGTGCAATTGCGTACGTAACTTGAATACCCCATTAGTGTGCAGATGATGATCAAGTGCGCAAACTCGAGTGCCGAACTTTTTGCCTAGCTTACCGCGGGCTAAGTCTCACACTAGGGCTTCACTTGGGCTGGAAGATGTGAAGGGCGACTTTAAAAGCCGGCTTGGCGGAATAGCGGAAAACACCCCAAATCCTAACACATAGAACGAAGATAATTGCCCCAAATCCTAGAAGATGGAACGGTGGAAAATCACTCCAAGTCCTAAAACACGGAATGATGGAAAATCAACCCAAATCCTAAAACACGGAACGGCGGAAAATTACCCCAAATCCTAAAAGACGGGACGGCGGAAAATCACCCCAAATCCTAAAAGGTGGAACTATTTAAGAGTGCACACATCCTGCCTTATATTGCATATTCATTTGCTACATCATAGCGGTGTTCCGGTCGTGTACTTACGTGAGTGAGACCTTTCCTCACCCTTCTTTTTCCCCTCACGAGTTGAACTTCCGCGGAAATTAATCAACACTCAAAAACTTATCTTTTCTCGTGATGTGCAACATCATGTTGTTGGCTGTTTAGTTTGGTAGAGATTATTTTCTGCGGTTGTCGAGGTGTTAAGTATGTCGACAGGCCGAAACATGTATTGCTTTTTTCGTGGTTAGGCAATTTTCGAAGTACGTGACCTTTAGATCTTTGGGCACGAGTATGACGAGCATGTCTTTATGTGAAACTACTGGAAGCTCTTTGAAAATCTCCTCATTTTACTCATCAAAATCTTTTTTTAAGGCTGGTCACTGATGGGTTCTATTGTGTAACAAAAGGCATTATGGTTAGTCGCACTTTGTTATTCTCTTATGTCAAGGATAGATTGGACGCTTGGTGGCGAAGAAATTCCTTAAATTCTTCAAGACAGCCACTTCTCGCGGCCCAGCGTTAATCAAGGCCTCAGACTTATTCATGGACAAAGAAACGCTCGTATTGAAGGGCTCATAACGATGGCCTGCTCGTAGGCTTGTCTGATTTTGAAGGTGGGGCTGAAAGTCGGTCTAGTTTGAGATGCCTGGAAACGTTTTTATGTTGTTCTCACAATTACAAGCAGATGGTTTATGTTGTTTTATTTGATCAATGCAGAAGTGACCAGGAAACGTATCAAAGTCTGTTGTAATGTGGTATGTCAAGTTGGTTTGCTCATGCTGTGCGACTTTTTGCCGGAACAAAACTCTTAGCAAATTTAACATAACAAAAGGTAATTAAAGAGGTTTGCAGCGCGAAAACTCAGATAAGACTCAAATTACCTCCTCCTAGCCTTTTCCCGTTCTTTCTCGGCTTCTTAGTGATTCACTTTCTCTCTGTTGTTAACTTTTTTCGGTCTTTTTTCTAGAGCAACTTGTCTTTCTTTCTCACGTTGCTCTTCGTCACTCTAAGTTCTCTCTGGTTTTCTTTTGCTTTTCTCTTTCCCGTGTTTCTGTTTATTAGGTCGATTACTTTCTCACTCTTTCTCGCGTCGTTTGCGCCTCGCTCTACGTTTTGTTTTATTTTCTCTATTCCTCGCCTCGTTTCACGCAAACCCAGTTAGCACAAAGAATCGATCAGTATAATTTCCCGCTCAAAGCCACTGCTTCCGCGGGCTTCACATCAGCTAGCTCACGTGAAACCCTCGTGTCATGCCTAACTTTGTGCCCGAGGTGCTCTGCACTGGGACACAGCACTCGAGTATGCGCACTTCATCAGGTTGCTCATATGTTTACCAGCGCAATCCCATACGGTTTCCTAGTCACACATAAGTGTGTATGCGTATTGACTTCTCCTCTCACTTAGGGGGTTCCCCTTCTGCATATTTGATGCAAATATTTGTGCCCACAAGTCAACTATTCCCGCATGCTAAAAGAAGCACCTTGCACGGGGTCACATGAAACCACATTTTTTCGGTGGATAGGTAGGCATTTTTGATGAGAATGATGCTTCGCTGCGTGCGCTGCGAGCTCCGCTATGATCGACTATATCTTAGATTACCACAATCATAAGCAACACCACGTCAGTGACATCCAAAACTATGACATAATGATTAATCAACATCACCGGTTAGCAATAACAACTTATAACCTGCGTCTTAGTATCGTACGTGGATTTGCGGTGTTCACAAGCGTTGTTGGATAAAGAAGCAGGAGTTTTGTGAATATAACTTTCGTCCTGATTTTTTGGCTGTTTTTCTGGTGACCCTCCCAGGGACTTATGCTCGGTTTCTTGCCGTAACCTGGGGTAAGCCATTCTTTGTTGTTTTCCAATCTTGTATTGGATTGGCTTTTCTTCTTGGCTTTTTTGGTTTTGGCGTTTTGTCATCTCACGGGTTTTTGCCGGTTTTTGGTCACCCATCCATTTTTGGGCTTTTTGTTGTTTTTTCGCCATGGTTTTGGATTGCGTTAAGAAGTGTGTAATTCATGCGTCGGAGATGGTTGCAAGTTATGAAAAGGCTCATGTGACTGCGCTCCTTAGGGAGTGTATTGATTTTGACGGGCTTTCTGCCATTCAGTTTTGTCCCAGGGGCTTGATACGTGTCACCTTCAAGAATGCCTCGGATAAAGATGAATTTGTTCGTAAAGGTTCGTTAACGTTGGATGGGCCATGAACTTAGCGTCACCCCTTCAGATATGCCGTATTCTTTGGTTTACGTGCATTATTTTCCTGTCGAAGGTGATGATTCTCTGATTCGTGATGAGCTGGGTAAATACGGTGATGTTATCAGTATTAAGTATCAGAGTTTTTCGGGAATTCCGGGCCTTCTCACTGGGTCACATATTCTCACTATGGTATTGTCGGATCCAGTTCCTGCTGAGTTTCGTATTGATGACTACCCTGTGCGGGTTTGGTATAAAGGTATTCTTCCGTTTTGTCAGATTTGTAAGATCAGTGGTCATAAGGCGGCGGATTGTCAGTTTAATGGAAAGTGTAGGAGGTGTGGCTCCCCCGACCACAAGGCGCATGCGTGTGTCCGGCCGTGGGGTCAGTCTGCTGTACCAATGGAGGTGGCTGTCCCTGAGGTGGTGCCTGACCCCTCTGGGACTGTTGTGCTTGCTCTCTGATAGTTCTGCCGGTTCGGATGTTGAGGATGAGGAGGATGAGGATGAGGATGGGGTTGAGGATCCTGTTAGTACCCCTGCGGGGGTTGGTGAAGTGGCGATTCCTGTTCCAGGCCCCTCGGGGCGTGTTTTGGAGCCTACCCCCTCGGTTCCTGTCGCTGAGGTGGTGCGGGCCTCCTCGGGTCCTGTTGTCCCAGTTGTTCCAGTGGCGGTCCCTGGCCCCTCTGGTTCTCCTGTTGGGTCCTCTCAGACTGTCTCTGCAGTTTCTCCTGAAGTGGCCTCTGGCCCCTCGGGCGTTGTCTCTGCCCCCTCGTGTGTTGCTTCGTGTAGGATTTTCACTCCTAATCTTCGAAGGAAGTTTTTTTTGGGGTATCGTGATCAGTTGGCCAGGTGTTCCGGGGATGATGCCTCCGTTATTTCGTATAAGGGCAGTAAAGTGCGCGACGATTCCCTTAGCGACGAGGATGATGTTTGTATAACTTTTGAGAGTGGGGCGTACATATCAGTGCACGCGAATCTTGTTTGTATTTCAAAGGCAGATACTAGTGGTGAGGTGTCTGAGGATGAGTTTGCCCGGTTTATTCTCAAGATCAAGGATGATCCTTCATATCGGATCTCTTTTAGGGGATCTATTGTTGATATGGTTGGTCCTACTGAGCACAGTAATGTTTTGTGTGCGGTGTTTGTGGACCATACTGGTTCGCATTCCCAGAGGCTTCCCGCAAAGTCTTTGTGTGTTAAGAAGATTGCTCTTAATAGTAAAAGCTCTAGTGCCAATGTTAACAATAGTGGAATTAGTAATGTTAATAATGTAAATAGGGCTTCGTCCTCTTCTCCTGCGGTTGGTGACGTTGTTGTCACAGTTTCCCGAAACAGCTCTCGTTCTGTGGTCCCTACGGCTGCGGTGCTTGCCGCTGAGTTAATTAAGCGTACTCCCCCCACTTCTGTTGTAGGGGTCCCAAAATGTAGAAAGAAATTGTAGTTAATGACTTTTGTAAATGTGTAAGTTTTGTTCTTAGTTAAGAATTTATGTTTTTTGGCTCCCGTTATCAATAGTAATAACTCTAGTATTAGCACCAATGTAAATAATAATGTAAATAATATTGTAAATAATAGTGTAACTAAGTTTTTTCTATGTTTTTGTTCTGTGTATCCGTTTTGTTCGTTTGTTTTTTGGAGCGGGCGTGTTCAATTTTTAGGTGTGAGTGTGTTCAATGTTTGCGAGGTGGGGTTCGATTCCCCAACGAAGTTGGTGTCTGGTGGCCCTCGGTTTATGGTGGACCAAACCCTAAGGCATTGCACTTTCAGCCATGGGTTGGATTAGGTCTGTAGATCGGCAGGCATTGCACCGCCCTCACGGGAGCCTGGCTGTTCACCTTAAATATATATATAAAAAAATTATCAGTTTTTTAATTTTTATTTGATATTCGACCTCTCATACTTATCACTGTTACAGCGTCTATATTGATGATTGATATTTAATTATTAATCATCAATGTAAACGCTGTATGATAGGTACGAGAAGTCGAATATCAAATAAATATTAAGAAAAGCAGCCAGCAGAGTCACTGACGGCTGTTAAACGTGGCCTCTTGAGAGTCGTACTTGGATTTCAATTACATTCTTTGTTTATTCTCATTTTTAATATAATGTATTTTTAAATCTCGTTATATCCCTGTATTTCATGGTTAGTTTTTAGTCTTAGCTTAGTTTTCGATATGTGATGACCCTTCTATAAACCACTTCTATAGAGCTTACTATTATTAATGAATACAAAATCTAGGTGCACTAAATAGAGAATTTCATCGATCCTTCTTACCATCATAGTGTGATCAAGGAAATTGGCTCACCGTTAAAAACTTATGTAATATAATTGCGTTTCAGAAAAGTCACGACAACATTATGAACTCTATCCCTTCCCCCCCCCTCTTGTTCTACTTTAAAGCCTTTCAGGACATTTTTCGACAATTTTTAGTATATCGTGACGGTAAGGATAGGGAGAGTAACACCTCACCATTATTTTCCTTGGTCTTACATGGCGTTACAGGTACAGGACACTGGGTGAAGTTAAGCGAAAGACCAGACAAGCTCGCGAAACTCGTGACAAGGGGCCTTGTTCTAAACGTCCTATGCGGATTCCAATGGGCAGGAATGGTCTCTGGAAAGACGTCATTCTTCCTAAGTTTTATGATGCCTACAGGTGTGGTGGAGACTGTAAATTTCCGCTGGATATTAAAGTAAGTTTACCAACTCAGTATGGTTTTCTTACTTTTTAGTCTCAGTTCTGGATTATTAGCCGGAAATTTTGACCATATATGAATAATTATATCACATCCATAATGGTGACGGGAGAATACGCTTCATGCTTGAAAAATGATACTGACAAAGGGCAACTGCTTAAGGACGCAGGGATGGCACATTGGTGAGAACACTTGCCTCCCATTGTTGTGGTCCGGGTTCGTTTCCTGGTCGTAGTGTCACGTGTGGGTTGACTTTGTTGGTGGTTATTGTCCTTGCTCCAAAGGTTTTACTCCGGGTCCTCCGGTTTTCCCCCCACCACAAAAACCAACATTCTAAATTTTAGTTCGATCTAGAAACAGTGGAAAAGAAGGGCCATCCCGTGGAATGTCTACCTTTAAATGCCGTTCCATTTATATATTTTCATTTAATGGATCAAAATCTTTAATTTTTGGCTGAAGATGAAGAGAAAATTTCTTCTTTCTAATTTTTTGCCAATTAACAGTTATCAGGTAGCTAGGATCTCTGATTAAAGTCGTATTTATCGGTATACCTAATGCTGCAGAAGATAATAAGTATACAGTATAGAAGGTTGGCCCACTTAGTTCTTGTTCTTAAGGTCTGCGTCATACCTCGGCAAGTCGAAATTCTTCTTAGTCTGAAGGTCAAACTACGTCTGGCCGACTCGGAGCCCGAATGAAAATTTTGGCTTCTGCAATGGATTCTCTGAGGCTCGTCTATTAAATATCTGCTAAACAGAGTAGTCGGAGATTTTTACCTTAATGTCATTGCTCAATAAGCATGGTTTAATTTCAAAGTTATTTGGATTCTGTGAAGAGATGATCTCTGGTCCGGCTTACTGCCGTACAAATGATGACCCTCATCCTATCGTTGTGACAATTTTTTGTTAGCAGATCCTTTCAAGGGGGAAGGTACAACTTGGTCAACTCTGTCTAGTAATAAAAGGGAGTTTCTGACTGCTTGTGCTTGTTGTTGTATAACTGAAGAGTATTGCAGCAAAAAACAATGTTGGTGTAATGTTTAGAGGGGCTAATGAACAGCTCTTGTCGATGCAAAATTGTGACAAGACGAAGACTTTGTCAGAACAGAGTTTGTACACTGGTTAATTGACAAGTCGACAGTTACTAGAAATCAAGAAAACATTAAGGAATAACTATAGACGGTTTAGAAACTAAATTGGTGCAGTTTGCTGACGACACAACTGCTGTCCTATCAGATTTAGATTCTTCACGAACCTTGTTTATATTACTTGAACTTTGTGAGAAAGCCTTAGGACTTAAACTTAACGTAAAGAAAACACAGGCAATGTGGATTGAGTCCCTTCAGTCTGAAAGTGAACCACTTGTGTTAAGGGGAAAAATGTGTTAAATTTTTAGAGATTTTTATCACATACGACGTACAGCTATTTTTAAAGAAAAACTTCAAACAGAGGTTGAGAAAAAATTCCAAATAACACAAATCTATGGAAATCCAGAGGGTTATCAATACACGACAAGGTAAACATTACTAAAACACTTCTATTCCCAATAATGATTTATCCCAAGTCCATGATATTGTTAAACGATAAAAATAGAAATATAGTTAATCTAAAAATATTGTAAGGGTTTCCTATATTGATGTTGGAAAATGAATGGAAATAATATATTAGCATAAGCCATTCAGTAAACATTGTAATAAGCCAGTTGATCATTTCTTATTCCTTTTGGCGGTCTTACCTTACAGATAGAGTTTGGTCACGTTTTCCTTATTGTGACCGTCAAATTGACATGGAGACAGATGTTTTTACGTAAACTGCGGTTTGCGGCTAGATACCGGTATATTTTCATTATGTTACTAAAAAAACAATTACTAAGAAAATGACTCTACCCGATAAAAATTGATTCCGTACAGGAATTTCCCGGAAATCACCCTCCTTTATACTTTTATCCATTTAATACTCTCGTTTTTAGGCTAAATCCACGTCGAATCAGTTCAGTTTTTAGTCAGTTTAATCACGTCGAATCAGTTTTTCAGTTTTTAATTTAACACGTTCGACACCTCTTATTCTTAGAGGTGACTCATCTTCCGCACTGAATTTGCAATTAGATAACTTATACGAATAGCACGTAGCTCTCTTAGGGGCGGTACCTCGGGTACGCCCTTTCTTCTCCGAATTTTGAGTTTATTCTGCTGTTATGCAACAGCCTTCAAGGACAATTTTCTCTTAGGATATCGTTTCAAGTATGATTTTAATTCTGTTACTAGGTTTATTATAATTTTTATGTTGTCAATCTTTTTTTTTTTTTTTTTCAAGCTTGACTGAAAGACCAAGAAATTTAAGTTAGAAAGACATTTCGTAAAGCATAAATAAATAATTTTTATGTTGTCAATCTTGTTTTTTTTTTGCTCAAGCTTGACTGAAAGACCAAGAAATTTAAGTTAGAAAGACATTTCGTAAAGCATAAACATCGCGAAGGTATCTACTTAGTATGCGAACTCCGTTTTGCGTAGCCCAACGTGATTCGCTAGTTAAGTGTAAAAGTATGACGAAGGATAGAGATTGACAGTTCTGTAAGTGTCACCTTTATAAACGGTGACCCTCACTTTCCTCGAGAGATCAGAGCTAGTCCCCGTTCTGTTCTGATAACTAGTGTTGCAGAAGAGAATAATACCAGATGTCATAGAAGAGTTTAAAAGCCTTGCAAGTAAATTTTCACATAACCGAGGTCTGACACTAATTGACAATATGCAAAGCTAGTTGATCCACCAGCGACCGTTTATCATGAACTATTAAAATGGTGGTCAAACGTAAGATCATGAACTATTAAAATGGTGGTCAAACGTAAGAGAAGTTGTGATCCCGATAATGTATAAAAACATATTCTGTGGAACAACAAAGAAATAAAAATGGACAGTAAAAGTGCTTTTTATAAAAATTTCTTCGGTAACAATATACACTACTGGTACGCTTTATGACATCCCAAGTATTGAGTCTTTTGATGTCGTCAGAGATGCAGGAATGAAGAGCAACTACTTCTTAGTATGGACAGGTCTAAGGCAATCAGTTCCTTTGAAACTGCGCTCAAATATGCCCAACTTCAAGGTTATCCTTGATCTAGAAAACTTCAAATGTCATTATGATGACTCTTATTATTATTTTAGAAAACAGAAATACGAAAGACCATGCAAGTAAATGGGCCACTTTGTTGATAGAACAACTTAATTTAGAAGAATTTAGAAGAATGACAAGTTTCGGAGGCATTCGAGATGCCACTGAAGTTTACAAATGAACCCTCTTTATATTCCTTTCAGTGCAAAGTTCTAAACTCTATTTTATATTAAAATAAATTATTTTGAAAAATAGGCTTGTTTCTAACCCCAACTGCTGCCTGTGTCATCAGACTACAGAAACAATATCTCATATTTTCTTTGAGTGTTCTTTTTCAATCTCTTTTTAGAATGAAGTATACGACAAAATATTAAATAAACTTTGTAGTTGCGAAAGCCTCTTGCCAGAATATCGTGACATAATGCTTGGGTTCTTAAAGGAGGAGATAGATTTGTTGAATTTATTCTTATCTTAGGAAAAACGTACTTGTGGACTTGCCAGCACAAAGAAACAAAACCATAACTGGGCCACTTCAGAAGAATTTTGTTAACTAAATGTCACACTGAAAAGTATATTTCTTTTAAATCTAATAATATAGATTTGTTTTGTAAAAAATGGAGCCGAGATTGTTTGAGGAAGCAAATCTTTTAAACAAATAAGTCTACAATGATATGCTTTTGATAAGCTTCATTTGGTAATGTTTATATATATTTTAAATGTGCATCAGAGGTATGGATGGATACACCTATTTCTCACGGTCCGAGGGTATAATTAAGTGTGCTGAATACCTTAGCCTTGGAAAGGGTTGCAAAGCTTTAGAAACAGCTCCTTACAGTATTTGAAACTTGGAAAGCCTCATGGCTTTGTGTAGCTTATTAGTGTCTAAGCAGGTGTTACTTTTCAAGGCCAGGCCATTACCACCATATTTCTTGGCTCTTTGTTGGGCGTGTTATATTTCCCGACTATCCTTTTCGCCTCAAATGTAGATCTTTCAACTGGGTTTAACATCTACTCGGAGGACATTTGGAACTCAATTTTTAGTGTGCTGAATAGGCAATTATACGGAGCCGGTAGAAAACAAGAATTAATTGCTCATGTGCCCAAGTCCAAATGATATATAAAACAAATTTAACGAAATTAATTCAAAATGGTTATTGGACAAGATTTTAACGCAGAAAGACAATTTTGGGTTTTCTTTCAGGTCAGTCCAACTAATTATGCAGTCATACGATCTATACTATATTCTTCGAAACACGATCAAGGGAGTGGCGAGCCCTGCTGCGTTCCAATAAAGTTCAGAGGACTGAGCACTATCGAGTACCGTGAAAAGAATTTCATAATGGAGTTCTATAAGGAGATGATTGTTGAAGAATGTGGCTGTCGATAATTGACAACTAGTATTCACCTCAATGTCAAGGGTGGATATTTACCGATCTGGGAGAAAGAAAGGTATATATCTACCGTTAACCTCAAACACCGAGGTAAATAGTTGTTTTAGTGTATACTTAAACGGTGAGATTATATAGCACTATTTCTTGAGATGTCTAAGACTAATTCTAATATTGAATAAAAGCAATAAGTAGGTGTTGAATTGGTTTTTACCATTAAATATATATCTGTATTAAAAACTGGATCATTGGTTAATGCAATTCAAGAGTTTTCATTGACTTAGCCATCATGGGTTATGAGCCACTATACCATGAGTGCGCATGAAGACAAGTTAAACCGGAAGTCTTTTCGTACATTGCATCATTCCATTTGTTCTTGCAAATAAAGTTAGAAAGATTAATCTATACTCTGGGGCGTTCCTTTTTTTTTCTTTTAATATTGGATATTGGATATTAGATGATTAAAGCCAGCTCGGCCTTACGGGCATCGTTGGATTTCTATGAGCTCATATCTAGCTCGCGCTCGTGGACTAATGTTTAATGTACCTGCGCTGAGAGCGTTCAAAGGGACCACCGACCTCGTTCACAGACTATCTAATTGCAGTCGGTATTTGTTTGCATTCTGCCTCATCTTTTCTATTCTCTTGACAGTGGTCTCGTCTCCGACAAACTTCAAATGCACTGGGGGACAGAAGTACCTCGTGGTCGCAGCTTAGGAACTCTTCCTTGGCTGTAACTTAAGTTTTCAATCTCCAATCACAGTTGAAATAATTTTAGATTCTACAACCAATATCCAGTCGTTACGTACCCACGGAATGTTCGTACCCAGCCGATTCCAACCCAAATTTAGATGATTCGTGCCAATTTGTGTCGGTGCGTGCCCGACGTGCTGGTCGATTCGTATCCGTCCCAACATTCTGTAACGATTTAAATCCAAGAGATCCGGGAAAATACCTCAAGTGTGAGAACGTGAACAGATTTCGATTGCGGCGAATGATAAGTTAGTTGAGTGAAGTGAGTGAGATAAAGTAAAGTTATGTTGTTTATACTTGTGTCCTTAAAAAGGTCACAAGTATACTTCAGTACAATAACAAGACCAGACCAATTGCAGACCCTGCAATTTCGGTTCCATGCCTTTCAATTCCGTTGTCGCGTACTCAAAATGGATACCACATAAACAAAACTTATTGAAAGCAAATCATATTGCCATTTAACTTAAGAAACGAACCGTACTTTAAACAAACTTAACATGGAAAACTTACTTTATTAGTGACGTCTAAACTGACTGGGAACGAATAATCCTAGCTGGGTACGGATCGACTACGAACGGAACGTCTGTGGGTACGAAACGACTGGTAACCTTATAATCCACTTGAAAAAAAATCTAGTTATACCCCTTCATTCCAAGAAACCAATAGTAACATTTGTTTAGCGAATGATGACGATAGCGTGGGAGAAGCAGCGGCCCGATGGTTTGCTGTCTAGACATATTATGTGGTTTTCTTGGGCTAAACACTCTCTCATACTACCTCTCTTAGCCTAGGAGTAGCAATAGGTGTCCTGTGAAGTGTTGGGGAACTTAGCGAAAGGCTGGTAGGGGACGGCTAACCTACCATGTACTAACATTTCGGGTGGGAGTGATAATACTCTACAAAAATAACACTCGCCAACCTCACTCCCAGAGCGCCGGCTTTTCCCTTCAAATATGGTAAAAACCCTAGAAACGAAGCAACCCGGTCGCTTGTCGCCAAGGAAACCAGAATAGGCTTTGATAATTTGGTTTTGTCGACTGAGTCGATATTGTAAAATCGACCTCTGTAAAGAGTTTCTAAAGCTGAAGTTTCGAATCAGTTGTGAATGAAAGGACAAGTTTTGCATCGTGCGTGCACGCAGTTCAATGGTTCCGGGTTGATTTACCCGGAACGTCAGCGTCAGACTTTTTACGGTGGCCAGTTGACTTTATCAACGCAGTTGATAGAACAAAATTTTTTGTAATACGTCCACCGGAGCAGGACCACATTTTGTTAAGAAACTTACCCCTCGATTTATCAGTCGGAATAAGCTCTGCTGCAGCATACTGCCGGGCACGAGAGCAGCCTTAATGTTGTGTATGCGACTTTTTTCACCATTGAGAGCTAGAGTCGACTCTCGTAATGATTTCCGTTAAGGTTGTCAAAAACTCAGTCGCTACTGCCGACGATAGCCCTTTTCAGGTTTACTCTCAAACGGACGAGCACACTACACAATCAAATAATGCATTACTTCTGATTTCATGCTTGGAAATCCAAACGCTGTAGTCCAGTGAAGATTGAATTTTCTTAATTGACGATTTGTAGTGAACGATCAAGTATGTGAATCGAAGCTGAGGGGTTGTTTACATAGATTATTTTGTCGAATGATCTGCAGGGACAGCGTCGGCGGGAACTGACAGGCAGATGAATAAAAAGAACTACAGGAACTACAGAAATATACAGCAATGACTAATTAAGCGTTTGATCAGACTACGAACAATCCCTCCATCGACGGTAAATGAATATCTGGACCTGGCCGGAGCCAACTCCCTTCATTAAATTTTTATACAATCAAACCGTCAAAATGTAACAAACAACCGAATGTCTTTTGAGGAAAACTTATAATTAGTCCGAAAATGTAGTATACTTCACTTCTACAGCTTATCCATCCTTGGTTTTCGAGGTGAGTTTGCTGCTAGTAATACGTACCTTGTTATTTGGTCGCTTGGAACCTCTTTACCCAACTGAGATACGGAAAGGTATCAGATAAGTCTTATGTTGGAGGCGAAACGCGGTGTCATACCAGCCACGAAGTTTTTCTTTTCACAAAAATTTGTAAGATTTTGTGGTATGAACAAGAGCGTTACCTATGGAGTGCTGTGCACTTACTTTTGTATCAAAAATAATGAACCCTATTTAATTAGGTGGCAACTACAAAACATTTCGTGAGGATCTTAAAACAACTCAAAAGGTGGCCACGGTCGCTTAACAAATTTGAATAGCGTCATTCACGATCATAACAAAAAAAATCTGAACAAAATGATGAAAAAACAAAAAACATTCACAAAGTTGTCGCTATAAAGGACGTAGTCATTAGAGGGACTAAGTAGGAGCGGTGATCACCTGTGGACGAAAGAGGTAAGAGACTGGGTCCAACATCAGCTTACACTGTCAACTGCGGTAGCCATCGGTAGTTTAGCTCCCCGAGAAAGACAGTGGTATGGTAACTCGAAAAGCTTATAAGATCCAAGATGTCAACAGAACGAAACGCATAGGGATTGTAGCTAACAATTTTAACGATCTGAAGAAGAAAGGCAAGAAAAGACTCGCTATAGCTGGGGATTGTAGAGTGTGTTTGGAGGACGGAACCATAGTAGACGATGAAGATTACTTTATCACTCTACCACATCAAACAGTCTTTGTATTTGTGCAACCCAATGAAACATGGGAAGGATGTAAGTGAAAGGTTTGAGTCTTTGACCTTCTCTTACCGAGAAAGCTAATAATTATTAATTCACCAGGGGTGTCTCATCAAATGTTCGACAATGGTGCCTAATTCCTGTGAGTTCAATTCGATTTGTTCCATTTGTTCGACTGGGCACCCCTATGCTAAGAAATCGTATCACTCGATAATCGAAATTTAAAGGTTTTTTTCATTCTTGCTTAAATTTTTTTGAGAGACTCCTTCCCCCCCCGTGAGAGATTTAACCGACCCCACTGTTCAATATTTGAATTGCCTTTCTTTGTTGGTTGAATTGAGTAAAGAAATACAGTAGAAGATGGATAGATCTGCCCATTTACACTAAGCCCATACTTGAATACTACCATGGTGCTGATACTGAAATTAACCCTTGCACTGCATACTAAGTTTGTCTTCTTGTTTACATGCAAATATGTTAATATAAAAGATGGCCTTAATGCTGGTCAGAACATCAGAAAAACTTATTTAAGGATTGCACCTCTAATGATTGTTTTTATAAGACTTATTCTGTTTTTATGATACCATACTGCTGGTGCATTAGGTCCTACTTTTATTATAACAGCTCTGAAAAAAAACATAGTTTCCTTTTCTCTTACTTGTGTGTAAACAATAGAAACTTACAAGAGATTAACTGATTTTTTACTTGGTTTCAAAATGGGAGATTCAAGTGTCTTGCTTTAGTCCTCATTCTGAATATTATTATATCTGTTTTCTCATTCTTTTTCTGTATAAGATTTAATAATCTGGAGGCCAACTCCTAAACTGTATATGTCTCCAGGCATAAAAAAGTACTTGGAAATTTAGTGTTTCTTCTCACTCTCTCTCATTTGTATACATATAATTGATTTTTAAATTTTTACTCTTGAATTCTGTTCCCACAGAAAAACTACAGTTTGATACTTAATGCCTGAAACTCTCCACTTTTAAATCAATATTTAACTCTGTATATATATTGCAAAGTAAAAAAGTGAAAATGGCATCATCATCATCACTGTTATTATCATTACTACTTGGTGTTATTATTTTTATCAATGTCATTATGAAAACTTTTTTTTTTTAGTAAAATGAATGACTACCTAAATAAAATTTAGGTAAGATAGAATCCAAAGAATTCTCTCAATGATGGTGCTGTAATTGTGAAAAAAAAATCAGATGTAGAGGAACCTTGTATGAAACCATCTTAATTAAGTTCCTAAACATGGGCAAGTATTTAAAATTATACATACGAAAGTAGTTTTCTGAAATACAATGCTGAACCTTGTACCACATGGTCTTTAATTGCATTTTCAGATGTGACTGTTCTGAAGAATGCTACTGAGAAGATTTTCAGAGCTATGTCTCGGCGAAATGAGATCATTGAACAGATTTATGATGTTATGCACGGTTCTAAGTCAAACGAAATGTATACTGTCATGTTGGAACTTGTCAATCGTCTAGATGATAATATCGAGGCAGAGGAACGTAGTGAAGATGAGGCCTGGTTTAATGGTCTTAGCCAATCCTTCAACACCAAAGAAGATGCCATGAGAAGTGCTGCAAAATCCAGAGTCAGGAAATACTTTTCCAATGCAAAGGAGTCTTTTGAGAAAGTAAGTTCCCTGTGCAATTATGCAATATGAATTTGTTTTGATTTGCAAAAACCTGCTCATTAGGTGTTTGCTTTACGGCTGGTGGTGGTCTTGATGATGAAACTACTGAGGGTTTAATATCAAGGATGGTACCCAGGTGCAGTCCAGGGACGACCTATCAAAAAGTTGATGGCTAACAACTTTGTTTCTAAAGCTCAGGGGAGGGGTAGGGGAAAGGTAGGTTTAGGAAGCTTTGGTCAATTTGATTCCAACTTTTTCTTTCCTTACTTTTTTGGCAAGCTGCCTAGCTAAGCTGTTTTCATGCTAGTGCATTGCTGCAGCCTAGCCAGGGAGCCAGTCCTTGTGGGTAGGGAGGAGGCTGGGTGTCAAAAGTGCAGGGTTGGGGCCGGGGCCGGGGAGGGTGTAAAATTGACTCTGGATTTTGGGTTTAGTTTATTGTCCCCTTGGGTAGTTTTTTTATTTCCAATCAGATACATGAATCAGTTGTATACGAGTAATAACCCTGTTTTCTTACTCAAGCTAATGCATGGCACACTTCAATAATGTACATGTAGGAAGTTACTGACTGGACTGGTTTTGTTTCATCTCTACATCACTAAAAATTGTGGCAAAGGGTAAATCAAATGAGCTTGCCATCTGCTTACAGTCCTTTAAAATCACTCTATGGAAGGGTAGTACAAGTACTTACTCACTTCTGTTAAAAGCCACATTGGATAGATTCTTAGAAAAAGTTTTATTTTTTGAATGATTATTAACGAACTATACTACACGCAGTTAGCTCAGTTTCTTCCAAAATGTATCGATTTCTTAGGAAAATAGGTGTGTTGAAGGACATTTAATACCACCATGATTAAAGTATAACAAGTACATAAACCTCCACAACAACAACAGAAGAAAAATGGTTTGAACCTAAGGTGTTACATTTGATCATATCCTTACAAGTTCCTACCATTGATTACGACTGTTATTTCGATAACTTAAACCGCTCATGTTTTTGAAACGTTGGTCATTTTCATCCACATCAGTTGTTTTCAGGACTACTCTCACCCGCCCTGAATCACTGAATGTGAGCGAAATAAGACTTTCGGTTTTCATTCGCTTTGGATCAATATCGGCCAGTGTAAACATAGCGCTAGAAGCGGTAGGACTTCGGAGAGAAGGTCAATTGTTTACGCCCTGACAAATTAATGTTATTAACATGAAAGAATGGCCTGCCCCGAAAAGAAAAATGATATAAAGTGGTATTGCAATAAGCAAGCTTACTCCGGTAAATCTAGCCACAAGGGGCATTAACTGAAATACTTGTTCTCCTCTACGGAGATTGAAAAGATACCTTCCCTCAACAGTTACGCAAGAATAATTTATCATCCTAAAATACTTTGAAAAGAATCATACAGAAGAAGAGACAGACATTATCTTCACTACTTATCTAACGTATTTTCCGATCGTAACAGCCTAGACAAAATTGATCGCAGATTTCTGTTTGATCTAGAAGTAACATCAGTGATGGTAATATTTACGGATGGGATAACGTTTACTATCAACTTCTTTAGCGCAGAAACTGCACGGAAAAGTTAAATTTGAATAGCTCGTTTGCTTTTTCAAAGCATTTCCCGTCATTTAAGTGGGGTGAAAATCAAAATTTTCCCCTCAAGGGCTGACGCTTACGAGTTCGCCTCTAAGTCCCCTCACTCGAAATCATACTGTACGAGCCCCGAGATTTCGTGTCATCAGTTTACGATTTAAAACCTTAAAGGTACTTGAAAGGTTTTACGATGGTAAAGTATTTTATCCCTGAAGGGCACTATGAGCACCCTTGCCCTTTAAACAGGGCATTATCCTCCGGATTTCCAAGATGGCGTTGTGTTGCAGCACCTTCCTCCTCAACAGAGCCCCCATAATATGTCCGAATGATCAGCAATTTGATTGAAATTAAATAGAGTTTCAACAAATGGGATCAATGAAAATTCCTAAAGTGGAGATGCTGACCTTCTCAACGTTTGGAGAAAGAAGATTGACTGAAATTGAAATCACCCTTATTTGTGTGGCCGCAATTAGTTTTTGCAGCGCAACTCTTTTAAGTTCCGATTATCAAAGTCTCTCAGGAGATTAGAAATATCTCATCACGACCTTTTAAAGTGGAAAAATTACATGCCGGTCAAGCTATAGAATCACGAACTTACACGTGTGTTTATTAATGCCTCTAAAGGGCTTATGGTTAAGTACATATTATTTATTGACCGCCACATATCTTTCATTCAGGCGTCAAAGAAAGCTCAGCCTCTCCTATCGAGCACCCTAAAGCAATTTCAAGAGGAATTAAAAAAGCGTCAATATTTTGGTGATTACTTTGCTAGATCTGCTAATGACCAACTGCGTCTGTGTTGTGAAAAGGGGTGGTTCAGCTGTGAGGGGCCTTACAATGAAAAAACTTGTTCACACCTGCACACCATCAATCCATATGGTAGCAAGGAGAGCAGAGTCCTGTTTAGTACGTGGAACCTCGATCATGTGTAAGTATTGTTCTCCATTACTTTATTTTTTTTTTAATTAAGAATTTCAGTGTTCAGTTTCCAGCCCTTCATAGCCGTTAGTGCTAGACATGTTTTGAAAGTACAGTTAAACATTCTTACAATGTTTGAACCGAGGGTGAGCTTACTCCCCAATTCTACCGCAATGATAACTATAATAGTTTGAGTGTAAAGTTTTACGTTTCCTAATTTTTTAATCAGTCGTAGGTCGTGATGGGGTGACCGTTCCAGGCGAACTTAAGGCAAGAAGAGGTCTTATAGTCTCTATCGTTGATCAGAGCGCAGCAAAATTTTATTTTTATTTTTATTTTTGAATGTTAAACTGCGTAATTTCAAGTGGAAGCAAGGCCTAGCACTAAGGTGTCTCCTGAAGTCTGGAATGCCAGACATTTACACCCTTCTTCTTAAGTCTCGACTTCCTGGGACTCGTCAAGTGCAGTCTTAAAGTCTCTCACGAAAGCAAGTTTTGCAGAAAACGGTCGGGCAAGGAAGCGCATAGAGGATAACTATGTCCTTCCTATGCTTACTGAACCGCAAATCCTCGCAGTTTGCAGTTACAAAGGGTTCCGCACTCGTGAAATGTGCCACATTCTGACGGCTTTAAAAAGAGGTCATTACGTTGCATGTTGACTTGGGACAATAGTCCTTCTCCACCTTCAAAGGTTGGGAGCAGACTCGTCGTAATCGTCGGTTGACATCCACCAAAAAGGCATAACTGTTTAAGAAAAAGCGCCTAGAAGGTTTATACTAGGGGCACTGTTGACAATCAGTGTGTTTTGTAGCGATAAACTAAAGTAAATGCTTATACGTGTGACATTGTTTTCTATTAATTGAATTAGTTTGTCACCGTTTCTTCAAGGGCTTTTTACCAAGCTGCTGAGGGAAGTTTCCGGACATTTTATTTCGTTAGATATAGGTGGCTGGCGAATGAAACGAGAGTGCCTAACTCATTGTTAACTTCACACATGCAGGACAAATTATTATTTCCTGAGGAGAATCAAATCTTGCTTTCTTCATTTTCTGTTAATTGATCTGTCGCCTCACCCTGTGTATTTTTAACCTCTTCCAGAATTGAGAAGTCACGACAGATTTTTCCAGCAATTATCCAGGCCGCTGAAAAGTGCCCTAAAGAAAGCGTATTAAACTGGAAGTACTTTTTTAGCTTGCTTTTCACAAGGGAGAATCTTAAACTGGTCCATATCGGGTGCCATGTAAAAGGAGGACATGAAGGATTTGAATGCCAATCCAAATATTTTTATATGAAATCAAAACGGTAACACGTGTTGCCGTTCTCGAATGATTCTATAATTAGTTTGCACTAAAAACGGTTACCCTTGACACTTGCTGTGGTTTGCCCTCTGTAAATCAATACTTCTTTTATGTTCTACTGTGAGTATTATTTGATACCATGGGTGTAAATCTCTGAACCTCCGGGGAACTTTTGGTAAATATAGCAAGCGAAGCGAGGAAATAGGGGGCACCGATTTGGAAAACGCTTGCTGACTGTAAAACTCAACTGGAGGTAAGGAAAAGAATTCACTTCTCTCATAAATCGTCGTGTCTTCTTTTTCTTCTCTTTCTGTGTTTTTAAACGATATTTTATTTCTTCTGTTTCAATTAACTTATCATATGCATTTGTGATAGTAGTCTACATTTTCCCGAAATAAAGGTCTTGTGCCAAGGTACAGTTTGATGCAAAAAGAAACCTGTATCAAACGGACCCTATATCCAGCCAGCGAACACTGATCACAATCCCAAATATACTGTCAAACCACTTGTATTCAGCGGACTCGGATACTGAAATGGGCCCTGTTTTTGGGTAACTTTATTAAATACTATATAAGTTAATGTAGTCATAATTTTTAAATTGAGTTGCTCCTTCTTTTTTGCAAACGTCTTACATTGAATTGTCATGCGATGAAAAGAAAGTTTCAAATAGATTCAATTTTTAGTATTGGGAAGGTGGATGATGTACTTGTTGTGCTAACTGTCGGTTGAGTGATCTTTTTCTAACACATGGCAAGTGTTTCTTGCCTCTAAAACTCTTGATGTTAATGAAGGTGATACATGATCATATGTCACCGACAATCCTCTCCAAGTATTAATGGCCTGGATTTCTCTGCCTTGACCCTATCTATTTTGTAGAGATCCCTCCAAATCAGAAAACGTGAACGCAATGTGTAACTCATCAACTTATTTATTATTGAAGGAATCAACGATTTTAAATTATTTATTTCTGTCAGTATTCGCGTTTTTTGCTTTATTCCATGCATCAGCCTGCATTTTGAGTCTCAATTTAGCTGGATAGTTTGTTGGCTGATATCTCATAGAATTTGAAGGAAATGTCTAAATGTCTGGGTCAGTATAATCAAAAGTTTTTTCTTTGCGAAATCACGTCTATATATATCAAGACTGCGATTCTGCCACTTTTCTTTAATCATGAGTGCCATTTGCTGATTGTGTACTGCCTCAGTTTGTCTGTTGGTGTCCTTTTAACTCGTCAGTTTATTTATCGAAAATATTGGCTTGAAAGTCAAAGATCATAGATGATTGCCTTGTGCGAAGTATTCGCTCAGTCTGATACATCAGCAGGCTTTTTGAGTCTTAATATAGCCGTTTAGTATCGCCTAGAATTAGATGGAAATGTCTAACAGTCTGAGTATGTTTTAATCTGAACTGATGTAGCGGCGTGAGTATAATCAAAAGTTTTATCCTTGACCGATTTTTATTTTTTGTTTTGCCTGGTAAATTGAGATATGCGTGTTCATTGAAGTGAACGTGAGCGAAACGCGCCGTGGGTTAGAACTATTTTGTTACGGTGGCCAAAAAAATTTTAATAGTCAAGACTGCGATTCTGCCACTCTTCTTTTCATCATGAATGTTACTTGTATTTTTTACTTACGAATTTTGGGATTTTTGACTGGGTTTAGATTATCTGTTGGTGTCCTTTTATTAGAGAGCGTTCATTTCCAGACCGGCGGAGATAAGACATTTGCTGTGGCTGTATTTTTCACTGGATTAAAATTAATGAAGAACCGAAATGTTAACCGAAGCTTACCAGAAATGTTTAATTCGACTCAGAGCTTGAAGAAAGATTAAAAGAGACTACTATGTCATGATATACTTGGGGAATTTTTCAACAAAAACTACTTTTAACTTGAGATCGGACCTTGCTGATATCCTATGTGTAACTTCATCTAATTCGGAAAAGTAATCCTGACAATGAAAACATTCTGAAAATCCATACAAACCTCTTCAGCTGCTAATGGTCACGATGATCACTGTACAAGACTCCATTAGTAAATATGGGATTATGTCAAAACAAATGAAAGAGCAAAGAAACAGAAACAGTAACAAAAACAAAATAAACGTGCTCAGGATATTCATGGGACAACATTGTTATAATAACGCGCTCTTTTCTGCACAGGTCTCAAACAGCATAGTGCAATATATTCCTTAATTTTTTTACTTTGTGGATCGAATTAGAAACGTGTCGTCACATTCGTTAGGGGAACGTACATTATTTGTCTCGCTTCTAAGTTGTCTGTGGGTGCTGTGCGATTTCAGGGTTTGGGCGCCATCTTGGATTGACTGACTAGTATTATTTATCTACCTATTCCTTCGTCCATCCATCATTATTCAAAGGTATACTATTATCACCCACGAAAGAACTCTAACTCTAACTCCAACTCCATCTGGCTACACTGGAACATTAAATAAAAGTTTTAATCAGGGCGCATTTCTTTGAAGATTATGACGAATTTCTTCGAACTACCGTTTCACCTAAAAGGACAAAATTTAGCGGAAAAACCTTTTTAGTTTAGATTACCATACTGAGGAATGGTTTGTTATGCACCATGGCCTTGGAATGTTTCAGCTCAATTCCACGAGGGGCTAATCATTCAGAGAACTGAAATATGATGATGATGGAAAGGCACCGAAAGAAACAGAATTTTTTTCAGTTCCCACGCTTAGTGCAATTTTTGGATTGACAATTTTGATCTAAGGGTCACGGCAAGAAGCCCATTGGTTGAAGTGTATCACATGAGGAGATATTTAACGTAAACACATTTGACTAATTTTAGCCACGAAAAGACTTCGCGACATGAGATAATCTGATACAAAATATGGTCGCAGAATGACTCTGAAAAGAACTTGAAAACCGATTTGAACCGGCTGACTCCTGTACCTTGAAGGTTAAATTGAAATCAATGATTCTGTTGCCAAGAAACTTACCCAACTGCTCCTAAAAGAGATGTAAGAAACGTGTAATCTGGTCTTCAACCTTAAGGCATGCCAGGCACAGCTCGAGAACAAAGGTAATACATCGGTTAGATTGACAGAAGATTACGAGGCATGTATAGGAATGACTACCTACGTTCCAGGGCTTTATTTGACTTACTTCTTGTCGCAAGTCATGAGGTTTACCTGATATTTGTGAAGGTCTTTCTTCACAGCGAAATAGTGAACAACTGACTGGAGTTTATTATGTTTGCTTATTTCATTTTGTGGGGACTGCATGCAATGACCTACCTAACGGCAAGTTTGCGACAAATCAAGCCCAAAATATAAGAAGGAAATTTCACGGTCTTCATTTCAGGTCATTTGTTGCCCATGTACGGAATACCTTTGTCAAAATACCAGTTAGCATTAGTTTAATGCCTTTTGCTAACCCGAGGAGCAAGTGAGTTTTTAGACCTTTCGAGCTTTCACGTGTTTTGAAGTATGTAGCCGCAAACAGGTCATAACCACGTATGGAAAGTCACGTGCAACCTTTAAGAATAGTTTTTTGCAGGAATTGTTGCCGCGATAGTTTAGGTTTTCTGATGTACTTAAATAACCATTTGTAGGAAAACGAGAAGCCTCTAGACTACCCTTACATCTGATTTGTGCTAACGAAATGTTTTTTAATACAACCTAGCAGCCCTACGTAGGTTGCAACTTTTTGTTTAAATTCCATAACAAGAGGTGTGACGTTTTTTTGGTTTACGTGGAATTTCAGGCAACAAGTTACTCTTGAAGTAAGCTGGTTTCTCCAATGTGTAACAGAGAGTGATTCGCCTCAGGTCGGTTTTATGGTGATAGGGGGTTGATGATTTTATTCAATAGTTCGTTGCAAATGCAAGGGATTTATCTGAATGCAGTCGACCTCGCTAACGCGAACCTTCAAGGGAAATGCACTCTGATAAATTTGGCTACATCACAGACTTCGAGTGCTACTGGAACGTTGTGAAGAAGGGGTTATGCAACGACACTTCATGAGGACGCAATTCGCTGTAGTTGTGTACCCTGAATCGAAACCCAGATGGACGGGCACTAGAAAAGTTCAATATTTTACCTATTTAAATACAATATTCTGAACACAGAACACTTTCGTTTTGGCTCATTACGACGTGAAACGCATCGCTCGATTTATTGAGAGTAAGATTTTACCGAGAATGACCTAAACGGAGCGGAAATTTTATTTAGGTTTGCGTAAGGTTCAAGTCAGCATTGCGTTAAACGAATAACAGATGTCAAAAGGGGAAATCGATTTTTCTTCAAACTGGCGAGGGTAATTGAATGTCGACTGTTTTTCCTTGCTCTCAGGAGAAAGATACACATAAATTTTGATAATTCACGCAACGTGCGATATTGCATTCTCATTGATCAATAGCATTTATTTCAATTCATCATGCCTGCTCTCTTCTGGCTTGCAACCTCGACGACAACAAGAATGATCCGTAGTTTTATCGATGCATATTGTTCATATCGATAGGTATCCGAGCTGACTCCAGTCGACGTCGAAAATAAAGGACCTACAGTAACTAAAAAAAGAAATACGAAAATTTGGCAACTGGTGTCCGCTTCCTACAGCTCAGTCCAGCGGCGGGATACATCAAAATTTATGCAAGGCCACGTGAATATTTATCAGCTAACCATAGTCATTGGGGAGGGGGGGTGGGTGGGGGGGTCTAACAGGTAAATTTGTTTCATTTTATACCCAGTTTCTTCCTTTGTTCAATTTTTTCTCCGGCACAGGACGATCTTCATTTGAAAACATGACTAGGTACTCTTGATGTCTGAGGCAAATAGTTTATTTATGCGCTAGTCTCTTAGGGGGGGCTTTTATCATCACAAGCGGGCAGTTTCTGTTTCACTTTTCAGTCCTGTTACCGACATGAATTGATTAACATAGTGCTCTCGATAAAAAGATATTCCTTTCATTAACAAGTTCTGACTTAGGCAACGTTAAGTCATGTCGTAGATCTTCTAGTTTGAATTTAATTGACGGGTCAGTTTAATCAAACCTCCGAAAATGTGGCATACCCGATAACTGCTAGTCTTTTGAAATACGAGATTGTACCTTTTAAAAACCTTATCTGTTGTGTTTATTTTTTAAAGGTAAAATACAGTGTCATTTCTCACGCCTACATCCGACTGTACCTCTCTTTAACCTTCCAAACATCGACCTGTATTCATTGTCATGCTGTTTTGTCCTTACCACAATTTTATTGCAGAGTCTCTGAGATACGTCGAATTAAATAATATTTCTACGTTAGCGCTTTTTTCGTATTGCGTGGTCGTTAACATAGGTGCTTTTTCATGATTGTTTTGTCAGGTGGACATACTTTCAGTAGTTACCAGGCGATACACCACTTCTTGCGATGAAATCCAGTGAAAGCCAGTGAAGCTGTTTCCATTCTGTTGTGACCATTTCCCGCGCAACGGAGAATCAGCGCTTCGGCACTGTCTGGTGGAACAAGTTTTTTCAAAGATAACTTCTACTGCCAGCATTGCCTTGAGGCAGTCGTATTGGCGGTGTTATCTCGATCTGCAGCAAAGCATGCGCATTTCGTTTCGTGCCTGAGGTGTCGCGGGCTGCAACAGATGTTCGAAATTTCTTTGAAGGAGTAACATCACAAAACGGCAGGAGACTTCTTTGAATCTTGATTTTTCCTCCCCCAGTGATTGAAAAGTGATCTAACTTTCGTAGAAAGCTGATTCGAGTGCTACCACCCCTCCCTGTGTTTTTTGTCTGAGCGCGATAAACAGTCGTATTTAATGGCGTGTTACAAGGAACCTTGATATAAAAAGACGAACGTGTAAAAGACAAAGACCCTCCGCGGCTTTGAACTTTTGAAAAGTTAATGAGTACAAATGCCTTGGCTGATCTATGCTTCTTTCCATCAAAACTGCTAGCTTCAATCTCAAGTAGGAAAGTTCGCATTTCGCGTATGTCGGGTCTTTTACTAAGAATAATTTCTCCAGTTCTTGAGTTGATTTCAAAAATCGTAGGTGTCTTGAGGTTCTCCGATAAAAGAGCGTAAGTGATGATGCGTCTATCCGGGAAAGTTCTTGCCTGTAGTTTACTAACCACCGTGTGAAGACGCGTACTTTCACTTACTTTCACCATGTATTGGTCATTGGTAAAGGAAATTTCTAAATTGAACAAGAATGAAAGAACGTCAGAAAAGACATTTGCTATAAGAAATTGTTTATCAGATTTTGCTCCTCTATCTTTTTGTTCAAATTGTCCCTCTTTTCTGTTTGTTTTCATTTACGTTTTTGCCTGCAGGAAGCTAAGTGCACGTGCTACTGAAACAAAAGTACCTGAAGTTTTTTCTTCCCTGCGGTTAGATGAAAAGAGATCATGCCAACGAAGTTGGTAAAAATCTTGACAGAGCCATGATTTATGAATAAACCCCTAGCAGGAAAGAAGCGGCTATGTGCCAACTTTCTCGTGGTTAGCCTTCATATCACGCAAACAAGTTATCAAGAGCGTAAATTGGCGCTGCAAATGGAAATAGTTTCTGGAGATTAATCAATCCTCTTACCAAGATAACACGTTTTTTTATCAGAGTTCAGCGCATATCCCGATGGACATGCGCAGCGGTACGAGGATCTTGTGTTAATGCAGAGGTGGGAACATCCTCCGTTGTTCTTAGTGCACTCGCTTCTACCTGCTGAGGTAAAAGAAATTGACTGAACATAAGCGCAAGCGATTAATAGTGAGCAGGTAAGGAAAACTGTTATTTACAGTTTCAGAAAAACGGCGAAAGTGACACGGGTGTATACTTAAACAGCCCGCAAAAATAGACAGTATATGGTATTGTAGATGGCTCTTTACCATATGTTGTCGCTAGGATTTAAGCGAAAGAGACGAGGGGAACATTATACAATCTAACCTTTAACAGAGTTAACGGGACAAAAAGGGGCCTTCTTAAAACTACCAGAACAGGACTATGAGAGTTTCGTCTTCAAGAAGGCAAACAATGAATTTACTTGTAGATCCCACCGAGCAAATACTATCACTCGTCAATGACAAAGAATGTATAGAGGATTATATTATTTACAAAGTAAAGTCGACTGATCTTAAAATGAACCATCATCAAATGAAAACAGTGGCGCCAAAGTGATAATTTCGTTCACACAACACTAATTTGTAAAAAAGCCTTCGAGTGAGCAATTCTCACTCAGTTTGAGCTAACAGCTTACTTCTGATATACAAATAGAAACTGTGGAGCTACTTTTGGACTGTCTGTGATAATCAACTGCTCCTAACAAGGAAATCCTATGTTGGCACCTGCAGGCCGGAGACTTGTCATGACTCCCCTATTTTTGGCGTTGTCTATCACACTTAATCCCTCTTTACCCTAAATGCCTTTCCAAACTTGTTATTTAAAAAAAAAAGGGTCTTGAAAATTGGAGAAAAAAAAGCTCACGAGTACTCGCCTCAGTCGAAAGAATGCGGCTTACACTAAACCTAATGACAGCTGCTAATGATCGGATGGTGATCAGATTGGAAGTTAGGATGAGCGTTTCCTCCCTTGAATAGAGGATCAATTCCAAGCTTGCAATAGGCCAAGTTTATCACAAATGGAACGTTTTCTTGTTTGTTAGTTTTGAAGCCTAATTATAGAAAAACATTTGATATTAAAACGGAAGCCATAAATCTAAAAGGAAATTGCTTGAGCTTGTAATCCTGTTAAAAAGGAGAATTGGAAAACTTGACACCGCTCGTTTTTCGCCTTATTTACAGGAGTGCTATAATTACTGTGATATAGGATAGTTCGCATGTATATGTTAACATTTTCCCACGATATGGATATATCCAGACGAAATTTGAAATTTTCTACATAAATAGCGCTAACTATATGAAATAAGATTAGGAATTTCTGGCGTCAGCAGTATCTGCTATGGAAACGCATTTCCTTTAGAGAGTCCTTTTTCAAGCTCCGTGCAGCCATGGCCAGGAATCTGCATGCAAGGCAGTTTTTTACTGATCAAGTATAACGAGATTCATCAAGCATCTGTCAGCTCGCATCAGTAGTTTGTTGCTAATGTTATTTAAGAGAATCAAAACCGTCGCATATGGGCTGTGTGCCCTTGCTCCAAATTCCACCCACTGCCAGTGGGCCTTGACAATATAGCACCAAATCACCCTTCATCTTAGTCTTCGTCAAGAGCCAAATTGTTTTTCACTTACTTTTAATTAACACATAGGATAAAGTCACAAAATGAACTAATCATCACACTATTCAGCTTTTTTTAAAATCCTAAATCTCTTTGAAAATTGATTCAGAGCCGTTTTGAACTTTGACAGTTTCTAAAAATCAGCCCGTAATCGCCGACTTTCTATTTCCGGTTCTAAAGATGGAAAGCGACGGAAATTTCTTGCTGTCGATAGATAATCTCACTGCACACGAGACACGCGGTAAACCACACATGACACAATTATTCCAAATATTACGCCTTTGTTGTTTTAAAACGTTTATCTCATTAATTGATTATTGACTTTTCTTTTGATCTAGGTACGTGCGGGCACGTACGCCAAGCCTTAAAGTATCTTGGGAAATTGTCCGACTCAGCCGCATATAGACGACGACGTCGCCGATCACGCCGCGGGGAACCTTAAGCGATAACTAACTTTTATGAGAGAATTCTAATAAATTTTTGGACATGAAAAAGTTTTTCAAGTTTGATATCTAACTTGCCTTGTGCTGCTTTTAGGAGGTTACTTCAGCCTGAGTCATGACCTTCTTTTCTTTTCCTATTTAAGGTGGTCGAAATCATTTTCATCTAAATTTAATCTGTTAGACTGACATTATGATCTCTAATAATACTAATATTTTTTGTCTCAGCCACTAGCTGTTCCTCGAATATTACAGAGAAAAATTCGCTATTGGTTGGAACTATCATCAAAATATAAGTAGCAACACAGAAGATATATATATATATATATATGGGATAGAGGGAAAAAGTTCAAGAACAATCGTGAAATTGTGCGGGAGGATGGCCAATAGATTGTCAATTAAAATTAAATTAGTTGCTTCTAAGTGAAAGCGCTTGCAACATTGATCCAAATTTCAATCTTCTTTCCTTGGGAAAAAGGGAATCTAGAAACCTCTGAGCAACCGTGATCGCTTTTAGGATTAGGAATGGTTCTTGCGCATGTTAAAGCTTATGTTGGAGCTAAGTTTAGTCAGAGAAGCTTTATTGTAGATGCTGCGAGAAAACTCTTTAAAAAAGACACTGAATATTCCAGTGAAACTCACCAATATTTAATGTAATTTCATTAAAAACTTAATAACACGTTTTGTCTATGAACTCGTCGACATATGTATTTCAGTTACTAGATATCAGACTGATATGCTGTGTCTTGAATGGATAAAAACAATTGCAGCAAATAATTGTCTCCATTTTTTCCGATTGCGTGTTCTCTTGTTGGCCTGTGTGTAGCCTTGCAGCAAAAACCAGGAGACCAGATGCAAGAGCTAATGCTCTCTTGTTATTTAGGTGAAGTTTTTAGCCTTCGTCGTTGCAATATATGTTAAAAGATAACTTATAAAATGATTGAACTTTTACGAAAAGATGACTCAACATAACTGTGTGATGCGTTGTTTGCATAAGCAAGAAACGATTAAACTGTCTACACGCCCGCACAAAATCTCCTGAAAACCCTTCAGTATGTCAGTGCTTTAACTAATAGCCATAAATATTATGAGAAAGTCTGCGCATTCCATCTATTACGCATGTTCGGGGCGCAGTTTTACCCCTTTCGCGTAAAACCTGAGGTTCCTTCAATTATTTCGATTACCTCTGCACCTTTTCCCGTCCGGTGCTAGTTTATAGCCTTTTCTGCACTTGCAATAATGGCTTCCCCTCGTGTTCACGCACTTGTGTTGGCAACCTCCATTATTATATTTGCATTCATTAATGTCTGCGATAAAAGACAAAAGATGTCATCGAATGACCTCACTTACACTGATCGGCTACTTTTTTTTTTTTACTTTCGTTTTTCTGGTTGTCTCCTTGTTTCAATGTATTTGTTTATTTTTCAAAGTGACAGTTTTTTCCGTATTCACAACTTAAGCTGGTTGCAGTATGTATCACTTATATCAAACAATTTGGAACTTAGTCATCACTCAAAACAGCCAAATCTATCCTTTGCTTATCAATAAAAGCTTCTCTTTACTCTTACCTATGTAAGCAAAGTCTAAAATATTTTGAACATAAGATTAATTACTGAACAAAGCAGGTGAAGCGAAAGAGTATTCATCTATGTCAAGGAGTAGATTGAGAATAGCTGGCATGGGCGTCATTTAAGAAAGTTATTATTATTATCAAGTTCAGGTTATGCACATGAACTTGAAGTTGAAACAAAGTGTTTTAACTATGAAAACATCAATAAATTTTTAACCAATCGTGCAACTCAGCCGTGATGAAAAGATAACAAATTTTTTCAGGCATCCAACTATTGGTTTAACATCAAGATGTGCTAATCCATAGCAAAATCATAAAAGTGTAAGACTTTTAAGAGTTATCAGTACATTTAACTTCCACCTACCCACGCAAGTCGCCTCCTGCTTTCGTCCTTTGCTGACATAACCATCAAGGCAGCCACACACAAAACTTCCAAGCGTGTTTGTGCACAGCGTGGGAAATGTGCACACATCCATTTTGCACTCGTTTTCATCTGTTTAAGAGTGAAGAATGTAGAAATTAAAAAACGTGAATATTATTAGTAATGTCTTCATTTCATTGTGTTAGAAGCTAAAATAGGAGGTACTTGTGCGTACATGCGTCATAATCATTAGCTTGTTGAAAGGATGGATATCGCAGTCCGACTAGAAGAGAGGTGTTCTTTTTTTCGGTGACAGAAAAGCACAGAGAAAGGCTGTGCGGGTTTATTACCTCTCAAATTCCTCATTTTCCCGAGAATTTCCTGCATGGAACCTCATTCACTTTTTCTACTTTACTTCGGTGGATATAAATTTACTCACTTGTCTTTATTCAAGAATGAATACTTGAACTTACCAATTGCAGTGTAGGTTATGGAGAATCCCTTGCCAGTGATTGACTGATCAGAGTAAAATTGAACCCAGAGAGTGTTTTTTTTGGATATGAATCTGAATGGCACTGCACTTCCACAGTGTATGTGTGGATTTCGAAACTGTTTTGAACTGGACAGCATAACTTTATCCTTTTGGCAATTATCTGAATTTTGAAGATCAATTGATCCGAAGCGGGCCTTGATAAGGTATCCACGAGGTACTTGTACTTTCCAAGTGCATACTTGGTTTACGTCATAGTTGTTAGGGAAGTTTGGGGAACGGATTCTACCGTGGGGTTTCCTGAGTAGAATGGTCTTTCTGCTGCACCTTGCTGACAAACTGGAGTTGGTGGGAGCACCACTCGTAGAGGGTGTGGGTATTTGAGTTAAGTTGAAATAACCACTATTTATAGATCTTTGGGTTGCGTTGGAAGCTGTGCAAAATAAATAACCTGTTCAGAATGACGTTAATATCTACGTCCGAGCATGGCACGAAATTCTCTGGTAACGGCATACGAGTTGCAAAACTTGCAGAAGCTCTGAATTAGAGAGAGAGCGAGACTAACTTTTCTATAACAATGAAACGTCTCTAAAACAACCAAGTTATCCTCAGCTGAAAAAAATTGTAGCAACAGAAAAACTC